CTGCAGAAAATCCCGCTCCTAGCACCGCACTAACAGTGCGTGCCAAGAAAGAATTTTTACAGGAGAGAGTTGAGCTTAGTGGATCTATCCACCTGAGCGTTGGCTCCAGGGTGGCCAGGAAGTCAAAGTACCGATGAGCTATAGGTACATGAAGCTGCTATCTGGCCCACGATCAAAAACACTGTTAATGCCGTAAAACACCGCAAATGGCCTCAAGTAAATTTGACCAGGTACTGGACCAGTTGCAGATAATACCGACAGTCTTTGAGATGATTTTCTAAGTCGTTTTATTATTTGGTGGTTGTTTTTGTCTTCTCATCGGCGCTGATTTTCGAGGCTGCAGGACTCGAACCCAGATTTTGAGGTAGCTTTGAATGAGGGGTACTTTGTAGATGTCAGTTTGCTTGAGACAATGTGACCGTTGAAGCTGATATCACAAAGGAGAAGGAAGACGCCTTTTCATGCACAGATAAGCTATGCTGGTAGCAATTATTAAGTCTTGAAGTTTCAAAGGCTCATGGTTGGATATACACTATTTGCATGGAACTGCTTCTAGAAACAACAATGGGTATATTGTAAACAAAGCTATGCACCGATGCCCTAAGCTGTACTTCTTCCGAAGATTTCCACCGGTTAATGCTCCTGTACATGGTATATGGTCATAGTTCCAATGCTCAAAGTGCGCACTCGACAGAACGCAATTCGAAGTCAAAGCAGCTTACTTTGGGCTGGTCTTCAGACAAATACGTAGTGTGAAATCGGTGGCCTTTCCATATGCCCTAAAGTTAGAACGTAGCCCTTCTTGTGCAGAGAATCAAGCGCAAAATGGCCACCTTCGTGACGTAGTAAGGTATCGGTGGTTTGCGACGGATCGAAGCTGGTCTCCAGCCGAAGATAGAGTATTATGTAATTGGTAGTCCCTCCTCAAAGTCCGCCTTGGATTGAGAAAGAGGAAATAATGAGTACCAATACGTTGATGAACCCCCAGGTACAAGGAATCCAGGTGTTCATCTCGTAGTATCCAGCAGAGTAAACAGCTCCCAACCTTATAATTCTTTAGCCAAGGTAGTTTGCAAGACCAACACGACTTACACTAAGCCAACAATACTCCCGGCCATGACAGCCTCAAGCCCAGCAATAACGAGATAGATGACAGGTACTGCCCATAGATATCTCCAAGACGACTTCTTCCAACCGTGGGTAAACATGGCGATCAGAACTGCCCCCATGTGGAAGCATGCATATATAATGAGCGTCCATAGTAAAGTAAATCGCCAAACATCTAAGACATAGTAGAGGGTAAATTGTTTGTCTGCAGTGGTGTCATATAGAGTCTGGACGTTCAGGGACGGGAAGCGCGGCGTTTGATAGTCTGGTGGAGGAGTATTTGGCAGGGCCATCTATCGTTTGTATTGATTAGCGCTTTGCTTGCAAGAAGGATGGAACTCAATCTGAACATACCCTGCCATCATGGAGGCTGCAACAGCTCTCAACTTGGCCGATTCTTGCGGTGTCGTTGAGAATAGGATTGATATGACTATGATTATGGGGTGTTGGAATTAGCAGTGACAGGGGACAGGGGTGCAAGGGAGGTTCTGATGGAGCTGAAAGTGCCTCCGGAACGTCATCCAGGCCTCGGCAAAAGCCCGTGAAGTCGGCATGCGCAGCCGCAACCGCGACCTCGGAATTGTCAACTTAGATACTCCATCAAATCTCTATCGACAATTTCCTTCCATTCGCCATACAGACCGAATGCGTCGATATGTCTTCCGATAGACTCCTCAGAACAGTTCTGCAGCATTACCCGGACGTCCACGATGCTGCAAAGACCGAGCAGATCATCGGGTCGACAACACATCTCCTCACCGAGCTCACAAACCCTCTAAATCTCGGCCTTCTCACGTCGCAATTGTTAACGGCCCCTGCGATATGGTTCCAGCCAGGCGGCATTCGCACTTCGGTTCGAGTTATCAGCATATACAATACTGCGGCCGCGCGCATCCATAACTATGAAGTCGCTAATCGCGATCGGAAAGAACCCCATGAGGGCGGTGGATTGAGCTGCGAAGAATGGACGCGCGCTGTCGTCAAAGGAGCGGACGACCGATCGAGGCGATGGCAGCATCTTCTGGTTCTGACTGGTGTTCTTATGGGAATGGAGTCCAGCAATCGGCAATCTTTGTCGCGTGGCATGAGGAATACTCTTGAAGAGGCGGTAGTGATGGCGGCAAATCTGGCACTCGAGAGTCGCGACGAGGATGGTCCGGTCGCAGGCGCATCGGTTGTCATGGCACTTAACTTTGCCTTTCCGTTGCTGTCTGACTTCCATCGAAGCCTCATTAACTGCAATGCGCTGTTGCCTCTTATTGTGTGGACGGTGACAGCTGAGGAGGGCTTCGGCCACGGCCAGTTCTTGGCGGCAGTCAGCTCCGAGGTTGTCGAATCACCAAATCACCTCCTCGCATGGTCACCAAATACGCCCTCGTTTCGATTCATTCAAGAACTGGATAGGCGACCTACTCTAGCCAACATGGGGCCGTTGGCGAAGCTTGCTGGGTACGCTGTTCAACAGGCCACAGACACACAGGCCGTGATTGCCGCGCAAGACGCTCTTCTTGCCTTTAGCAGCCAGGTGTTGGATATGTGGCGGTTGAATCGTTTGAGCGACATAGATCCAGCGCTTGAGGGTAATGTGCTCACTCAGGAGACCATTACAAGCACCTGGCCAGTTCTATGGAACTTGCTGAGGAAGCTCATGTTTGGGACGGTTGCTATTCTGCAGGCGATTGTCTCGCGAAGTCTTCTTGACCCGCGCATGTTGAACGACATAGCTGCTCCTGTCATCGCGTCAAAGTCGCTTCGCATATTACGCAACATCTTCTTCATCTCCTCAAGGAACGGCAATAGCGCGTTCCAGGTCTACAACTTTACATATCTCACTTCGATCGACTCGATCTCCCGGAGCGCCCCTGCTTGCCACAGGTTCCTCCAGGAATTCCGACCTTCCGAGGATGCATCGACATCCACTACATATCTGCAAAGAACATTGGACCTGTTCTACCTTAATCTATCTGAACACTTACCACTTAGTCTGCCAACTGATGCATGCGACGCTCTAATAATCAAACCAGCGATTGCATACATTTCTCATGAAGGACCTACGACACAAAATATGGTTGAGATCTTCGAATCCGCACACAGCGCCATTCTATCAACCATATCTTGCCCCCAACATAGCCCTCTCACCATCGAACTTACACCTTTCTATATCGCTCTGCTGTTCAACTCATTCCCGCAGCATATCTCATCCCGTCAATTCAGAGTGGCCTTCAAGACTGTGATGCAGATTGTATCACCTCCCTTCCCCATCGCAGAGCTGGAGCCGCAGCTATCGGAGACACTTCTAGAGATGCTTCGAGCTTCAATTTCCACGGCGTCGACGAGTCTGCTGCCACCAACAGCAGATATCGTCGCACAAGCTGCGATGGAAGAGACTCAGGAGGAGCGTCATTCTCAGCAGAGTTCACTTGCTTTAGCTCTAGTTGATTCACTCCCATATCTACCTCTTCCTCTGGTGGAAGAATGGTTCACGATTGCTGCTCAAGCCATGAATGAAATTGAGGATCCCGTACTAAGGGAACCAGTCAAGCAACGGTTCTTGCAGATTCTCGTTAGTGGAGAGCTAGACGTGGAACGAGCAGCTATTGGGGTAGCTTGGTGGGGAACTCGAGGAGGTCGAACACTGATTCTCGGTGTAAACGCGGAACCTGCCATGATGAGCGGCGCGCTTCCTGGGCCTGACAGATCTAGCCATCTGTGAAGATGACATCCCTCGGCACAATGTTGCCATAGTGTGCATGCACTGTTCTGGATGAATTCTTGACCTTGCCGGGTCAGATAGTGTATGCTTGCCGCAAAGTCAAAGACAAGCTTGTTGCACGTTGCATTAAGGATGTAATAAAGTAACTCAAGCGGCAGCTATTTGCAACTATAGTTATGTCCTGGAATGGTGACGTTGTGAAACATTTCAAGGGGTTTCGGGTCGTTGGGCTGATCATCTGGCTGTCGTGGGAAACCCCGCAGGCGCATGTGGGCGTTACAGGTGTTGGGCTTGTTGCCGTGAGCCTCGATGCAATTGTGTCATTTGTGCTTGAGTATCTAGCCTCAATAGGCGGTTTGTGCTCGAAGCAGATCGAGATCTACTAGGAATTGGGTGTGTCTCCGTTGAAGAAGCCGGACACGCCGGGCGACGATAGTTTGCTGAGAACGGGCAATCACCACACGTGGGGAGACAGAGTATTGGACAGGGCACGAACTGGATGCCCTGAAGTTTGACTTAGCTTGGATATCTTTTGTTGGTGTGGTGGTCTGAGGAATACCGAACAGCGAGGCGTGTTGGCCTGCCACCAACTCATACACTCGTGAACTTGTTTGAGGACAAAGATTGCAAGTTATAACCGGCTCTTGTAAGATAATACGACCTTAATAGATATGAAAATCTGGGAATGCACTCATCAATATCAAGGAAACAAGCTACGATAGGCAATCAAAGGATCAATTGCCAAGGCAAGGGTCCTGGTGAAGCGGGGTTGCTATTGCTACAGTACCTGTTCTCTCACTATCAAGAGTGAGCAGTTGTTCTGGAACTTGAGTGGGGGAGTCAAGACAAGGTTGCTAGGCCCGATTCCGAGCGCGATCTTGACTTAGACCCCGTCTTGGCAAATGAGGGGAGGGAATGTCACTCAGGCAATTTCATCCTCTGATGCCGATTTTTCCTCCTCTCAAGCGTCGCGAAGCTTCAGGCCAAAGTTCATTTCCGTTGCTCCTCGGCTTTGATCTGAGTCGATCATCCGGGCCCTGAAGATCTGGACTCTTCTTGTTAGACCGCAACTTGGTTCTCGATGCCGATAGCTTGGTACCGATATAGCTCGGAGCTGGCATAGCCACAGTCCGTGGAGCCTACAGGTCAGCTCGTCCAGGTTCTGGGACCCTGCAAAGCTGGGTCGCGGGGGGTCCGTTCATTGCTTGTTTGGCCTAGCGTTTCCCTGTTAGATCAAGGCTAATGCGTCTTTCAGGCAGATCAATGGCCTGAGAGGCTTCAATACGTACCTTGCCTGGGCTATCTCATCACAGACAAGAAACATGACGACACCAGACAAGACAAGCTGAGACTGGCTGATCGTGCCAATTGCTTGCAGAAGAGGCTGATTCGTGGGAATGTCGCACTCACTGGCTAAGCAATGCACAAACAACAGGTTTTTACTCAAAAGTAAATATAGTACAGAGTGATAGAGGGGTTGGAGGGGTATCAAGGGACCCAAGTATCGTGAGAGGTATCTACGTACGATTTCTTGGCAGGGTCTACCACAGAGAGCTTATTCCAAGGACATTCGGGTTACAAGGCGTCCCAAGGATTTGATCACCGGCTTCAAATTCCCAGGCTAAACTTAGCTTTGGGCTGGGTACATGTACCTCATGGCACGACAGTTACAGCATGTAGCTCAGTCAACGCGCGTTCCTTGTGGGACATGATCACATCGTCTCAAGATTCTGATACCCATCTATCAAGTCTCGCAGGTTGCAGGGTACTTACAGTACATGGGGTGTTCCGAAGCTAAAACATTCTGCTAACTAGTCTATGCAGCTTCAGCTTTCTAAGACAAGGTCCATGCCACGATGGAACAGCGGCACGTCATTCCTCCCTGTGATGGAGGAGGGGGAGCTTGCCGATCCACATGATGAAGATGGGGAGCTCTGAGTTAGCTTGGAGGGGGAGGGAGGGAGCTTCTCTCACATAGGTATTAAACAGAAGCTTGCCCTCTCATGTTCGGATTATTTTCCATTCATACCATTGCACAATCTATCTATCTACGTCACCAACTATCTATTCTCTCTCAAACCAAAACCCCCCAATAATCAATATGTCTGACAGCTACGGTGACAACAGCTACGTATGTTCTCTCAGCTCTATCTACCCTCTCATGAAGCTAACTGTCTCTCAGGGCTCCAGCCGCCGCGACAACGACAACGACAACAGCTACGGTTCGTCCAACCGTGACAACGACAACGACAACAGCTACGTACGTTCTTCTTATAAGCTTTCCTATCAACGCTCACTCACACGTAACAGGGCTCCAGCCGTCGTGACAACGACAACGACAACTCTTATGGCTCTGGCAACAACAACAGCAGCAGCTACGTGAGTGCATACTAGTCCTTTATACTCGCACATACTAACATAGCTCAGGGCTCATCTGGCCGCGACAACAGCGATTCTTATGGCTCCAGCAACAATGACTCTTACGGCTCCAGCCGCCGTGACAATGACAACGACAATTCGTATGGCTCGTCCGGTAACTCTGGTCTGAGCGGCGGCAGCGACAGCTACGTATGTGAATCATTATACCAAGCAAACTTTCATAACTAACATGAATATCAGGGCTCCAGCCGTCGCGACAATGATGACACAACCTACGGTTCCAGCAACAAGGACAACGATTCTTATGGCTCCAGCAACAATGACTCTTACGGCTCCAGCCGCCGTGATAATGATAACGACAACTCTTATGGATCTAGCAACAACGACTCCTACGGTTCCGGCAACAAGAGCAGCGACTCTTACGGCACCAGCAACACATACGGCTCTAGCAACAATGACAGCTACGGCTCTGGAAACAATGACTCCTATGGCTCCAGCAACAAGGACAACGATTCTTATGGCTCCAGCAACACATACGGATCTGGCCGTGACAATGACAACGACAACAGCCGATCAGGTGGTTTCCTCGACAAGGTCAAGGACAAGGTTGAGGACAAGCTCAGGGGAAACAAGAACAGTGGTGACAACGACTACTAAGTATGATTGTCTGAGAGAGGTTCTAGCGTATTAGTGTTAGCTACTTATTGAGCGAGATGATACATTCCTCGCTCCTGAATTGAATTTCATTTGTGCCTATATATATTTTCAGCCTGACTTTTCGTGAAGAATTCACTTGTAAGATCCCGTTTATGAGCCATCTCAAAAGATGAGGCAATGTCAATGTCTGCCATTTCAATCATATAGCGTCCGTCGCTATCTAGACACTTGGGCGACATTGACACGTCAGGTCTCTTCGGGTCTAGCTGTTGGTTCAAATTAAATAAGCAATAGTATCCTTTGTGAACAACGCTCTCATTGTATGCATATGCCAGACAAATAGAATACAATATCACATCATCGCCATGCCACTAAATCCCAGCTAAACCAACTTCTTATCAACCTTGATGAAAATCGCACCATCCGTGATGCGACCCTCACAATCCATGAGATGCACAAACCGGTACCCATTACCCAGCCTATCAAGCCTCATACAAGCCCACGCCGCCAAATCATCCCTCCCAATCTCATCATCACGCACTGTAAATCGCACCCATGAGAGTTCATCGACGACATGAGGCACAGGGGGGAATTCGAGACGTTCACCAGCAAAGTCAACCATGTTGCCACGGTGTGTCTTCGTGCGGGCCTTGTATTCACCCTCGCGTTCGTGTCCTTCATTAGGGACAGGGCCGCCGTGGAATTCATCAGGTCCTTCGACGTGAAGCTCGACTTTGACGTAGGGCTCAAAGCCTCTGGCAGAGGTGTCGCCTGGTGGGAGGGGAATGTTTTGAGCGGCGAGGACTGTGATTGTGAGATGGAGCGATTTCCGGATGATGGTGTTTTCGGTTTCTTCGTCGTTGCGATTGGGACGATAGCCTAAAAAGAAGTTAGATGAATGGTTCGCGAGATGGCTTAGAATGAGTATGTACCTTGAGGTTTGAGGACATATCCTCCTGTTCCAGCAAACATGCCTTCGTTAAGCATCATGCCCTCATCCCACCGCTGCCAGTTGAGCGCAACGATCTGAATACCCTTGCGCCAGAAAACAGAAGGGTCGAGATTGGATGATCCTATTCGCAGGCCCCAAGGATAAGTTCTCATGAGGAAGTGTCGATTGTGGTTGAACAGATCAGATGCTTGCTTCTCGTGCACATCAATGACCTTCTTCTCAGACAGGGAAAAGATGTGTGTGGGCATGCCAGCTTCTGGCTGTGTCAAGCTCTTGAAAGACACACCTCGCGCATGGAACCCCATACGACTCAGCTCCTGTATAATCTTTGCCGGCTTCTTTGGTGGAGCATCACCAGCCTGGGCACCAGGGGCTGGCGCCCTGTCCTCCTCCTCACTCTCCTCTTGAGTGGCATCTGCACCAGGTGGTGCATACTTGACCTTGACGATGAGCTTTCGACGCAGCTCATCTGGGCTGGGTAGAGCATCAGGTTCGTTCTCGGGCTCAGGGACGAGAAGATCGCCCCAGACTTCCTTCATAATGCGGACCATGGCAAGTTGCTGGTCCTGTTTGCAGTGGACTTCAAGAGAGACGATGACGGGCAAGTCGCTAACGACAAAGGCGCTCTCACGAATGGCCTCACAGACAGCCCGGAAGGAAATCTCCTTGGTGAGGGTGTAGCCGTGGAGCACACGGGGCTCAACGATAGCGGCTTCGGGCTCCGTAGACTCGGGATCGGCGTCGGGAGCGGGCTGTTGGCCGGAGGCGGGGTCGGAGGACTCATCCTTATCACGAAGACTCGTCTTTGCGAGCTTCTCTTTGAGCTTTCCAAAAGTGCTTCTCTTCTTTGTCTTCTTTACAACCTTTTTCACACCTCTCTCCTCATCGCTGCTGGAAGGACTACTCGTGCCCTCAGGATCAGACTCATCGCCATCCCAAACATCGATCTCGATACAGCGCCCACCCCGCAGCAGAGTTTCGGTGTAAGGCCTGGTCGAACTGTCGCTCGAGAGTTGGTTTCCGGTGAGATAGGTGTTGTGGCTGGAGCTGATGAAGTAGGAAGCAAGGGGATATGAGAGATCTTGGGGTTTAGGCGGGGTTGTAGCAGCTGCATGAGACGACGTCATCCAGGCCATGAAGCCATCTAGATCGAGGTGGTCTCTGGCGAGAAGTTCTTGGACAGCGGGTGAAGAGTTTTCTTGTTGAACATCTCTGATGAAGGAGGTAAGTCTCTCCTTGCTCCAGGTCTTGTCTTCTCTATCGGCCAGAGACTGGAATAGCTTGACGAGTTGGCCGCTGATGATGGGGTCGACGTTGGAGAGGGAGCGAGTGACTTCGCTGGCACCTCCGCCAGCTTTGAGCTCATGAGCCATGTTTCTGTTTCTGGTTTTGTGATGATTATTTCGATGTGAGTTCTTATTTTTTCCAGCTTTTGAAGAGGTGAGAGAGCGGAGAGAGCGGAGAAAAGAGAGGGCAATCAAGTGATGTTGGATTCGTGAAGTTATTCGCTGTCTTTGAGTCTGACCTTGACCTTGGCCCAGAGCCAAAACTTGGCTTTCACTGGCGTCTCCAGCTGTAACTGGGCCCTGCATGGTTCTAGACTCAGAACATTGATTAAGGTAGTTACCGCAAGAAAACAGGAATCTAGGTGATCAGCAGTGAATTGATCAATACCTGGCGGCTTCTTCTTTTCTACGGATACAGGGTCTATCAAGCCCTTACACGGTCACCTTTTCTTCTTCCCTTCATTTTAATCTCACATGGTCTCACATTCAAGCTCGGGCCCAAGACAGCTCACGACAGCTTCAGCTTCAGCTTCAGCGCTACCTAGACCCGCTATAAAGACTCCCAAGACCCCTAAAATCCCCTGTTCTGACCCCACCAGACAACACAAACATGACGCGTTTCAAGGAAATGTGTGCACACAGCTACATACCTAGCTATGTTGCTTGGCAAATGCTGTGGATTGATTGTATCACACATAATTTGGCCAACAGACTTTCTTCATGTATTATCACAAATCTCCTAATTTTGGTATAAAGGAAGGCAAACTCTCAGTCAAGACAACGACGTATGGTGTATACTATTTTTAGTATTCAGCTGGACTAGGTTCACCTTGTAAAATCACAGCCGCCGTTTGATTTTATGATCCAAGCTCAGAAGATTGAGCGATAGGTGGTTCCGAGGATGGTGGCTTCACTATCGTATATATTAAACAGCTTTGAAAATGTACGGCTTGAACCATTGTATTGAATATTTCCAACCATAGCTGTCCTTTAAAACCTTGTATTGATTTGCGCCAAACTCCTAGCCGCCTCGTGTTAGACATGAACATAACAAACATACGGATCCTGTATCGATCAAGTAGATACTAGTATCCAGGTCACATCATTCTTCCCACTGGAGTGCCTAGAATCCATCCCAGTAACATTAAACATTTGTTCCAGTCTGCCCGAAAGCCATTTGGAAACGATACGAGGGGTGATTTTCGTATCCCGATACCCCCTGTCTCTGCGTTCAGAATACATTGGGATACCCGAACAGTTCTGCGCGAGCCAGTGATGAGGGTCACCTATCGAGATAACTCATGTCAGCAATGCGGAGATAAGATAAGGTACGTAATCAAATTCCATCTCGTACCGGAATGATCTTTTGCTTTTGCCAGGCCGCTTTGAGGGCTGTGTCGGCTGCAACAACAAGCAAAGCGATGAGCTCGCTGGTTAGGAGCTTGCCGTCTACTAGCTGCGCTTCATCTGCCAGATAGCACATGGCATGAGGCTTCTGAGGATCAGGTACACGATCATAGCGTGAGGGGTTGGGGAGATGTTGGCGAAGAAGAGCCTTGAGCTGCCAGTTGGCGTTCTTTTCGCCTAGGCGATCAATGAGCCTGGAACTACCGCAGCTTTTCAAATCATGTTAGCTGGGCCGATAGATATGATAGGATAAATCTGGCAAGGCAAGGCATCTGGGGATAAAGTGTTCATACCTGACATCGAGTCATGTGGTGCGAGCCGTCATGACACAATTTCCTTGGGCATTCTCGTATTCAGAGATGTAAGTGTAGAGGCGATCCCACATAAAGGTCGCCTCCCATAGGGGACTATCTCCGAACTCACGAGAGAACTCGTTCACGAAATCTCGACGGTCCTTGAGCGAAGGAGACCCAATCTCCCTAAGCTATTGCTCGATTACTTGAGGCTGAACAAGTTGGGTGTATGGCTCTGCGAGCTTGCCGACTTGACCAGTTTTGAAGTCCATATCGTGGCATTTGATGCCGTAAAGTTTCAAGAAGTCCATGCCCACATGTCTGTCCGAGGATTAGCTGAGTGGACGGATGATATAACGGGCGATCTTGTCAAGATTCGCCCGTCTTTGGTCTGTTCTGTGTCGGTTCGTGTCTGCTTCAGCGTCTTGGGTATTTTCTGATGGCCTTTTGGCGGAATGATCCTGTGGCTCGGCTTTGCGGCGGCATCTCGAGGCTCTTATCAAGGCCTTCTGACTCGGAATAAGCGCCCAGTTTGTCACGGATGTAGATGTTCACTTGCTCAAGCGCTCGGCTACACTAGCGGGTAGGTGGGAAAGCATAGGTGCCATTATAAAGTTGATGCTAGGTTAAGTTTTAGAGGCTTCCGGGACCCTGTAGAGCTTAGCTTAGCGGCAGTCGTGTATTTTATGGGCCTGCTTGTATTTATTTGGTTATTATAACAACAAGCGCAGGTCTCCTTCACGGGAAACGTTAATGACGTCAATCCACTATATCTCATAGCCGCATACCTTTACTGGAGGAAGCTGATTCGCTTCCTTTCATCTCAAGTTAAGCGCCAGGACTTCAAATATCGTCCGTTTTATAGCAATAAGTTACCAAAATAGTAATAGGAGCCTTCTCCCTCACAAACGCTGGCGGGCTATATAATTACTCCAGCATAGCAGTGTAGAAAGGCCATCGTGCCCTTAAGTTCAGGAATGATTATAGGGACCATGATTAGATCAGCAGAGATGTGCTTAAGAAGGCTACATCCTACTTAGGTACGCTGAAGTCCTAGACGAGATACATAGAGTCCTTTAGCCCAAACAATAAGAAGATCTCGGAGGGAACATTTGCAATGGTCCAGTACTATCAGCGTCTGTCTATACAGCCAAGACAGAAGCCCTCTGATGAAGAAATAGACCTTTCGTCACCCAAGGTTGCTTTCAGTCCTCGAGTAACGGAGTCAAGTAGCTCGACGGTACCAGGGATCCACATCACGACCAGAGACGCCTTCTCGCCCCCCCAAGGAAGATATGCCAATAGATGAGCACTTTGGTAATCTGGATCTCGATTCAGACACATCCAGCCTTAATTCAGACCCGCTGGGCCCGCTCTCGTACCACTCGCCCCTCTCTGGAGAAGTCAGAAAGCAATACCAGAGTATTGAGGACGAACAAATCGTTAATACCGCTTTGGTTCTGTTCCTCAACGCCCTCACGCTTCACTGCGATTATGCCCAGGGGGCGTGGACCATCTATCGAAAGACCTTCGTGGTCAAGGCCTCGGCAACCAAGGTGTACGAGGCACGTGTGGATGGCCTGTTGCGGGTCAAGCACAGAACCTGTGCTATCGTCGAAGTCAAGCCCCTCATCAGGTACGGGTCGGAAAAAACCCTCCACAAGATTCGTATGCAAGAAACGGCTCAGATGGCGGCTTGGATAGCGCAGGATCCCCCTGTGCTGAAGAAGCCCAACACCAAATTTAGACGTCTCCTCCTCTCTCAGGACCATGGCGAAGTTTACCTCATCATTGCCACTTTTGATTACCAGTACGTTGAGTACATTTGTGCACTAGGGACTGGTAGCAGAGGAAAGGGGGGCACACATTCGTTTCTCGAGATGCGTGAGTACGGCCCGTTTGAAGTAAAAAGTCCCGAGCAGATGGAGCAACTAGGAATAATCTTGCTGGGTGCTTCGATTCAGGGAGGCTTGTGGGACATGTTCCAACTTAGACTATACCATCATGGCGTGTCTTAATGCTGCATGAATTCACTTATCATTTGTGAGCCGCTTGCTCTTTTCTCCTCGCCTCTCGTTCTTCTTCTTATCCAAGAACTCCTCCAGATCAACATGAATTCTTAGACCTTTTGAAGTCATGGTCTCAAAGATACCCTTCAGTTCCGAAGAATCCATCTCTCTATTCAAAGTGAGGAAAGCCTCCATCATGACATCCTTAGACCAGGGGCAATGCCTCAAGGCCCTGAACAATATATCCTTAGCTTTTGGTCGTAACTCTCTATGTGAGCTGCAGAATCTGATAAAATGTATCCATAAAAATGTGTTGAACTTGCAAGTGTCGCTTGATACGGCGTGCTCGAAAGCTGCTTTCGTCGTGTTGACGTTTCCCCGTTCGATTTCGTGATGGACGGCGAAAATTCGACTGCTCAGGCAATCTTGAGCTGGAGTCAAGGCTGTTTCATGCAGAAGCGTTCTTGTTTCGTCGATGACGCGAAGACTGGAGTCGGCCCATTCGAAAAGTGATAAGAATATGGTGTTCCTCGGGAAGTACACCAGGAACTGTTTCAGCTGCTCAAGCAGATATGCACGACGGAAAGGTCTTGGCTTTGTTAGTAATCATGTCTGACAATCTTTGAATTAGGACTCACCCTCGGGTTGCGTGCAAGTATAATAGCCCCGACGCAAACTGCAATAATCGCTCATGAGCGCGAGATGCTTGGTAGCCTCGAGACTTGAACTCGAGAGACATTCGGTGCACTGTCTCTATCGCAGCCGAAATAGTTCCTTGTGATGCCGACATTGGTTCTGTGCAGCTCTCAGAAGTCAAGTACGACAACAGGACTAAGCACTCGGTAAGAGTACTCGCATCCTCGAGGTTCGCGCCAGAAATAAAGTCACTCGTTAGAGATGAGAAAGTTCGGTGGGCTTTGAGAATATGTGTTGATGATACTTCAGGAGTTTCAGCCGACCTTCGAAGAGCATCGTCTACAGAAGAGCATAATCTTCGAACTGCTAGCTGTTTATCACCCCCCTGAAGTTCCATCCACGACCAAGTTCTCCAAAGAGCAAACACATCTGCTGATGGTGACTTCTGCAGGAACTGGTCAGCATGGCGACGAGTCAAAATCGGAGAAGACAGATTACTCACCGACGCGAGCTCAGTTGCTGATGATACGACCTTGGATGCAACTTCGTGATTTTCATTTGCATACTCAGCAATAGCGTATGCTCGGTAAAGACCAAGGTTAGTCGGATAGCGCTTCAGTAAAGTCTTTGCCGCTTTCTTGCTAGAGCCATCTTGAACCTGAGACAACGCCAAATGGTATGTGGCTAAACCCCCAAAGTTGGCATTGTGAACCAGTTGCTTCGTTGCGTTGACCATAAATCCAAGTTCAACGTCATTCTTTCTATTCCTTGAGGGTAGATAGGAGAACCATTCTGACTGAGGAAAAAGGACGTCGAGCGTTTCCGAGACGCAAAGAGGGTTCTGGCGGAAAGAAGGGGGCTTCCTTTGGATCTCAGTCGGATCCTCGTCTCCTGATAATGGCGTGGGAGCACTCGACTCCATGTGTAATGTGAAAACTGCAAGGAACTGATCATGGTACGCCTCATCGGTCCAGTGGTCAGACCAGAATGTTGGGGGGTATCCCTGGAATATCAGAAATGCGTCCAGCACTTGCTCCTGCACAGCAGGCAGGATAATTTTTGGAACGAAAAAGAGAAGTGGCTCGATGTCAGAGAACATCACCACTCTAAATGGGTCGTCTTCTGTTCCTTCATCCATGGTTCTAGCCGGAATTCGAGCCTTATCAGCTTGTGAGCTCTCTAGGGTTGCCCATCGTTTGTAGTCATCTCGGGACTGGTATTCGGGCCCTTTGATATCTTGTAGTGGTTCGGGAGCATCGCCTACTCCACCATCTGCTACAAATTTCGCCCAACCTTGAGCGTCTGCTTCTCCTATCCTCGGGACTTCGCTCTCCCAGAAGTCACGAAGTGGTTCGAAGGCTGCACTCTGGTCATCCAGTTGCGTGGGCCGGAAGAAGTTGAGCTCCAGAAAAGCCTGCCAAGCTGCGACTGCAAGCTCCTTATAACCAGAGTCATGGATGAACCTGGTAAGTCTCAGAAAGACATAGATAGCTTCCTTCAAGTCTTCGGGCTCAATGCTCACTTGTGATCGAGACAAAACATGTCGTATTCTATCCAGGTGCATTTGCTTGAGGGTGTCAAAATGGAAAGCAGAAATGTTAGACATGACAAAATCAAGATGCGTCTTCCACAGAGTGAAGCTCTTATCCTCATCCTCACGCAAATCAAGCCACTTCTTGGCGGCGACTTTGCTATTCCACACTTTTATACCTTCCCGCATGAGAGGAATCAGCACCCGAATGCGATCTTGGTGATTTGATACATTAGACAAGGCTGATTCAAGCATGTACAGCTTGATCTCCGCAAAACTGTGCACCTCAGCTTCAAGTGCCTTGTGATCAACATCCTCGCCTGCTCTCAAGAGAGCATCTTGGTGGTTTGCCAGCTCGAGCCATGCATCTATATCATCTGGCTGGTCTTTGGCACGTCTCGAGAGCTGAATTGACTTCCACTTCAGAGGATTATTCTGATCGAGATTAATATCGTCTGCAGCCGCATCTGACTCGGATTCCAAGTCGCTGTCATCGTATCGACGTGGTTTCGCCTTTCCCTCTATGGATCGATAAGTCGGCTGTTCCTCATCTTCTGAAGAATCAGAGGCTTGATGCAATTGTTTGCGCTTCTTAGATGAGCTTAGTGCCAAAAAGTCCCCGTCTTCTTCACCTTGACCATCATTCTCTTGCTTCCTGACTCTTAACGGTGTAGGTCTTACACGCCAGTTTCTGGAGCGCAGACCATCCCTATCTTTCAAGGCATATGAACCTTCACCAGGCATACGTAGACTGAACTGATCTCTTGGTCCATCGCGGTGAATTACAAGACGACCCCGTGTGCCCAGGACCTTTCCATATCCATCACGGTAGTAAACAGGAACCTGAGAACGGTCAAGACCTCCGTAGCGAATGATCAAGGGATCACCTTTGGTGTCAATGGTGTACAGACGCGATGCATCGTCACTGCTGCGTGTAACTTTGGTAAGCGGGCGGTGCTCAAGTGCTTCAGAGTGACCAGTTCGCGATTTCTCACGATGTCGGTCGCGAGAGTGTGTGCGATGCTTTTTTGACCGGTGATGGTCGCGATGTGAATCAGAATGGTGATGACTTCGTTTCCTCCTGGAATCTCGCTCGCGTTCTCGCTCTCGCCCCTCGTCCTTAGCGCTAGAGCTTGTGGGCGTGTCCTTATCCTTATCCTTGCCTTTTGGTTTGAAAGAAGAAAATTTGGGTGCCTTCAAGTCGGAAGTCTCGGATTTTGACTTAAAAGATGCAAATTTAGGTACCGTAGACTTGGTGTCCTCATCCTTGCTGGACATTGTGCTGATAGGTCGACAGAGTTTTCGTCATATCCCCATTATTGTGATTTATAGCTTGTGTGAGTGTGGGCAAGGATTTGTGAGTCTTGTTGTCGAAAAGAAGGTTGATGATAAGGTCAACAGAAACAAAATACAAATATCTTGTAAGTTGACTGCGAGACTGGGTGTGAGAGAGCGCGTCAGCCTCGACTTTCAGCCACAGCGAAATGAAATACAGTGCGATATTAGTTTTGATACTATTAATTATCGGCCTTAATAAGTCCCTCCTCCAATGGTATATAATTCCCTGCAACTCATCATCAGATCGTTTGTTAGCAGATTCAGAATTGCTACTACATTTCATTCCATGAAAAATAGTTCTTGTCTCGTTCTCGTCGGGTACCTGAAAGAATCATCACAGAGGGCACGATCTTAAACTGAGCGTCAGCAACCCCTGAATTAATCCCATCCATGTCCGTCTTACAGTCCAAGCAATCCAATCGCACGAAAGCGAAAAGCAAAGCTAATGATTGATCTGATTGCAATCATCCAATGTGTCAGCCCTAGGGACAGGTTGTCCATCCTATAAGCCAGGGGCTGCATCATATCAAACTGCCATTAGAAGCATCCATTCAGTTGAACTCCACTGGAGTGAGGGTGGGAGCTGTGTAGGTCGTCAAAACCTTCTAGGAAAATGGAGGATCGAAAGCTGAACGGCCTGTGGCGTCCACGTTCGGGGACCTAAATAAGCGGAGATGACACTGTATCTTAGCGGACTTAGCAGGGGCTGCATTACAGCTTAAAAACTCCCTGCTTTCTGCCCCTCGCTAGCTACAAGCTTATCTACACTCCCGTCCCTCTCTCGCCATGGATCTCTCCCCAACGACACTCGTCACTTACATTGCTATCTCTGCCGTGACTCTTCTTGTCGGCTGGTTCATCATGGGCTTCTTTGGCGGTAACAAATTCCCCGTCGAGGGCAAAGTATGCCTCCTCATGAGACGTCTCATGATCAGTCCCTTTCTGACACAGCACGACTAACAATGCCTGTAGACAGTCCTCATCACCGGTGCATCCGAAGGCATGGGCCTCAGCGCAGCCACTCAATTGTCTGCGAAGGGCGCAAATATTGTTCTCGTCTCTCGAAGCGCCAGTAAACTCGAAGCTGCTCTTTTCACCGTCAAGGTCCGCTGCCATTCTTCTATCTGCTTGTACAGTTACATGCTAACTTGAACCTAGGCCGCAGCCAAGAACCCCCAAACCCAACGCTTCCACTACATCGCCGCCGACGTCTCTGCCGAATCATACGCCAAACCTCTCCTCGAGGAAGTCATCAGCTGGAACAATGGCCAAGCCCCCGATATCGTCTGGACCATCGCTGGATTCTCCTTCCCCGAATTGTTCGTCGATATGGAAATGAAGTCAATGCGACAGCACATGGACGTCAATTTCTGGGGCACAGCTGAGATGGCACATGCCGTTATGCGCGAGTGGCTCACTGTAGACAAGCCTGTCGAAAAGGAGCCCAAGCACCTCATCATGACTGGAAGTGTCTGTGCCTGCTACTCTCCTCCAGGATACACTCCCTACACTCCCTCTAAGTATGCCATGCGAGGTCTGGCCGAATGTATCCAGCAAGAAGTTATGCTGTATCCTCAGAATGTTCAAGTCCACCTAGTTTTGCCTAGCACCATTCTCTCTCCTGGTAATGTCCGCGAGAACGAGCATAAACCCGAGATCACCAAGACCATTGAGAAGGACGATCCCAAGCAAACCCCAGATGAAGTTGCTGCGGCAGCTATCAAGGGTCTGGAAGCTGGACAGCACCATATTACTGTAAACTTCCTTGGTTCACTCATCAAGTGGGCATCTTTTGGTGGCACTCCCAAGAACAGCTTCGTTGATGTTCTTGGAGCTCTGCTTGCTACAATTGTGTGGATCTTTGTTCGCCCTATTCTTGACCACCAGATCAAGAGTCACGCAAAGAAGTACGGCCACCCAAGCTTGTACAACAAGAAATCCTCAAGCGCTTAATAATGCATTATCGGGTTCCAAAAAATCCAAGTAATGATTAGAGATACCCATTTAATAATAATAACCAAACCTGCTATGCTTTTCTGATATCTATGTATGTGGTGGTATCCATCAATATCTATAGTCCCCGTTTATACGCCGCTCCATTTACCAAACTTGGTATATGACTTGAACATTTCCTTTACAATAGCACGTCCGCTTCCGTCCATGGCGTCGTTCAGAATCTTCCTCACCTCAGGGGGTGTAATATCAAAGATGGAGTTCATGGCCGGCTCAAGAGCATCTCTCACTCGGCGGGGCACATCAGCTTCAAGTTGTAACTTGACGTACTGCATCATGACAAGGTACATATGTCGTCCAGCTGAACGCTTCGCCGCATCTGTAGCTGAGTCAAGAGAACTCTGGTGCTGAGATCGAGATACAGCACCGGCTGTTGGCTCGCAGATAAGAGTAACAAGACGGGCATAGCGATGAGCCTTTGTCTCGTGTGAGCTTTGGCTTAAGGTATCAGTAGTACTGTGGTTGACAATGAGGTTACGGAGAAGAGCCTGCATTGCTGACAAGAGAAGGTGGTGGTGACCTTCAAGCCGGAGACGGTGTTTCTTGATGATAACTTCCATCAAATTGCACAACAGTGCAAAGGGTACTCTTTCATTGGACACTTGTTCGTCAAGCGGCTTCGTTGATAGGCTCAAGTCAGAGATGGTGTTGAGCACCAACTCGATGTTCCATTGGGTCATTGACTGGGGCTTTCTCTCCAGGAGTGTGCAGAGAATACGACACACTCGGACACAAACGGACTGGCTCTTGAGCGTCAACAGGGTCGAGGTCAGCTCACTGTGGGCGGTCGCTAGGTCAAAGCCGGAGCTTTTCCCTTGTAGATCAGGGCATGCTACTCTGTGTTAGTTGACACAACTTCAATGGCTTCAATGGCTTCAATTGTCTTACCTAGGAGCTGGTTCACAACGGTATAGATAGCCGATGCTTGACCATCCGAGTCCGAACCTTGCACAAACACATGAATGAGGTCCCTCAAGTACGCCATCTTAGCGGGAGTATCCATCTCCTTTGTGACCGAAGCAACATTGCTCTGGAAGAAAGGCTCGCGAAGTTCCTGTGGTACCTGGCTGATGCTGTAAAACGTTGTTGGTCGGGGTTCTTCCAAATGCGTTGAGAAGTATGTCCTGAGGAACGTTTGTATTTGCCATCCGCGGAGATCTCCTGCCGCCATGGCTGCATGGCTGCTCCTTTCCGCCTTTCTTATGTCCGATTCCTTTAGCTTGGAAGCCCCTGAAAGACTCTCAAGCGACTCTGCGGCATCGACCGCAGCAAGAAGCCTGAGGTCGGCAATGACATTGTGAGTCTCAAATGCTTTCTTCGTTTTCAAAAAGTAGCCAGTCGCTGAAATTACACATTTTCCTAACGCATCCTTTGCAGCATCAGACACTGTGCTTAGCTCAGGATGACTGGCGAAGTTTGGTGACTTTCCAACCTCTGTGATTAACGTTTTCAATAGGGTCATGCGGAAAGGCGACAAATCCCCAGCTTCTTCACAGTCAGAAATGAAACTGCGGCTCTCCTCGAAATATTTGTTACTTCGCTCGTCCAAATGCTCCGCCATCTGTCGAACAGTGGCAGCCGCCATCATATAATATGCTTCGATCAGATCGGTCAAAGTGCCGTCTTGTGTAGGTGTTGAGCTAGAGATGTCTGACATGGCATCCGCAACATCAACTAGATGAGAGAATTCCATTCCTTCGTAGAAAGTCGCTCGGCCCATCAATTTAGTGGACAGTCCGAGGATGTATCTCCATCCCTCGATCGATACCCGTTTTGTCGTCTTTGCTCTGTGGGTGTTGAGCAATTCCATGATACGTTCCCTCTGGGGTCGAGTAAAGGCATCTGTATAAGTACTGCTCAAGCTCCGGATCCAGGCCTGGCTGCCCTCCGCGGGCCATCGCTTCTCCTTTCCATCCTCTTCCAACGACTTGATCAATCGGTCGATAAGGTCGCTAGCGACTTTGACTGTGTTCATGTTGTTTTCGTTCTCAAGTAGAGATGCCCAAATGTCCCTCAACTGAGCAACTTCACTACCAGGTAGAGATAACGCATTTTGTAGTGCTTGTGGGAGGCTGGCTTTGGTGCCATAAACAAATCGACTTAAACGACCAGAACCCCGTAAAAACCATGTCAAGTAATGCTCTGGGGCTGCTTCTTCGAGGAAAGCTGGCTTAGGATCATGCTGTAAGAATGATGAAAGGCCTCTACCCTTCAGGGACTTTGATGAGAGCAGGTCCTTTGATAGTCGAGTAGTGAAAGCATCCACCAGGCTTGCAGGCTCGTTGATCAGTGCGTCATCGGGGCTCATGGAAACCCAGGCTTGACAACAGCATTTGAAGGCTTCATACGCCTCCTTAGACTCAAGAGGTGACTCGGACAAGATCTTGGTCAGTTGTCCTTGGACAGAGGCCCAAATTTCAGCTCGTGACTCAGGGGTCACCCAAGAAATGGTCTTTGACACAACTCCCCACTTCAGTGCTGTCAAGGTGGACGACGTCTTTTTCACTTGGCTCACCAAACCAAATAGCTTACTGCCAACAGCATCCACGTACGTCTCGCTTTGAATGCCCTGAGCAATGGAGTCCAAGAAGAGGCAGAGTGCCCTGGAGTGCAATTTCTCTCCCTTTACCCATTCCAATACCTCCAGAAGCTGCTGTGGTGACATCTCCTTTTCAATCAAGCTCTCGAATGGAGTATTTCCATGCTGCCCTTGGCCAACCTGAAGCCATGGCGAGGTAGTCTTAGTCTTCTGCTTCTCAACCTTACAAAGCTGCTGAAACCACAACTTCAAGAACCCAGCAAAATCTCGTCCAGTTCGGTGTACTTGAGCGATGGCTTGAATGATCTTTGAAACTGATTCTAGATCCTCTTGTTTAAGCTCTGAGGAGATGCTTCGCTCGCAGGCGGTCTCTAGCAGGCTTTCGCCTTCAGGGAGCTTGAACACATCAAAATCACAACCAGCAATGACCGCGGTTAAATGCCAGTTTGTGCTGTCCTCCTGTAGAGCATACTCTCGGCAAACAGAACGCAGATCATTTGTGTCGATCGACATCGACTTTTCAGCCGCTCGCTCCAGAACAGCCTGCACAAGCTTATCTCGGTTCTCTCGTCCTCTTAGCGAGCCTTCCACAACTTTGAAGATCTGCTTCATCCAGTCGATATTTCCTTTCCGTAACCTTCCTTCACTAAGAGCATCTGTCACACTTGAAGCTAAGAAGTACAGCGCAGGAGCTGCTGTATCAAGATTTTTCTCGGCTGCATGAAGTGCTCTGGCGACGGGTTCCATATCTTGTCGGTTAATGAAGGCGGCTCGGGCGGGGAGTATCAGATTGCGATGCATGAGCTTTTCCAAATCGATTGTCCATTTCGTCCGTAAGGGCTCTCGTGTAGCCCTGTCGTGTGATCCATCGATACCCTCCAGTTTGCTGAAGATGGCTGCGGATGGTGTGAATAGCTGTGCTGCGACCTCCAGTGTATCATCGGTTCCTTGCAAGTGAAAATCCCAAATGGATGATATCGTCTCCATCCACGATTCCCTTCCTTCTTGCTCTTCACCGCTAGTAAGCGCAACATTGCACAGCGTTAGGGACAATGATGTCAAGGTCGCAGCGTCAGCCGCTGAGGTACAGAACAGAGATCGGATATGCTCTGCACCGATCTTGTCGTGGGATGATTGCGTGGCAGATGAACGAAGTCGGTCCAGTAATGTCTTCAGGGCACTGAGCAAAGCATCTCCACTCATAAGACACCCTTCGGCATCTCGTAGAGCTTCCAAGTCGAAGCTCTTTGTTGGCGACCGCTTTCTCTTGGAGGAGCTGGATGATGAATTCGTAGCTGGTTGTGAGATATCTTTCAGAGTTTGCTGCAGCACTGCAATGAATCGTCTATCGGCAAGAGACTTTGCGAGCGAGAATAGAGGAATGCGCTGAAAGACGCATTCAAGGATAGTCCAGGTCAAGGGCCAGCGTCGCAAAGTTTCAGCATGTTTTGATGCGCCGTTCATCGACTTTAGCAGCCATCGCAAGCTGCTCTCCTCTGCAGCATGGAATTGGCTATCTGCTAATACCGTCAAACTCTTCCATAGTTTTTCGAGATTCTTTCCATCTTCGCCCGGACCGTTTTGGTCAAGACCTCTTACAGTCTTAATCAGGTCCATCTTTTGCTGTAGCACATGTAAGCATTCACAATTGGGAAGCACGTAGTAAGAGAGATACATACGAGAGTTGAAGAATTTTCTTGTGGGGAACCTTCCGCTATTTCCACGTCCATAGCGACAGTTTTACAAAGGAATGATTAAAAAAATGGTTGAGAAAAGAAGCTATACAAACCTCGATCTTTGAATGCGCCCCGCGACTTTTCCTGAGTTCCACCCAAAATTTCCTAAATTCTGCCATAACGCTAAACCGTTACCGGCTCACCATTCTCACCGCCTACAGCCCAGCTCTTGTCACCCGGCTTGTTCCATATTCAAGCTTGACATCACGTCCATAGATAAAGCTCGTTGCAGCTCTTGATTTCGCTCGTCACGACCGATTGCACGACCTAAGTATGCCAATTCCTTTTTTTCTATTAATCTTCGATCATTGAAACTGACGCGATACATCACAGTTCAAAATGGCCGATTCCACTGTCGCCCGTCCTCCTCCCAGCGCCATTTCCCGGCCGCTTAGCGAGTCTCTTCTCAATGAGAAGGTAATCACGAGACCCGAATACTTCAAACGCTTTCTTTACAAAGTTTCAGTACTGACTTAACTCTAGTGGGATCGCTGCCTCTCCAACCTCCTCGTCAAGTCCTCCCTCGGTCTCGGTTTCGGTGTCGTCTTCTCCGTCCTTCTGTTCAAGCGAAGAGCATGGCCCGCATTCGTTGGTGTCGGCTTCGGTGCTGGCCGTGCCTATGAGGAGTGCAACTTCAGCCTGAAGCAGGCTGCGCGAGAACTTAAGAAGCAATCCGCATAAGGTATTACAGTGGTGGGCGCCAATAAAGAGAGACGAGCCGTTTATTTTGTACCAGCAACAAACACACCAGAAAATGGCGATGTGTTAAGGGATGACACAGGGAACTTTGCCGCGGGCTTCACGGAGAGCCAATGTCAGAGTAGGATGGGTTTTTCAGATTCAATAGAGGTATCATGTACAACAACCTGCCATTCCTGACCTTTCACCAGTCTTCATCCTCGTTGTCCCTGTAGTCTACAACAAGGGGCTGTCCCACTGTTGCGCCTCCTCATATGTTGCTGCGTTCATCGTTGGTCGAATCTGCCTTCTCTGTGTCCCCATAGCGTCCTCGTCCCTTCCTGTTGCGGACAGCGGGGAGTCCAGGTACTCAAAGCAGCTCTCACAGTCTGTGACTAATTCTGAGCTATTCGTGGAGAAACTCAGTAACTGGTCAATGCTAAATCTTCGCGCTCCGCTTGTGTTTGTGTTTTCCAGCCGGCTCCTCGAGGGGATTGTAAGTAAAGATAGGTTGCGTTTTAGGTTAATCAGCTCCAAGCGGAGCTCTTCAGCCAAAGACTGGCTTCGCCTTCGGACACTCTTGATGAATGAAGCCTCATGGTCATGATATGTTCCATCTCCTTGATCTGCCTGGTGCAACATATTCCAGTGCGTCTCACGCTGTCCGTTCTTAGCATCTCGAGTCCCTCGAGGTGTTCTGTAGCCGGCGCCAATTACGATGAAGACAGCGAGGAGCAAGACGAGTACGAAGACCACAATGGCGATGAGTATGATTTCCAACCTAGCCGAGTCGACAGATCGCTTAGCGTCGGGCATCCTTCTTCCCAGCTCAAAACAGCTGGAGTCGCGCAATGCTGGCTACACGGCAGACGATCCGGTTCCAGGCCGTACGGATCCGGGCGGAACTGACGGCTCGTTGAAGGTAGGGTTAAGCGAAGAGGAGGTAATCTTTGCTTTTGATCGTTTTAGTGATGCACAGGAATTTGGATGTAGTGTACAATGGGTGGAGTGCATAGAAAGGTAGGTAGGTAAAATAATAGGAGCAGGAGAACCGTGGAGATTTGATATCCATCTAACATACCTAGGCATATTCATAATTGCGATCTAAGTCAAGCATTAAGTTCCATTCTTAAAACTCCCTCAGACAAGGCCTCGGTACCTAGAATCGGCAGGTCGCACTTGTAGCCGTACCTTCGTTGTGCCCTTAGGAACAACCATCCGGGAAATCACGACCTCTGAGCGTACGAACCCATACACAACATACGCAGTTTTCTTTCTCCAAATCAACTCCAACAAAACAAACTCCCTTGTAACTCAATATCCTGCAGTCATCGACACACCGTTCTTCTGAGCGTCATTATAATGAACGATAAGAAATTGGTATGTCTCATATCCTGCTTCACGGTTACAGAACTTGTGCATAGGCATTGACAGCAAGCTCTAGTAATCAAGCCTCTTTCTTGTACAGATTATGAACTGATTCTCTCAAAAACACCCGATATGCCTTTACAACAGTGTTACCGCGCTCGTACGATCAACGTCCTCAATTTCGAACTCTTTACTTTAATCCTCCGCCACAACGGCGGCATTCGGAGCTCTATTCGTCGCGGCATATTCCACTGTTCTCTCTTCTCGCTTCTCGCGTCTCGAGTCATACTGTTGGGATACACCATAGTATGATGTTGGTCTGCACAAGCCCTGTCAGAGCACACAGCGCGGTTTGCTATTACGCATAATGTGCACAAGAAAAATGGCTGAAGGCAACGGTACCGTGCAATTTATCATCTATGAAAGCAAATAAAGCAAGTTGCAGAAACAAAGGATTGACCACCGCCCCAGTCTTCGATATCTCCTCATCAATCTGGCCGTCACTCCGCTCCCTTCGCATACTCCGTATCAGGCCATCGCGGTTCCTCCTCTACGCTATGGATTGTAATATAGTACCCAATGCATAGCGAATGGCTAGGAAATTACTTTCCATTACCTGTAGGTTTGTATTAGCAATATGCCCAATCGGAGAAACACTGATTCTGCAGCATGAACAAGTGTTCGCTGCAGCGATACCATGACACGGCGGAAGCAGTTCAACCAGATAACATGTGAGCCATTATCCAGGACACCGCGGGACAAGCAAGAGAAAGCAGGAAGAAATCTTCAACTCACCGGGGTCCCTGGGCCAGGGGCTGGGAGTGGGAGGAGGAGGCGGAGGTGTTCTCCCAAAGTTGGCGCAAACAACGTGTTCGGTAGAAACAGCCATGGTTGCTTCAATGATGTTTGTTGGAGAAAGTTGAAGGGGCTTTGATTTTGTGTTAAAGAGAACTTGCGGGAAGTGAATGCAGAAGCCAAGTTTGTTTACAGTTGTGTGCAAATTGTCTTGATGAGTTGGGAAGAAGAGAAGCAATCCACGGGGTAAATCCAGCCTCTTATACTTGACTTGTGTTGGACAAACGCATTGCCTCCATCATTAGTTTGTCAGAAGAAGTTCAACAATAAGACTGTCCTGACGAAGTATCAAAGAGGACCTCGGGGCGCTACAAGCTGTACAACCCCCTAAATGAGGCGATCCATTGTTGCTCAAGGTTGTTCCTTTGCGCCATGTTGTCGTCAGCTTTCCACTTCGACTACATTCGCCGAATGCAAGTTACCGCTTGCTTAACCTCTAAAGCAAGAAGACAAGACAAGGCCGTACTGTAAGTCGACGTTCCGTTGCCTATTGTGGAAACAGCTGTTGTTGGACGAGACACGGTTCAGGAGTCAAAGATATCCGAATATGGATTCTGTGTATATACTGACGCGAACTGTAGGACAGCTAGGCCAGTTCGAGAGCAGTGAAACGGTTTCGATGTCCAGTTATAGACTCGTATTCCTGTTCAAGCTGACTGAATCTCGTGTTCAAGGCATAGCCGAGTTGACCCTAAACTGGAACAACTCGATCTCAACCCTAAGCTTGGTGATGTCCTCAGACTAATGTCATTCCGCAGGCATAGTTGGACTCTGTCCAACCCTATGTCGAGTTCTCTTGCTTCGTCAATGGGTTTACGTTGCGCAAACCATGTAACGCTCGCGGCACAAAGAGATGGATTCTGTGCGCAGGGGTTTGGCCATCAACCTTTGCTTTGAGAAGATGTGCAGGTACAAGGGTAACGTGGAGGTTGTATTGGGTCTGTTGAGACAGGATCAAGTATATTGTTTCAAGTATATTGTTAAAAATGATTGGTCCCATGGGGCTGGATCCAACGCTTTTAGAACGCCTACAGCCGTTTGGACACAGCGACGGATAGCTACAGTTATGGAGCTTAAGCTCCCGAATGATTTACGTCCAGGCTCGTGAGCAATGCGTATCTTGTGGCCAGTCGGAGAGCTGGTTTGAGGTATGTACTTCTCGAATGAACCATGCCAGCTGAAGATAACCTTAGGCAGACATCATGTAGCCGACACTAAAAGCAGCGAGGCACAGGAGACACAAAAATGTGGTGGTTCCGGGATCAACAACTGCCTGGTGTTGATCCTTCAAGGCGCAGGATCTTCGACACACAATACACAAAGGTCCTATACCAGTCTCGTTTGAGATTATGCATTTGCTGCGTGGCGGCAAGAGTTCAGTTGATAGATGGATAAATAAATAATTGACGTATCGGAGCTTCTGCCGGGTCGGGGAGACAATTGAAACGTGTCTCTCGACGCAGTATGACAGCAAAAGATGACCCTGTCCCTCTTGCACTGAATATGACCGACTCCGAGTGTAAAGACATCGAGGCCGGTTGATTTTATCGTGCGTAAAAAGTGTAAAGAGGAGAGAAAAGAAAAAGTTAACAGCGATTTCACGACCGGGACAAGGTATAGCTTAGCTCCAGCACAGGCTTGTCTCGTGTCACGTGCATTGTGGACCTAGGTCCCCCTACCACGACCTACCTCTTTAAAAACTCTTCTCCTCACATTAATTCAATCCCAACTTCTACAACAGCGCCTCTTTTTTTTGTTTGGCCTCAGCTTCGCCTCTCCGAGGTTCAAAGGCAACTTTTGCCATTTCCGATGTGACATCCTCGGATTCAATTTCTCTTGCTCTCACTCGCTCACGGTCAACGCCGATGAAGCGCCCGTTCTGTGTTCAACTCTCATCAAGTCTCAGTTTCGGACTTGACATTCATGCAAATGCAGTCCTCCCCGAAAGCTGTTGAACGCCCTAATGACGAGACACTGCTCTGAGCAAAAGAGCTAAAAAGGGTCCGCGTTTGACAGTTTGTTTTTCGAGGCTGGTTTGGTGTGACGATGTCTCACTGTTGCTACTGCTCATACTTTGCTTTACGACTTACCTATCTCTACAGCATTTTCTTTCATTGTTCTTCAAGTCCGCTCAGCGGCACCCACGAATTGCCTACACCTCGCGCTTTCAATGCGCATGTGTGTCAACTTTATTTTTATCGTTCGTAGTGGGAGATTAAAACCACGGTCTAGACAACCGGTCCGCTCCACCCTGATACCATAGAAGCAGTGTGGCATCAGGACTAAAATCGGGCAAACATATCTAAACTACCTTGCCAATTCAACGTGAACAAATGTCTTGTATTTTCACATGTTTTTGAGTGACGAGTGACTCGAGGCAGGGCGTCGGACGCTGCACGAAGTATCGGCGTTACACGCAATGTCTTGCCCGTCATGAGAAATATTGTTGGCTCCTGTTATGTAATGTCATGCCATGCCATGCCATGCCATGCTGAGCATATTGATACTACCATAAGCTTTGAACGAAACAATGCTCTCTCGAGCTCACTCTGAGACGCTCCTGTTACTCTGCACATGCACGCATATAGCTCTTTCAGCCTCGTGTGCCGTCTGCGTGTCCCCTCGGTCATATCATTCAAGAAATCTAATGCCCAGTACAAGATGTTCGTGTCCCATTAACCGTTATACCAAGCAAGGCCTCGCATGCGCCATGTCTCTCAAAGCAACATTGATCGCCATATTTCGCCGTTCTGTCAGCACATGTCTCGGACAAATAGCCTTCGTTCAGACAAGGTCCTCGAAAATGCTTCTCTCGTCCTGGAACGATATGAGAAACCTGGCCACGAGGCGCCCTGTGTACAATGTCTGCGGATCCATAGGGAAAGGATGAGTCGACGTGTTGGGTATCATGTCGGTGGCTGCTAGAAACTGCAACTCTTGCCCTGAGGTGAAACAGACAATAATTAGCTTTTGTGACTCTTTCCAGAACAATACTTGTCAGTCCGTTAGCAGGGTCTGAGGTCGCACTTACAGCTGTCGCCGAACAATAGTTCTCGCAGTTGAGCCGAGAACCTCACAGCCGGTCCGTCCAGCTCGCCCTTTTCGGCAAAGCTGCTGTCAAGCACGGGGTTGAAACCTTTCGAGTTGGCCTCCTTGCTGTGTGTCTGATAGACTTGGTGGAACTGGTAAGCGAACTGCTTGAAAGGCATGTTCTCGACCTCGGCACAGGTATTTAGCGCAAGGCTTCTTTCGTACTCCGGTCTAGCGCAGTTCCTCATGTTGATTTCGTTCTGCGCGAGCACAAACGTGTCAGCTGCCGTCTCTACAGCCTCCATGAAGAGGCAGAGGACGAGAAAGGCGGCGGTGCAGGGTGCCCACTCGCGTCGGGACTTCGGCTTGAGAGATCGGTTGAAGAGCTCGAATAGTGATTGCACCTCACGATGCATTAGCTCGTCTACGATGGACTTGATCTGTCGTGCGAGGACTCGTGGGGTGACATAATTGGGGCCCTGCTCGATCATACCGACGGATCGGAGGGAGTCGGTCGTCTGCTGAGTGAGGCAGAGCTGTCTTGTCATGATGTAATGCATGCAGTAGATCGACAAGGCACGCTTGACCATAAGGGACTATATTATGACTGTCAGCTCGGTTAATGATACGTTTCGCAAGGTTTCACTCACCTCAGTCTCGTCAGCATACTCCTTGACGATCCGCAGCAGTTTCGCCGGCAGGTATGTGCTTGTGATGCTGTCTGTGACTTGGGCGACAAATTCTGGCTCGTTCAGGAGGTCTTGGATGTATCTCTTGGTCCGTTTCCTGAGGTTATCCCTCTCCGCGGACTTCTCAAGGTCGATACCAAGGTTGGCTGCCTTGTTGGCCCTCAGCTCAACCTTGTTCTGTCCCAAGTTGTGTAGCTGCCAATGATTCTGCACCTCGGCGTTGGTAGGGGTGAAGAATTTGGCTTGTATGGCCAAAACCGTGCTGAATCGCGGTCCCGAGAATAGTTCGACAGAGCACACCTGCTCTACCCCCTGAATATGGAAACCAGCAATGTTCTCCTTAGTGAACTTGGCCATCTCTTTGCTTTCCAGATGACCGCGAATGTATACCGGAAATAAAATGGTTACGAAGTCACTGAACTGCCAGCAGACAACTTGAGGAACTTGAACCATTAGTTTCTTGCAGCTCTTGCACGGACGTTCCAGGTCGCATTTGACCTTGCGACTGTGGCAGCAGAAGCAAGCACCCTGTCTTCTAACTTGCAGCGCATTCTCCTTTGTGGCATTTGCCAAAGGTCCTTTACGTCCTCGTTGACTTGTCCGGTTCATGGCTTCGAAGCACTCGAACGGGTTTTCGCGACCAGCATGGGCTGAGATGGAGTTAGGAGTTACAATGACAAACTTGCCAGATTGCTCTGCCTTCTTCTTCTTCTCGACCTTTCCGACCTTCACCTTTCGAATCGGTATCGACATCGGAGACTTGCTACCGCTGGGGCTTGCTTTTGAACTGTTCATCGAGCTCGGAGAGTAATTGCTCAAGGGTGATGGAGAGTTGTTGAAGTCATCCATGATCAAGATAGCATCATTGCCCCTTGTGTTCGTAGGGTTCCATGGCGGAACATTGGGATCCGACTGTAGTGGCTGTTGCATGTTAAAGTTGACTTGGGGTACTTGCACCTGTTCGTTCGAGTCTATCGAGAACATGTCGGCTGTGAAGTTTTGCATGAGAGCCATGTCTGCAGCAACATCAGTACCCTGCCCTTGAGGGGAGGCCGTCCTCCGCTTCAGCATACCATTCAAGCCCTGGGGTTGGAATTGGTTCGTATTTTGCTGTGAGAAAAGATACTGCTGCGGTGTCAAGAAGTCTTGCGGTTGAGTGAATCCGCCGTCTGTTGTGGAGGCAAATATGTCCGTGTTGGTATTGCTTGCTTGAGGCTGGAATGAAGAGGCATTGGCGGCAAAGAATGCGCTTGGGTCCATCTCTTCTAGTAATGGGGGAGAAGCAGCTGTTGGCGAAGGTGTGTTTCCAAGCATGAAGGGCGATGAGTTGTTCGCAGAGGTATATGGTGGAGGAGTGTTGCCGGCAGCATAGGGTGAGGGCGTATTGCCTGGCATGAATGGAGATGGTGTTCCGTGGACATTTCCAACCATGGCGAAGCTTCCTAGACTTCCACTAGCAGGATCAGAAAGAAAACCGATGGATGACGGGCCAGATCCCGTTGCTGTGTAGTCGATGTACTGCCATGATTCGTCGTCGGGGACAGACTCGAATTCGTAGGAAGATGAGGAGTTCGGTGAAGGCCGGGAGTGTACGGAAGCCATTTTGATAGGTCCTTTACAAGATCAAGAGATATATACTGTCGGTTTGGTAGTTATAACTTGGATTGTAGATATTGCTTGGTGATACCCAGGCTAGAGGTGAGTTGTTAAGGAATAATAGTCCAGGCAATGAGATCGGATGTTTATATGATGAAATCGAGTCCGTTAGATGAGATTGGATACCACTTCTTCCCTCTACTTATGTTGAACCCGCCAAATGTCGTGATTTTGGTCGATATTCAGTGAATCCTAGTTCTCCAAGTTGTGTAGTCGTAAGGCTCCAGTCCACTACTACTTTCACTTTGTCAGCGCGGGAGAGAGCGCGAGATTTAAGTCAAGAAAATCGCACTTTTACCAAAGCCAGACCGAAAGAAACAAACAAACAAACAAATAGAAAGAGGAATAAGAGAAGGCAAGTCGTCTGCTTCACTTTTCCCTCTCGGTCAACCTACTCGGACGTCTCAACACTTCCCACGCTAAACCCAAACAGCTACCGAGGCTCTGGTACTTCATCTTCTATGTCGCTTACACCCAATTTTAAGTATCTCAGAGTGCAGGGTAAGGCTTATCGCAACCAGTCATTTATGCACATGCTCGGCTGCACTATTCCCAAACAAGTACTCAGTCAAGTGATGGATTTGTATGTATTTTCGCAGAGAGCGCGTCTTCTTTGCTTAAGCTGTCAGGTGGTCAGTAGAACGAGTCTATCATAGAGGTGCGAGCTGTCATTCAAGATCGTACAGCAGCAATGGTAGCATTATCGATCTGTGTCTGTGACTCTCTGATTGGTGTACGATTTTGTGCATCACAGCATGGAGGCCTCAAGCCATTGTATGGTATTGGAGCCTCAATATCAGATGACATGTGGCCTCGGAGGCTTCATCATATTCCAGTGATCTCGATAATACCATGATTCACATGAATATACCATGTTGGTTCTGGATGAATCTGAATTGAAGTTCTGACACAGAATGGACACACAATGTTTAGCTACCCTAGGACAAGAAGTCAATTCGTGAGCTAGCTACCATGCTATGGATGTAATATAGAACACCTTCATACGTGGTGGGTTTCACTGAAACGGCCAAGAACAATGCCAGATTATACGTACCATATCGGCTCATATTGTATTCGTAATACATGCGGTCTCTGAAACCATGTCTCCATCATCTCGTCACGAAGCGCCCGTCAGCCTCCAAAGACCACGCTTGCTAGATTCCTAACCCTCACTAGGATCACACGCCCAATACATGCCCAATGATCAGCAGTGAGAATAGAGTTGAGATGCCTGCTCCCGAGAGGTCATCATCATCACGGCCTTCACCCCCCAAATCGTAATCCTTGCCAACCCAACCGATGCCCAACACCACCACCTTCACACTCGTCACCCAACGCCACCAACGGTTCGAACGGTTGAAATGACAGGCATGATATGCCATGAATTCTTCGAAGCAGCGCTGATAACTCAAACACACAGTGATTTCATCATCGTGAGTCCTGTCTGTATTGGAGCACTCTTCTTCAAATCGAGTTAAAAAACGATAAGTATAAACATGTGCTAGAAACAAAAAAGCACGAGAAAAAAGCATGACTCGTTCATATGCGAAACAAAATTCCAGAGAAAACAAAGTGCCATAAAATAAACTCCAACACGCTCAGACAATAGCCTCCCAACCAGAAAGACGGCTGCTGGGAAGGGCTGGTGCGAACCTGGCACGCCGGCCCCCTATGACCCCTAGAGAGCCATCGTCCGTATATGATAAACATTATCGTCCACAATGTCAAATTGTGCTTGTGGCCCCAAACCCTTTTTGCCTGGGCCACATCCCTGTTTCTGATTCGTGCCGTTGTCGTCACTGGCATCATGCCTCCTGTTCTAGGAGAGCATATAAACGTATATCATTAGAGTCAGTCGCTTTGAAGACTCGTGTGCTCAAGCTTGGATTCTTAAGCTCGGTACCGCGCTGCGGCACGATCCTGGATCTGCTTGTCTGTAGAAACGTATAGTCGGTCTAGGTAGTCCATAGCCGACGCATCCTTCAGGATCTTGGCCACCTGAATACCGGCCGAGATCAGCTGAAGGATGTTGCGGTCGTCCTTGAGAGGGCGACTCTGGTGCTTAGCGGCGTGTCTCATCTCGAGTGAGTTCTCGAGGATTGTGACAAACTGCTTGATCTGCCCATTGTAGAGCACTCGCGCTGGGATGCGTCGCTTCGTTGCGAGACGCTTGAGGAGGTAAACCCACTCGGTCCATTCTCGATCCTGAGGTCGCTCAACAGGTCTCATGTCCTGAGTGAGAGGAATCGGGAACTGGTACTTGGCAACGAAATCGTATGCGCATTGCGAAAGACGGTCATTGACCTGGCTCAAAACACTGTCCTGCTCTTGGACATGAAGGTTCGTAGGCAGGTGAGGAAGCTCACGTTCCTGCATAGCAATGACATCGGGAGGTGGTCGCTGCAAGAATTGATGAGGACCGTCAAACTCGTCACGGTTTGAGGGACGTCTTTGCGATCGACCTTTGCCAGATGACTTTGACTTTCCTCCGGGAGCAGAGTTGCTCATCCCATTTTCCAGGGAATAGTCGGACAGGTTAGGCGATGCGATGATATCGTCCACCGAGTCGGTAGGTGAGTATCGATCATGGTTCTCCCAGGACTGAGAGGTTGCTCCCTTGTATGAGCCATGGACGACAGGCTTTCCGTATGATCCTGAAGCAGGACGGGCGCCGTATGATGGAGCAGCGGGATAGGCTGACTCGGGTCGCGACATATGGCCGCCAGTACCAATGGGCAGACCGCCAGCTAGGTTATAGTTGCTAGCTGAGTAGTTGACACTTGAAGCGGCCGATGTTACTAATGAGTCCGAGCTGGTATTGTTCCGAGAAGTACCATACCTTTGTGCTGAGTAAAAGCCATTGTCGAAACTGCCATGTACCGAGGGATCGGTAAATGAACTACCGGTGAATTAGCCAACCATGATCCTTTCATACGTACAGAGACGGTCAGCAGAGGGAGGGAGGGATGCTGTCTCACCTGCGAGTTGGATTCCAAGGACTGTTCGACATTGTTGAAGACTTGTAGGCATGATCTGGTTGTGCCATAGTGTACTGGCTCATCATTGTAAAAACCGCAAATAAGTGTTAATTTTGACAAGACCTGACGAGACTTGCGGCTGATAAAGAAAGAATCCACCGGCGTGAAGAAGCAACAGAATGGATCCACGTTCCCAAGTCCACGCCTTGGGTTCCAATTAAAAAAAAAAGAGAACAAGACAGACTACCGGTAAACCGATGAATGGAGATGAACACCGGACAGCTTGTACACTATGGGTCCCTTTGGGTCTTGGGGGGTCCCTTGGGCAGTGAATGATCCTGGCCCGGGTTCCTTTTCTTCCAAAAGACAGGCTGGGCTGGGCTAACTCTCTTCTCCAGGGTCATCCACGACGGTTGACTAGGGTTTCCTTTATTGATGGTGATGAAATTCCCTGGGTCCTGGGTCCTGGGTCCTGGGTTCTGGGTCCTCCTGCTGGGCTGGGCTGGGTTGGCGGCTGTACAGTAGAATGTAACTTGTAGGCGGTGTGACCTGTGTGTCCTGTGGGCTGTGGTATGGATGTGGTCCAGGCAGATGGATCACTCTGAGATGGCCGTTTCTAGGAAGAGCAGGAAAAAAAGAAACTAGGTAAACTTCGCGGAATGATAGTGAAGAAGCACTAAGACAGTAGTGCAAGATCCTTGGAGGCGCTTCTGAGCGAACCAGTTGCAAGTGAAGCTGTTGAACAAGCTGATCTGAACCGAACTGGTACAGAATTGAAAGAGAATCTGGAGGAGTGAAGCTCGGAATGGGGACGATTTATGTTCGTCCGTGAGGCTGCAAGGGATGAAGGTAAGGTACAGACAGAGACGGGGACGACGCATGTCATGAAGCGAAACCCTTGTCGTGAGAGATGGATGGCGATGGAAAAAAGCGATGCCCCATTCACTAGTTAGTTAGTCTAGTCGAGTTGAGTAGTGAGTAGCCTGTAGTGTAGTGCGCTGTAGTGGGCAGTGACAGGGACCAGGCGTGAAGCAAGTCAGTGATGAGATGGCCCAAAATCCTTTTTCTGATAAGATTTGCAGTAGAATTCGCCCCAGAATCCCATTCTTTTATTGTTTTGGAGGGTGTCAATCCGGCGCTTCGGAGGTTGGTTGGTGGGCGATAGTTTGTACCTGAAGAGAGAGTCAATCTAATTAATATCGGCAAATTTCTTGACTTTTTGGATGGCGCAAGCAACCTAACTACCAAGCGAACAGAACCCACGAGCGAACCCTGTCTCTGATCCAAAGCCAGGGTGGGTGACGTCTTGTGTGCCAGTTTGAGTGGTAACCATTAACATTCAGTATGAAATATTCCACGACGATATTGTGTAGCCAGAGAACCGAATAGAGAGTGGAGAGGTATCGTCAGCGGGAGTACTGATACTGAGTGCCGGGTTACCCCAGAGTGCCTAAGAAAGTCAACCGAAAAAGTCACTGCCTCGGCCTTGACAAATTGAGTGACTGGGTGACCAAGTACATTGGCATTGGGCGCTCAAGCGTTGTTGCCCAAGCAAGCGAGGCGCGTCGACATCCATCGCTGGCTGACCTCATGAGAGAGTGAAAGAGTGAGTGCTGTATGTACGAACAGGGTAGTACCTGGAACCGTTGAGAAGCGGTCAATCAATATCAACCAACGATGGGACTCGATAGACGGTTAGAGACTAACGTTCAGGTAACTAAAACGTCCAGGTCAGGCACCAAGGCGTGTTGTCTTGCGTATGTAAGTGAACCCGACAGGGCTTCGATTGATGCCCACTGACCACCTCTATCTTGAATCACGGGACAGGAGCCCGAGTGACAATGGGCAATGGATGGTTGGGTATTGGCTTTTGAGTTTGTTTGGGCTCTGTCCCTTGTTTGTTGCTGATCAGGATACTGATACTGTAGCCATACATAACTTGACCCCCACCAACTCATCAATTGACTGCCAGCAGACCACCCTCGGCAAGGCGGAATGTCGAATCTGGGGGTTGATCGTTAACAGGGCGGTTGGTGATTGGGTCTGAGTTGTTAATAGAGGAGCGATATGAACAAAGGCTGACAGCATTTGACGAACTGCGGTCATCATGGACCATCATCATCAGTTACATCCATTACCTGTCTGTGATTCTTGGGTAAATGCCATCTCCTCGCTCAACGAATTACTCCGTACCTTCATACATACATAGAACAAGAAGACCTCCTCCGTTCGGAAATGGGCGACACAATGGTCTGACGCTGATGTAAACGCCAACAACCGGCAACGTCAGTAACTACTCCACCAGCCCTGTCGTGGCCCTTGAAGCTCGTGGCATCTCTCGGCAGCTGGCAACGGGACGAAGAAAGGGTCTGCCCGCCTCAACCGGCCGAGTTCAGCTCTGTTGATTGTGAGGCGGATGTACGTATGTACATAGTATGTATCAAGTCTGTGGATCAACGATATCGGATAAATTCTCGGTTCTCGAGTTGACAACTTCAAAGGCTGAGAGGCATTACTACATTAGACATTGACCGCCTCGTGGACAGCGGCATCTGTTCACATCGATTCCCCATATTCCATTAGCCGAAGCAGGGCTGTCCACTGGAAAGATGCCAGATCATTAGTTAACATGACATGGGCAAATGCATGTGACCCGATCTGCGGAACCCAAGCCAAATGTTCCATGTCAATTCAATTGTCGCTTGATTGATTGACGTGGAGGAGATGAGGTGGCACAGCCGAAGTGTACGACAATGCCTTTTATCATGCCGACTTTTCTCAGCCACTCAGAATAACCTTATTCTCTCGACGAGTCGGTAATTTCTTTCCTTCTTCCTAAATTTCCTCAGCTTTGCTCAAAACACTCGCCCGTGTCCCGGTCTCACAATCGCTCGCCTTGCTGCTGATCAATATCACCACAGCCTCAATCAGGATTTCGGCCCATCCGCTCGAATTAGCTCAGCTCTGATAAAGACATACTTTGTTCAGCTTGCCTTCTCAATCACTGATAGGCCACTGAATTCCTCAATTCTTTTTCTGGACACGACATGGCGAGCTTCGATTGTTCCACCCATCATCCTCGATACCCTGGACTCATCTAGCCCTAGGCCTTCAACACGAGGTTCACCAGCCTCTCTTATTCCAGATATCTAAGTTAATTTCAGGACACGAGACAACCTCCCTTGCTGAGAAGACAAACTGCGTCATTATCTCTCCTATCTAAGGCTGAACAAGACCGTGTCTCGCGCCGCCGCTTACTAGCACGTGGTCCATGGCTGAAGGAACACGAGCTATTCTCTCGGTACCAGGCGTTCGTCAATGCAGTCTCCCCTGTTGACATCTGGAAAGGCCCAAAATAGACATCGATCCCCACACTCTGTCCGCTAACAGTTGAGCGAGAGACACTTTAACAGTCAGCTCCGAGAGGCGGGCCCCCACACCGACGCCTCAACCGCTCCGCTCCGAGTTGGAGATTCGGCCTCTTTCGGTATCGCGAGAACCTCCTTTGCTATTTCGTGGTACGAGACAATGAAAGAGCAACTGCCAGCTAGGGGTGATTGGCTTGTATAGAGAATCGCCTCCTTTCAGGGGGTGTCGAATCGGTTCCGTGTTACTCCATGCCATTGGGTCGTATGCTGAGCACGATATCCTCATCTTCGTGTTTATTTCCAACGGCCAACCGTTATCCAAAAGATTAAGCCATCATTATCATCTTGCCCCTGTCGCGATGAGGCTTCGGTTTGGAATAGCTGTCGCCGTGCGTATTATATGTGACGTAGCAGCTTTTTAAGACGTAAAGTCTAGGTCCACTGGAGAAACGAGACATTTTATTCCAGCCCATTTTCTCTCCAGGCGGCCGACTTTTCTCTCAGTATGGCCTCACTGATCTCATCAACCCCGGGCAAAAATGAAGCCTCTACGGGTTTTGTGAACAAGCCCCCGCCACTGGGGACCTAGCGAGTCATGGGGCTAAGAGAATCAGTGATATTTGATTGGGCAGAGACCCTGCAGCCTTCGTCTAGGAAAACGAGCTTTGCTCCCTTGAAATCTATTTGGGGATATCCCGCCTACTGGCGTGGATTGTATCGGGCAAAGGCTGGTCCTCAATACGAAGGAATTCTTGAATTGCCTGCCTCTGTTTTCTTGAACCGTGTCAGCCGTGCTTCAAGACCACGCTTCTCGTGGAATATTTCCTCTCGACTGCCCCCGAGTCATTGGCGAGGCGTCTGGTGATATACGGAGCCTACATTAGCAACATGTAGACGAAGCCACTGCTGTCCATAATCAGTCCCAGAAAAGATATACCGCATAGCCACTGAGGAATGCCAAGATAACATCATGGCGCCGCCAAAGGACAAAGAACGAAAGAGAAAGTTTCATCGGAGAAGCAAAAACGGATGCACTCGATGCAAGGCCAGGCATGTGAGGTGCGACGAGCAAAAGCCGCTTTGGTATGTTAAACTTCCCGGTCTTACTCGTGGAACAATCGATACTTTCCCCTCGTTTTCTTGTCGTTGCTGCAAGGCTACGCGAGGCTCCGGCGTGGGATAGACGAGCTTTGCATGAGGCTCCGGTCGGTTGAGTCGTAAGCCTTGTAGGACTGACTAACAAATATTGCCAACACAGCACCAATTGCCTTCAGACGGGGAGTGAATGCATATATCCGACTCCAGAACAACCGCTCCCATCCAATGATTCCTCACCTTCACCGTCATCGTCGTCCAGCAATGTTGCTCTGGGGAGCTTTGGGTCCCAAATGGCACTTACCGAGTCAGCGGCACCAGCATCGCCAGGGATGAGTAATGCCCTCAACAACTACGTTGGAGGCTCCTTTGATGCTCTTCCGGAACACTCCAAACGCCTTCTGCGACATTGTAAGTCACTTTACTGAGAGAAATACTTGTCCCACAGGGCTAACGTCTTGTACCAGTTTCACAGTACACGGTTTGGGGTTCGAGACCTGTTGCTCGGGAGCTGGAATCTTCAGCGTGCGTCAACCCGGTAGTTGGGTCGACCTGACCTGCTAAACACCTTGAACTGACAGCCTGCTAGAATACAAAAATCGTTCGAGAATCCTGGCTACATGCACATGTGCCTCATGCTATCAGCATGTCAGTGGGCATGGGTTACCGGTTCGATGGACGAGGTCAGGATCCCATTCCTGTACCATAAAGCGGCAACCTATCAATTCGCGAGAGAACAGCTCCAGAGTCCAGAATTGGCACAGAGCGGAGACACTATGTTGGCTATATCTGCACTTGCGCTGACTGAGGTATGGATATCCTTGGTTAATAATCTGACCCGCTAGTCTATCGTCACTAACATTCCGTGATCCAGGGCGCGATAGGAGAACTGGACGCCTCCTCAAGACACTTGAAGGGTATACAATCTGCAGTAAAGGAGTGGAATAGGGTTGTCGATCCAGTGCCGACGTTGCCCCAGAGAATGCTCAAGATGTTAGTTGTATTGAAGGATTATAGCGCTAACAATGATGTTTGCTGACATTTGTTCAGGGTCGGAGAAGGACTACGAACCGGAAAAGCAGGCCAACTCGTGAACGTGCCCGAATACCAACCAACCTTTATGGCTCTCCTATTTGCGTCGATATGGGATATCACAGCGCTACCGCCGCGCGAAGCTCCGAGATATGGCTGGTGGGAAGATCTCGAAACACCAGCGGCCAGACTTTGGCAAAATCATACCAGAGACCTCAACCTCAACTATGAGATTTCAAGAGGTTTCAGTGCGAGTCAATACGTACCACGAATCTTGAACGGCGACCCTAAAAGTAGCCGAACGAGTTTCATAGCGACCTTCTTCTATCTCTGTTCTGAGCTGGGCGACAGATACTTCGACGTAACCATGATCGACTGGCTCCTTGAACAACTCATAGACGATGTTAATGCAGGCGAAGAACATCTGAGGATGAGTGAATGGACACAGTCACTCTGGTTATTTTGCGTACTGTTTGGTGCGTCAATAGCGTTCACTGGGCGGGCCAATAATGTAATCGAAGAAAGACAACTGAGCAAATGGCGAGGCGTTTACGGCGACAAAATGAAACTGGCCAGTCGAGAACTGGGAATCAAAAGCTGGCAGTCAGCCCGGGCGATGCTGGCTGAGGTGGTGGGAGGGATAGACGGCGAATTAGAAAAGGGTCTAGAGGAGTTATGGAACGAGGGGATATCAGGAGAGACATCGGGAGAGAGCAGTGCAAGTCCAGCAGTGGTAGAGCTGTCAGAATCCGACTAAGCCATGCTTCGTCACCTCGACTGAGTTGGCGTCTGACTGCTTGAAAATAGATTGGGAGCAAGCCAGGTGATGCGTGGATGCGAGCTATCATATATTTTTGGTGTTGGCTTATCGTGGTTCAAGGCCAACGAGAAGGGTCGATGAGATACCCGTAAGATAGACATCGGCTGGGCTGACGGTAGAATGAGAGGACATCAACTCATAGAATACATAGAGTTTTCCCTGGAGGAAGCGTTGAAATTCAGATAGGTAGTGTTCAACAAGAGACTCAAAGAACCACACAAGACGATAACAAAGCTGAGGCGGTTACACCATCACGTGGAGTTGCGGGCCGCTTCCCGTTTCTCCTTCCCTTCCATTGTTCCTTCTAGCAACTTTCCCAGGTAGGAAATACGGGGAATAGACGGAATGGAGGGAAAGGAAGGCACGGAACGGCGCTCCCGTCGAAGAAGGGAAGGAAGTAAACTAAAAATCGCGGGTGGCTCGGACTTATCAGGGTCCATCAATCAAACATCGACAACGCATCGAATCGAGATGATTTTCTTGCCTGAACTTCATCTCCTTTCTATGCTCACCTGTATCAGTGAGTATCGGCAGACGCCGGCCTGGTCAGTGTTTCCAACGACAATGCTTCATCACCAACCATTTCGGGAACTGGGCCATCTTATGACTTGATTGTTTGGGCTTGTCGTCTCGCCATCTTTTCTCATTCTGCCATCGCGCCTCAGCCGCCTGATTTTGCATTTGCATGTGCATTTCACACATTCTTGACCGCAGTTGTGTGTCATATGCATGCCACGAGCGATTCGCTGGCCCATCCTGTATCCCGCTCATCATTCTAACGGACGTTGTAGACCTGCTAAAAACAAACCAAGGCCTACCCCGCCTGTTGCGGTCTGCTACATGAGCAATCACAGGACGTAGATAAGGCACCTGGGTGATAAGCGGCATGCTCGGTGTGCCGTCTGTTGCATATTGGCTCACAGGATGTGGCCTGGTTGGCAATGGTTGCTTTGTTTAATCCACCCATGCTGACTTGGCCGCAGGACTTGAGAGTAAAGGAGGGTCACTTCTGACAATAGCGCAGCGGGCCACGGCCACGAAGACATGGCCAAACTCTGACAGAGACGAGAATGACAGAGTTTCTCGTTGACTCGCGACTTGTGAATCCTCGAGGCTGTGGTGGAAGTGATCGTCAGGAGCCCGGCTCTGAGATACTTTGCGGTCCAATACGGAGGCTGCTGTATCCGACACTAGTTTTCATCCCAAGGACGGATACCTCAATGATCATCCTCAGTAATTAATCTTTCGCAACACAGGCGAGATGACCATTTGGACGCAATCTCGGCCAACCTCTCATTTTCTCTCCCGTCGACCCTGTTTCCTCACATCTTTTCGCACCGCATCCGCGTCCAACTTGGTTTTGCGCTCACGCAGATGCAGTGATGCGTTGTCCAACAGCCATTATCCCTTCCTCTCATAGGTTAATGCTAGGTGATAGGATACGGACCAGGTCCTATCTCCACCCTGACCCATCCTAAATCAGGGAAGTTAACCAGTCGCTCGTCGCTTTGGCCCATCCCTTCTCTGCTGATCCTTGCAATAGCCCAACACACCGGTTTCTGCATCCTGAAATCACAAACGCCAACTCACTCCTGCGACCAGACAATGGCCGCGTTTTGCGGCAGTTGCATGGATAGTGGAACCCTGTCGCGGTAGCAGGTCAGGCTTCTATGACAATAAAACCCGCAGGATCCCTCGTTGCCCAACGTCTCCCTTTTGTTCCTCAATTTTCCTGCCCAACTCTCGCCTCTTACTACCCGACCAACCATTCAGTCTCATCCTTCATAGACTACCAAACCTTTCTTATCCTTCTTTCTCATACACAACTATTCAACGTTTTCAATCTTCCATCCGGAATTGAAAGCAACCCAATCAGCCTAAGGATCCATCCTGTCGCGCAACAACACCAACAACTCGACAGATTGCCACTGGTCTGAACGTGCAAGACAACGTCCTAACGTTGTTCTTCGCTGATCCACGAGCTCAATTTGCTCTCCATTCCGAGGATACAATGACTGTTACTCTTGTGACACAGCCTGCTACCATGCACGCTTTCAAGAACTCTGACCTCGATGAGGTTCACTCGTTGTCCAGGTACTGTTTTTCTTAATCTTCCCTGGGAGGTTTGCATTTGCTTTTCAATCATGTTGCTCGCAAATCATGTACACCGACAATCTTGCTTCACTCTGTCCAAGGATACCAAGCCAGGAAACTTCATCCAACTCTCGACCCAAGGATATTTCCCGGAACATCTTTTGCTGGATCTCAAAGGACCTTGATATACCCATGGATAATTACGACAACAAGCCCCTGGACTCAAAATTGACTGGATCTGTCCGTCCGGACATGAAACAATAATATTATTTACTGGCCATGCGCCTCGTGAGTATTGCCCGCTTTCAAATTGAATCAGCAGCTCTTCGCCTGGAGGTCAAACCTGGACTTTTCATGGACCACAAGGATTTCTCTTCCGGATATCAGGAGGTCGACCCAAGGACAATGGACCTTTTCCTCTGATCTCGTTTTCTGGATATGGACCTTTCATATGCGGATGGTGTTTCGACAGGACTTCACACGACCCATGGAATTTCGCCTGGACTTTCTGCTCCTTCTGTACCGCTTAGCGGTGTTAGACATCAAGGTAGCATCTGGCTTAATGGCCTGCAATCCAATTTGATTGCTTCTTCGTGCAGCCGCACTGGAGTTCCATACATGGACACCAATTATGCTTTCCACTGGACGTTCTTTCTGCCGGATCACAATGGTTACCGAGGATCTCGCTGTTCTGCTCAATCGACTCTGGAATTCCAACATCGACAATACATGCTATACCAACTTGTTTTTCTGCGAATACTTAGATTGAAGGCCTGGACTTTACGACATCACATTCAACATTCCCAACCTGCCACTGGAACACTGCCGGATTCGATGTGATTTGATTACTGTATTGACGACCTTGCCTGGCTACAACAATGATCCATGGATGATCCAAAGGATTTCGACAGAATGCAAGATCTAATCCTAGGTTATGCTTCACACTGTCATACTTGGTCTGTAAACTAATGCCACGTCAACCTTGTCTCGAATGCTAACCTAGTAACAGATTCAAAGTTGATTCCGAGTCATGACTTCAGTCTTGTTGTTTCATTTTTGCTTTTATTTGCTTTCACATTGCGAAGAACGGGACACTGACCCTTCCCCAGCGATTATAGCTACTCTCAGCCAACATTGGCCTCCAACACTGGACTCTTTTCTTTTTCTTCTCAAACAGAACCATCAGCGGACCTGTTGACAGGTTCGTCATGGGCCACGACAGTAGAAGGACCACAGAACTTTCAAGATTTCTCAGACAATGGATCCGCCCATTCCGGAGAAGCCGAGGAGTTCATTTTCACATCTGGCCATGCTACGCCCCGAGGAACCAGGGTGCCTTCCCAAGGAAACTGGTCCACATCCAGGACTACCGCTTCTGTGACCCAAGGTGGACAAGCCATGTCCAGGGTGAGCTCAAGCAGGTCTAGCGGCTCTTCGCTGTCACAATCATCACATCTGTCCAACATGGACTTCACAGGTAATGCTTCCGCTCTTCAGACTGGAACCCAGGCCGGTGCTACCTTGCATGGAATTGATACTTGCCTCCTGGACCCTACCGATGGTATCACGAACCAGATGTACTGGCCCGGCTACTCCCTTGACGGTGGACTGAACGGTGATGCCACCTTTTCTCTTCCCGATGCCAACCCTCTGCATGTTGTTCCCTCTCACATGCAGCTCGGCCCTGATGTCTCCCTGGTTGAGAACTCTCCTCCCAGCCCTTGGGACTGCTTTTCTAGCTCAATCTCTCGATCATCTTCTCCCAACACTATTGAGGATTTGTGGTTCCCTAACCAGAGCCCAAACTCATCTCCTGAGATTCAGTGCCAGTCACCAAGGTATGTAGCCCCCAACCGCATAGTGACCCCTGATCCGGTTTCTCACCAAGTCGACTGTTTTAGCCTGGACCGGAACATCCCTTTGATCTCTGAAGATGCCAATGGAAAGGCCATTCCCACGTTCGACGAGCTTCCTGCTGCCACCTCTGCCTTCACTGGTCCACGACGACAGAACAGCGATGGTGAGTCCGCTCGGGACCATGACCTCTACAAGAAGGCCGCTCCATACGAGGATGGACTTTACCACTGCCCATGGGAAGGACAACCAAGCTGCAACCACCGACCCGAGAAGCTCAAGTGCAACTATGAGTAAGAAATCATAAGTCAAATTAATGAGATAATGTATGCTGACTGAGCTAGCAAATTCGTGGACTCTCACTTAAAGCCCTACCGCTGCAAGGCTGAGTCGTGCGAGGGCGCCCGCTTCTCGTCGACAGCTTGCCTCCTCCGCCATGAACGTGAGGCCCACGGACTCCATGGTCATGGCGACAAGCCTTTCCTTTGTGTTTATGAGGGCTGTGAGCGCGCCGTTCCTGGAAATGGATTCCCTCGCCAGTGGAACTTGCGTGACCACATGAAGCGTGTTCACAACGACCACGGAAGCTCCAGCGGCTCACCTACAACTGGATCTGCTCAGCCTGCCAAGGGACGTAAGCGCAAGACTGAGACTGCCGAGACTCAGACTTCCCACAGCCGCAAGGCGACTGTCAAGTCAATGCCTCCTCCCCCGGAGCCCAAGGAGAACATGACCCAGCCCCTTATTGATCAGTGGATGGAGCACCGCAAGGCTGTGGAGAGCCTCATGCGAAACCTCGTCAAGCCTGAGGACACCCAGAACCTCCAGCACATCGGAACTCTCCAGAACCGCCTGGGTTCCATGATGAAGCTCACCAACGACCTCAATGCCATCAACAACCCAGGCAACACCCTGGTTGGCACTGGCTGAATGATTTGTAAGTAGTTGTCTGGATGTATATCCCTGGATCAAACTAACCATCTTTCAGACATGCGAGTCTTGTCTGCTACCGAAAAAACACCGAAATTGATTTGTGCAAGTGCACAGGCAGAGATAAGAAGTCCGTCTAATATAGAGACAAATTCTGAATCTCCAAGACGTCCCAAGGACCGGGCAATGATGCCTCAGATCTACGGCAGAAGGACACGTCCAGCCGAGTAGACTCTTTTCCTAGGAACGGATGCACTGCATTACCACCGGAATCCATCAGTCCTAAGGACACGGACCACGGATGTCAACCCAAGGATTGCGCTATTGCTGCGCCAGGATGATAACGGAGTTCCCGTTATGGGAGAAACACCAAGGACTTTAGAGTCGAGCTGAGAAGGAAAGAGGGAGACGTCGCGAGGAGGACAACAGATAGACTGATCATTCTGATATGAGTTTGATACAGATTTCACAGAGAACAAGTACAACAACAACAGATGGCCCTTGACAACAGGAAAGGGTAGCAGATTTAGACACTTTGTTTGGGAGGAATTTTGATATTGATAGCATCACTGCAGATAGGATTTGAGTTCAATCGAGTTTGTTTTTGAGAAGAGTCTGGTAACATGTGGGTGTAACTATGCAAACGCTTTCGAGAATGGCCTGACATGAGTATCGTGTATGGGTCGACCGTATTCATGGCCCGACTAAGTGACATTGTTAGACGGAACAGGGTCTTTTCTCATCCATGTAACTGGTTTCAAGGTCCTAGATTCATTGTAGACACATCGTAGATGCGACATCAAAGGGCGGGAAACAAGTCAAGATCAGCGGTGAAACCTGAAGTTTTTCGGGAGAATCAGGGCCATGGTCTCCGGGGCCAGATCGTGGGGATGGTGAATGCAGCTCTTCTGTTTCGGGATTGTTCTCCCCTCCACTGCCTCCATGGTTGAGACTTACCTCACCTCACGTCACTGGAACCATAGAGATTATGCTTTATAGAGGTCAAGGTCGATTGATGGCACGACAACTGCGTTGAGTAGCTCCGAGATATCGGCTCGGTCACGGTCTCGGTGGTTTCAGTAGCATCCATCTCATAGGTCGTTAGTGGAGGCCAATGATGGCTGTTAGGGTCCTTGAGCCTCCACTATGACGCTACTGCGTTGGATCAGCCAAAAAGAAAAACGGCACGGCAAAGAAACGCCTGGAAGTCTTTTGTTTTAGAGTGTATGTCCTATCAAGTTGCGTTACTGGGTAGTGATTGACGGACAAGTGGATGAAGGAGAGAAACGGAAGGGCAGCATATAATGAACGGTAATAAGCTCCGAGCTCTGCCGTAAGTAAGTGAGAGCGCCGATGTGTTCTTGTAAGTGATGCCGTCCAGCTGTTAAGCTACATATAGAGACGGAAAATGAACTGGCTGCTCTCACCAGAAATAATATGGTGTCGTTATACTCAATAACCCCCCCTAACCATCTACTAAAACCAAAACTGAATCCATTGATCCATGTCCTCATTGTCTGTCGATAATTCATGACCTGACTTGGTCTGGCCTGAGCGGCCCAACTTAAGTACAACCTACCCACCTTGAGCCGTGGACGTAGGTAGGTAGCTGAGCTACTAATATCCATTACTGAGGGACTATTTACGTAGCTTTCCCCAACTCAAAACACCACTTCTCGTTCTACTTCATCTGCCTCAATTTTTGCTCACCTAAGTCTATCTCCTCTAAAACACCATTTTACATTAATCTATCATCATGGCTCGCAAGTTCTTCGTCGGCGGCAACTTCAAGATGTAAGTTTTTACCCCGCCATAGCAATCTGCTTCGCTCTGCTCTTCTCAGCTCGATCGATTTTCTTGCTGCCCCTCCCCCTCAATGAAGCAAAAAGGCCGCAGATATTTCTTGGAGTTACTCAGAAGCTTACCTTGATCCTCTATAGGAACGGCTCCAAGTCGTCCATCAAGGAGATTGTCGATAACCTCAACAACGCTGATCTCGACAAGAACGCTGGTACGTCATTCTTCTGTTCCCCTGCCCCGCGCATCATCCCAGCTTCTCAACAGAACCCCTCACTCCTTTTGCTGGAGCAACATTAACTAACACGCTCTCAGAGGTCGTTGTCTCTCCTCCTGCCATCTACCTCCCTCTCGTCCGTGAGACCCTCCGCAAGGACATCGAGGTCGCCGCCCAGAACGTCTTCAACAAGCCCAACGGTGCTTTCACCGGCGAGATCTCCGTCTCCCAGCTCAAGGACAGCGACATCAACTGGGTCATTCTCGGCCACTCTGAGCGTCGTGAGATTCTCGGCGAGTCTGACGAGACGATCTCCTCCAAGACCAAGTACGCCACTGAGAACGGCCTCAAGGTCATCTGGTGCTGCGGCGAGACCCTCGAGACCCGTGAGGCTGGCAAGACCATCGACTTCGTCTCTAAGCAGCTCGAGTCCCTCAAGTCCCAGATCTCCGACTGGTCCAACATTGTCATTGCCTACGAGCCCATCTGGGCTATCGGCACTGGCAAGGTTGCTACCACTGAGCAGGCCCAGGAGGTCCACAAGGCTATCCGTGACCTCCTCCGTGGTATCAGCGACAAGGTTGCTGACGAGACCCGAATCCTCTACGGCGGCAGTGTTAACGAGAAGAACTGCGGCGAGCTCTCCAAGCAGCCCGACATTGATGGTTTCCTCGTTGGCGGTGCTTCTCTCAAGCCTGCTTGTAAGTCCTCATATGCGTTCAACGGCACTGTGCTAACTGATACTTCTAGTCGTCGACATCATCAACGCTACCAAGCAGTAAACGTATGAGTTCAAAAGTAAAAAGTCTTGTTCCGTTGAGGTCTTTGATACCTTGGTATGGGAGCAGATAGATGATGAATGAAACAAAAATGATTATACCCATGAATAATTGGTCATTTTTCTATTATGTGAGAAAGACTTTTCTTAAGTGATCCTGTAACTTTAACTATCACAAGAAAGAAAAAAATCTTAATTGAGCATAGACATTCAGCCAGTGGTGAAGATGAGAAGCAGTTGTCATTCATGCCCCTAACATCATGGAGATCTTGCTATAAATCGTACAAATTTCCAAGCAACCCAATGCTACAAGCAACCCCAATATTGTTTACAAAACACATAAATGTACAGAAAACCCAATCGTAGAAGCCAGCTCTTAAACAACCATTCCCTTGCCGTGGTATGGGGACCAGACGCCACGCACACTTGGTTGGGCGCTGTTGACTGCTTTGTTGTAACGTTTCAACTTCTCTCCGCTAGCATCACGCAATAACTCGGCCTTCTGAAGGATCTCGTATGGTGATAGGTTTCGTACGCAGATGGGCTTAGTTCGACCATTGATGTAGTGACCGACAACGACGGGGTGCTTTCCGGGTCGAGGGGAGATGGAGAATTCGACTTGAGGGTTGGCGGCGGCGAACTTGGGGAGAAGAGACTTGATGAAGCCACTGTTATCAGGTTAGACAATGATGGAAAGAGCGGGAAGATGTTTGAATTGTTTCACATACTTCATACCCTTGGAGCTACCGGCCCAGTCACAGTAGTAGAAGTCTAACTTCTTGCACTGGAGGATAAATGCGCCGAGGCCATTCTGCAAAGGTCAGTACTTATGCCTCTAAGACATCGTCATACTGAACATACCTGGCCCTTTGCTATTTGTCTTATCGCCTTAACAGTCATTTTTGTGTGGCCGTATCAAGTGCCAAAATGATCCGATAACAGCTAGAAAGAATTGACGTGCCGAGAGGCTATCACCAGAAAATCAGCTCGCAGTGGATGGCGTTCCACCTTGGTTTAGCGTGAGTCGGCAGAACATCGGCTGGCAGAACGCCTCAGCCGCTGCTAGGCATCCCTCGAGTCCAAGCAGGCTCAAGGATTAATTTCCCCCACGAACGAAGGCGCGACAACTTCAATTAAATTTCGCCCATTCTTGGCTTTTCTGTCTATCCTTCATCGCGAACTGACGCTCGCCTATTCGTTCTCGGTTAATAACTTCATTTATCGCTCCTTTCACCCCGTTCGACTCGAGATAGTGCAATGACCGACAAGCTCCCCCCCAACCTGCTCGCGCTCTTCGCGGCGCGACCACCTCTGCGATTCCTCGACCCGCCCGATTATGCGCCTCAGCATCGCAGGACAGCACCCATCACCGGTGTCGCACAGTTTCTACCGGAGCTCCAGAAGTACAAGGAGACTGATGTTTACAACCCCACTGAGAGTTGGTTGCAAGCCCGCGATCGCAAGAAGCGAGAGAAGAAGGAGAAGTTGGAGACGCTCCTCAGAGAAGCGCCCGATCATCGTCAGGAGACCTAGACATTCTACCACAAAACAAATGCTAACGTGGTTAACAGATAAGCCAAACGAGGACCCCAACGTTCGTGGCGATGCGTTCAAGACTTTGATGGTCGCGCGTCTCAGTTACGATGCTGATGAGAGGGATCTCGAGAAGGAATTTGGTCGCTACGGTCCCATCGAGCGTGTATGCAATCGTCAATAAAACATCGCATAGCCAGTGGCTGACACCATCACAGATTCGTATCGTCGTCGATACTCACGCTCATGAGAAGCCAAACAAGAAGAAGAAGCCCCATCGAGGCTATGCTTTTGTCGTATTCGAACGAGAGAAAGATATGCGAGGTAAATATGAACCCTTCCCCGTCTGACTAGCCATTTGTATTCTTCCCTGGATGTACCTTTTGAGTTGTGGCCCTCAAGCTTGCCCTTCTCACGGAGTATATGCGAGACACCAAAGGGCCCTCAAGCTTGCTCGTCTCTGCTTCTTCCTTTTCTTTTGTCAAATCCGTCAGCACACAAGGTACTATTTAGGGTAAGATTGACTGACACCTGCGCCATTCGGCGCAACCATGAGCAGCGGCTTTGGATGCTTGTGACGGCATGCGCATCAAGGATCGACGTATCAAGGTAGACGTCGAACGCGGCAGAACTGTCAAGGGCTGGAAACCTCGCCGACTTGGTGGTGGCCTCGGAGGACGAGGCTATACTAGAGCTATGGCTGCTCGTCCCATGGGTCCCGGTGGCTTTAGCGGCGGCGGCGGTTTCCGTGGTGGTTTTAAAGGTTTCGACGGAGGACGCGGCCGTGGCGGTTTTAGAGGAGGATTCGGCGGCCGTGGAGGAGGTTTCCGAAGCGGCGACCGAGGAGGCGACAGGGGAGGCGACCGAGGCGGCTACGGCGCACCTAGTGATGCCCCGTCCGGCCCCGGATTCGACCGCAGAAACGGCGGCGGCGGCTATGGTGACCGGGACCGTGGCGACCGAAGGGGTGGTGACCGAGGCCCCGGTGGGTATGATTCTCGTAGCGGCGGTCGCTCATTTGACGACAGACACGGCGGCGGCCATCGTGACGGTGGCCGATACGGCGGAGAACGCGAGAACCGACGCACCGGAAGCAACATGGAACCCATTGGAGGCCGACGAGAAGGTGGGTATCGCGAACGGGACCGAGACTACGACAGACCCCGTGATGACGATGGTGGCCGAAAGCGTGGCTATGACGGCGGCTATGAGGATCCTCGAAAGCTTCGCCGTTATTAATGGGGTGATACTCCATGACCTTGTGTGGTGGGCTGCCGATCTTCTTCTAGTCATTAATTCAGACCCCTTTTCCACCAAAGGGTAAGCACACCATTATCGCCCAACCACGAATCTCGAGGATTCCGGATTATACTATACGCTTCTGCCCGATAACGTTCGTGGGATTTTACTTTTCGCTGTCATCATCTAACCAGACGACATTACAGTCAACTCAGTTTGAGGTATATTCCTCCGGTACATCCATATGGACTCAGGTTTACGCAACATGTCAGGTAACCTTTCTATGTATTCTATTTGCTTTTCTGGGAGTCGGGGTAAAATCTGGAGGATAGTTCGATGGTGAATTGGCCATTTTATGCTGCATAAGGGTAAGACTCGGTGACCTACTCCGTACTGACCCTTGAGATGTTGCCTAGGCTGGCTAAGAAGGCCGACTCTGATGTATCACTTAGGAGTTTTCATGTTCAATAACAGTTAAGAAAAGAACCGAATTTTGTGAATGTTGTGAAGTACGTATTGTCATTCGGGCGGGCCTATTGGTAAAACATGATGCCCTTCCATATCCCATGGCCCTCAACGCCGAGATCCCATAAAAATTTCATGCTGGTATCAGTCATTCAAACAGAAGATGTTAAACCCAACGTCTAGCACCGTTTTCTATGCCTTATCCTAGGCTCATCTAATTCTCGTCCATAGCGTTGGGGTTAACCTTTGTCACCTCAGAGCTAGCAGCGTTCCAGTATCTATACGATGTTAGTTTTTGTTCTTGTGCTGAGTTGATAGAGGATTTTCAACTTACGCTAATACCTTGACCTTGAACTCGCTCAAGCACACGTCGAAAAGCTTAAGCAATCTTGTCTGTCGTGAATCCAAAACATCACCCTCCTTGCAAACAACATACTCCTCGCCCTGACCAGCCTCATCACCGAGAACGACACGGCCCTTGACCATACGGGTAGGGACACCAAGACGTCGTAGCTCAGGCTCGATGGTGTGCTCAAGAGGAACATCGTGCTCAGCGGGAACCTCACCAGCGGTAGCATAGACAACACCGGTAGGAATAGAGAAATCGCGGGTGGCCACAGCGCCGGCGCGGGCAAAGTCGACAGGAGCGAGGTTCTCAAAGTAAGAGAGGATTTCTTCGACAGGGCGGTTGGTCAAGATCAAGCCGACGGTACCAGTCAAATAACGGCTGAGGTCCTCAATTCCAGGGGCGATGGCCTCCTCAGGTGTCTGGCCAAGAGCCTTTGCCATGAGCTTTGTCTTTCCGAAGAAGAGACTATAGAGAATTAGTGGCGATCAAGAGGCTTACACAGAGAGGCATTACCGGCAATCGGACAGCTCACGTCGAACGTCCTTGAGGTGGTTGTTTCGCATGTTATCGACGCTGAAGACAAAGCAGTTCTGGTACTCGGGGACAGTATCGCGGATATTCTGGAAAAGCTTGTCCTTGTTCTCGCGCGTCTTCTTGGAGACCTGTGTGAGGTGGACGACCTTTGCGCGCTTCGACTTGGGCATTTTGGCGGTATTGTTTGTTGATAAAAGGGTTCAAAGGTGATTCGAAAAGGGGTGAGGTCGAAGGAGGATTGAGAATCGAAAGTTTTGGTTGGTGGTTATGATTTGAATGGGACTTGAGATCTCAATGTCTGCTACAGAAGGCGGCTGTCCACCGGATTTTTTTACTTCCTACGATAAAAATTTCGAATGGGCGAGCTATCTTATCAGTTGACCCCGCAATTTTGCTCACCGAGGCAGGGGTCCAATCGCTCACCTAGGGTGTACTAATCCGGTAATTTCTGGCAAGATCAATACAATAGCATTGAAGTAGATCAAGCCCAAGTAATCGATTCAGCTTCTTTGTTTTCCAGTTTCTTGTTTATAACTAACTCGAAAACAGGAAACTCCAAGCACTAAGATTGATTACCTTACCCAATTCAAGATACTGGATGGACCATGGTGAAGAGGCTGTATCAACGTGATGAGATGTAATAAAAAGCAAGCAACGAACACTGTTACCGGTTAATGCTGTTAGAGCCATCTCCTTTCAGGTAATACCTTATAAGCTTGCAGTAAACTCTCACTTGGGGTCAGTTGTTCAACTGAATACAGATGTAATACGTGCAGCTGAGCTAATAAAATGAAGTATGGAAGTAAGGTAGTTGTGATCTTGAACCCATCTAGATTCAATGGACAGTCGTTGGTTAATATGGATAAGTTGTGATATTCAGGATGAGGCTATCGCCAAAAAGCAAAGTGATATGAATTGCCATGGAGCCGTTTAACGTCAGATACCACACCAATTATCTTCAAGTCTGCAATGCTGCAATGACAGGGTTGTATGCTAGAACGCTACATAATGGTGACGTGAAGATCCCTGAAAAACTAGCGATATAGTTGAGATATCCCGAAAAGTCTAGATGAGTTTGATCTGACTCGGTACTGCAAGCGTTTAGGTATTGAATTAATATAAGATTTTATTCTTTTGTATGGTCGCAAATTAGCTGATGTTTGCGGTTGAGTCTTGTCGAGACTTGGCGTCTTTCGGGAAAACTATTCCACACTTCCCGTTCCGAAGAGAGAATCGTGAAAAAGAGGGAAAGAGAACAAGACAGATGACGCACAGACCACCTTCTAGTCGGAGCAGAGCTCTGAAGTCGTTTTCTTACTGGAGCCACACAAACACATCACACATTGTCCAAACATCTCTTTCATCCCAATTGCAGAGCCCCGTAAACAATTCGACTCCTCCCTCTCCTAACCCTTCTCCATCTCGTTTTCTAGCTAATTGAACCTCTACCTCTCTCCACTATCTTTGCCATTTCTCACCTTCCAAGTCCCGTAACTCTCGATCTCTCCTCCGATCCCGAAGTTCGACCTTGCCACCCCTCACGTCTTTGCCTTCCAACCACGAACCCTCGACTCCATTTTGTCATCAGGCTTGCCCTATTCTGCTTGCTTGCTTCGACTCGATTCAACCCAACTCCAACCCCATCACTTCAATCCCGACCGAACACGATCGTCGTCTTGAGCTTGAATTCGTAATATCAGGCTCTGTTTCTTGGACGTTTTCACACCCTCGTTCGACCCGTTTCCGCGACACAGAGAGCTCGCCGGTTGCGCACCCAACCTAATTTTCGCTCCGCATCACACTCGTCATATCAAACTTCACATCACAACACACAGCCATCATGGCCTCCAACGGTAACTTTGCCCAACAGGATCAGTACAAGGAACCTGCCGACCAACAACAAACAGCTCCTACTACTTCTGCTGCCGATGGCTCTGCCACTGCTGCCGCTTCTGCCACCAACAACCCATCCAAGGATGAGGTTGGCTGGTATTTCGTGGAACAATTCTACACCACCCTGAGCAAGTCGCCTGAGAAGCTTCACGTATGTTAACTCCGTTGCCGGTCCGCTTTCTTCATACTAACGACCTTGATAGCTTTTCTACGGCAAGCGCTCACAATTCGTCTATGGTCGCGAAGCTGAGGTTGCCAAGGTCTCTGTTGGCCGACAGGTAAGTTAAGATGGCAAAAGGAACATCTGGATTGGTTGCTAACAGTACAACAGGACATTCAAGAACGCATCAAGAACCTAGACTTCCACGACTGCAAGGTCAGGATATCCAATGTTGACTCCCAGGCTTCCTTTGAGAACATCGTCATCCAAGTGATTGGCGAGACTTGCAACAACAACAAAGCGCCCAAGAAGTTCGTCCAGACCTTTGTCCTTGCCCAGCAACCCTCCGGCTACTTTGTCCTCAATGATATCCTGCGATATATCGATGACGAGAGCGATGACGAGTCTGCTGCTGCCTCTGAAGAGGCTGCCGAGGAGCCTGCTGCTCCCGCTACGGAGGAACCTGCTGCCGCTGTCGAGCCCGAGGCTCCCCAGTCTGTCGAGGAAACTAAGGAGGAGGCCCCTGCCCTCGATCCCGAAGTTGTTGATCAGAAGCTTGAGGAGGTTTCCACTTCTAAGGACAGTGTGACTCTCAACGGCAGCACCCCCGAGGAGGTTGATGAGGCTAAGGCCCCCGAGACCAAGCCTGAGGTTCCCGCCGAGACCGCTGATGAGGCTGCTAAGGAGCTTGCCGAGGAAGACGTCAAGGAGCCCGAGAAGCCTAAGGATCCTAGCCCTACACCCGTTTCCAAGCCTGTCGCTGCTCCTCCTACAGCTCCCGAGAAGCCTGCTGCTCCTCCTAAGCCCATGACATGGGCCAGCCGAGCTGCCGCTGCCCTTCCCAAGCCGGTTGTTCCTCTCCCCAAGACTACTACTCCTCCCGTGAACCAGAGCCGTGCTCCCGCTCCTGCCGCTGCCACTACTTCTCAGCCCGCTGCTGCTCCTGCTGCCACCTCTGCCGCGCCCGCCACTGAGTCCGCTGGTAAGGATGCGGCTGGATGGCAGACTGCAGGCAGTGACTCTAAGCGACAGAACCGACCTCAGTCTGTTTCCGGACCTCCTGCCGATAAGGAAAGCACCACCGCATACGTTAAGTTCGTGACGGATAAGGTCCAGGATGCAGACCTCAGGAACGCTTTGACTGCTTTTGGCGAGTTGAAGAGCCTTGATATCATCCGCCAGAAGGTAAGTTCAGATCCTCTACTATAACACTATCGTTGAAGCTAACATGGTATAGAACTGTGCGTTCGTTGAGTTCAAGACCCCTGAAGCCTCCAAGGCTGCGGTTGCTGCCAACCCTCACACCATTAACGGCGAGACTATCGTGATCGAGTCCCGTCGCAACAAGCCCGGTGCCCATAACGCTGGTGGCCGAGGCCCCGTTTCAGGACGTGGCCGTGGTGGTGCTGAGGGCGGACGATCTGGCGGCCAGGGCCCCCGAGGCAACTTCTCTGGTCAAAACCGTGGCCGTGGTGGCGCTCCCCGCGGCCGTGGTGGTGCCCAGTCCCATAATGCTTAAGCAATAGCGACTGATATATATAAAGTGGCCAGGATCAGACTTTCACATCAGTGTCAGTCTTGATTTTGCTATCTAGGTCCTGGAACGACCGGGATCCCAAATCGAAGTAATCACAACTAATCTACGTGATATACATAACCATTCCAACATCAACACGAGGGGACGACAACAGAAAACAAGCTCAGCAGATGGTCAGGGGGAGCGGTAAGGGAGCGGAGTTTGGTATTCCCTTTTGGAGGAAGGATGGAGTTGGGAATTTGGAGTCATATTTGTTCGTTTTTCAGTTTCGGTGGTTTGCGCGCTGCATCTGCATCTGATCCTCTCAGCCGGCGATTGGGTTACGGATTTCAGCGAAAACGGGGGAAAGGTCCTAGGCTGGGAGCTTTGGTTTGGCATCATTACTTTCTAATGACCGTGTATATTCTTACAAAAGCGAACGGACGGGCGATAGAGGTGGCAGTACCCGAAGGGCTGAAGGACGTTGACGGGTATACATACTAACGAAGCAGTGACAGTTGACGATGGTGGACGAGAGTCCAGGCCTGCGATGAATGACTGGGCCTGGAGGGACCATGTTCTGTACTTTTTACTGTGCAAGTAGTAATGATCAGTACCTTTTTGGTTTCCAATGTTTGAGTCGAGCTACCAGATCAGCAAGTGAATGCAAAATTTTCATATGATGTCAATGTTTTCATGTCATGTCATGTGAGGCAGGTAACGTAGCATGTTGAAGATCCAGGATGGAGGGGCATGACGGTCATAATATCCAGTATCGGTCTAGAAGGTCCCGTAGAAGGAATGTTGCTGTTGCTCGTTTTCTTTATGCGATGATATCCGAAGTTAAGCTTGCAGAGCCTCGTGGATCAAACAGGTCGAACTGTTCGTCGCATGAGAAATTGTTATTATTGATGGACGTTGGTCAAGGTTCTTTTGTAACAGGAAAAAGCATTGACAAAAGGCCAAGCCAGTTACTGGGGGACTTTTGAATGAGAGAGGATACCCACGCGTAATAGTTACTATGCAAAGAGAACTTGATTTTGAATCTATCGACGGTCAAAGTTGCACGTGTTCGTGTAGTAGACACCGCGATTTGATTCTATCCATTCGGTTCGTCGGAGACTATCCCGAATAGCCAGGGCGTGTCCTATTATTGTACATAAGGTAAGGTAGCTTATTCCGGACACGCCGCACAATGACATGGGGAAACAAAAGGTTCCCCGGGTATTTTTGCGACCTTCTAAAAGCAGACCTTAAGGAGAAAAAAGAACAGCCAATGTTATGTGAGGGAGAATTTCTGGCGATGGGACGATGCAAGTAAGGACTTTGCCGAGAGATCCGGGGAGTATCGTTATTATTATCCTGGACGATCAGTCCAGTTTGCTATGGAAATATCTGAGACAGCGGCTTGAGCTGATCACATTTTCGTTGGGACTGTTTTAGGAGTAAAGGTTGCAGCCAAGACGGGAGAGGATCATCCATGGAGTGCTTGTTCTGTAAGCTTGTAGGCTTAGTTTACGATACAGGAATCACGTATACCTCTTCTAAGGTAATTAACTTGTGGATGGAATGTGAGAGCCTCGACTTAAAACTCCGTCGATGGTACTTTTTAGGATCATGTTCCTTGCAAAGTAAGACAAGGAAAGGATCGACATAGAGCCTGAACTTTCCAGACTTGCTTACAGGTCTCTCGGAGGAATAATTACCGTGCGATTTGCGTGATCGTCAAGAAGCAATTCGACTGCCGGTGTCACGGACGGAATTAGCAGCAATCCAAGCCCAAGCCCAAGCAATCAAACAATCTCACTGCATGATGAATTGGTTGATTATCTTGATGATCAAACGTCACGTCACACCAAGAAAAGTGCTTGCGTGTTCCCTCCCCCGCAACAAAATAGGTAGGCAATGCATGCAACATAGGTCGTGATAGTACTAGTTATCAATCGGCCCTGCTCCAGGTTCTTGTGCTTAATAGTGCACCATATTGGGAACCCAATGGACAGTAAGACGGGAAGTTTCTGACGGAGATGGTCCGGAAATGTTGTGCAACCCGCGCGGGCCGCTCTAAGATTTTCTGTTGACAAAGTCTATTGGGTCCTCCGTAGAAGAAGAGGGGGTTTCGGTGTGGTCCGTGTATTAATTAGATTCGTGCGAGTGAGTTGACTGTTGATGTTTCTTCTTCGCATTTATCGAGACCGAGGATGAGTCGATCAATCCACACATGGTTCGTCCAGTCAACCCGCATGAAACATGAAAAATGATTTACTTGTAACAAGGAATGAAAATGTCACGATGGCTGACTATGAATAATAGACTAACAAGAAATACTCATATAGAATATTAGTGTGGGGCTATTTATGATTCAAAGAAAAAGAGACGCCGAGTAGAAGGGCCTGACCCCAGACATAGAGAGGGGCCACTATCAAAGGTGCCAATGCTAGTATCAAAAGTTCCTTTGTTGAGCGCAACGCTTCCAGAGCGATGAGGTAAGCTGTCCTGAACAAAAGGATACGTACTCCGGAGAGTTCCCAGGAGTCTGGTTCGCTTTTGACGGGCGAATCAGCAATCAGATTGAATCGTTATTCATCGAAACGGTAAAGGGCACTTTTGTAACGGAACAAGGTGCCGTTTTCTATGTTGGTTGGCTCATGTTGTTGCGCCTGCAATGCGGCGTCTCGGATTGATGAAATGAGAGCCGAAAACATCTTCACTGTGGAAAGGACTTTTGTGCAAGTTGACGTCCTATCAAGTAACAGAATGAATGACTTGCAGGACAGGTCTCGTGTTTAAGGCTTTAAGCGATGACCTGAAGCTCCGGATATTGAAGTCGAGACCCGGCCGAGATATCGATTGTGGCTTATGTACGTTGAATAGATTAGTCCGTATCGAGCCTTGAACTCTATCGGGCGCCCCTCGATTTACTGGTATGGCTTTTTGGATGTTGGAACGGCAATTGACCTTGTAGCAAAATGTGAGGACTATACATAATCGCCTAAGGAGGGTTGGGTGATTATCATATCGACAAACATATAATTCAAGGTTAAAATTCATACTTCCATTGGCAGTGGAGAGAAACTCTTCCAGGCAAGTCCTGTGCCGGTTATCCGTCACCCTTTTGTGACCTCCCCGTCCGGGACTAGCGAGGGAAGGTGGGGCCGTGTGCTGCAACTTCCTCGTGCGGTTCTGTCTGTGAGTGTGGGCTTGTGAGACCCTAGTTCGCGCGGGACCTTTTGGCGGGAAGGTGGTCCTTTTGAACCTGCAACATGCGGCTGCCACTGACAGTCCACCACCGAGAGACAGTGCCAGGCAGGCGCAGGCACAGAACAGGTCAAGCAAGCCATGCCATGTGTCGTGCTTTCCCGGGACCGGGGGTCTTTTAACGATCAGGGTGCTCTTTCCCCGACATCTACTAGGTTCAGTTACCTTACCTACCTACAGTACAATCTCACTGCCCAGCTCCTGCGGAGTCGAATCGAGTCGACAACCAGGCCTTGGAAGGAAGAGGAGAACCCTGGACTTGGCACCACCAACGACATCTTGCACTCTTCATCACCACGACATACTCGAGATCAACAATAGCACCTTCAGGACAAAGATACAGAGCCCTACACCAAATCTGAAAAAGATATCCACTAGCACAGGCGAGATCGGCAGTCAGCGCGGAAATTCGGCGCATTTAGTACAGTAAACGCTGCTGCACTTTGATGCGCTCTTCAAAAGTGCGGATCGCATCACATCCGCGCATCCCACAACCCGGCCGAGACAAAAGGCCAATCAAGACTCTGTCGCATCAGATCCCAAATGTGATTGTCCTGACTTGCTCGATTTAGGCGAAATCGCTTTTCTCGAAACAATACGGTAGCGTCCACTGCAACAGCGCGCCAGCAGCCTCATCTCGCCACTCTGAGCCTGAGCCTGTGCCAGCGTTTTGGTCCACGCTCCCCAATACCATTCCCACACCCTCACGTTTCTACGACTTCCGGCTGCCGCTCCACTCTCTCATCTGAATCCTCCTCAAAGCTCGGTTCAACGTGGGCCCTTTTGAAACGGCTGACGTCGCTTTGCTCTGGTCTGGCTGCTCTGGTTTGGTCACCGTTTCCCTGACCTTACCATCGATCCTAGTCACCCCGAGCAAAAGAGCCGCCGCATTTCCATTCCTCTTCCATACCCCATCGAAGCTGGACGGAGGCACGCCTGGTTTGGGCCCTACCGGCATCTCGTTGAACCCCGTCTTCCACCTCGACTCACACCCCCCTTCGATCCACGATTCTCTCCTCAAACTTACGAACCCCTGCGTGCGACCTTCTTCCACGACAGATGCTTCTCTTCGTGGATCCATGCTGACTGTTCTGATCCTCTCACCTACGACTTCTGTTGGCTCGCTCCAGTTTCTTCTTCCAAACCTCTCCACACAACCTCAGCGGGTCGGAATGATCAACCTCCTCAGTTTACCGTCCTCTATGGAGACTCCTATGGCCAATGCTCGTTGAGGTTCACGCCCCCAGACGACAGAGTCACCCTGTGAGCCTTTCCGTTCCGTATCGGCCGGTCGTGGGGCCCTCTCCGACTTCATATAAGTCCCATCTCCCTCCAATGGACCTACGCAGGGCCACGGCCGAGGACGATGTATCATCCACGACCGCTCCTACGTCGCCGCCCCTCAGGCGGCGTGTATCGATGGAGGAGGACCTCTACTACCAGCGTGTCATGACAAGTCCGCGCCGACCCTCCCAGCCGCCTCCGTACCAGCCAGAGCGAGATCCGCCGCCGACAACGTCGAATATCTCCCATGATGGGGATCGTTTGGAGAAGGGGAACGAGCTCACGACTGGTGGGGGCGGCGAAACTCAGCTTCATCCAGATACAGGAAAAGAAAACCTACCCGACTATAAGAACTCAATATTACTGGAGGGTGTATTTGACAAGAAACACGAAATCGAAAACTTGATAAAGAGGGCCGAGGATCGCCAATGGTATCCCGTTCACGTCTGTTTGAATGGAACAGCGCTTAGCATATATGGAACCAAGAAAGCATGGAGTTGGGGTAGAACACGCAGTGACGGGCCATCGGTCGACCCAGATAACCCTCCGTGGGTGAAGAGGGGCAAGCTCGAGAAGACATATAGCCTCTTGTATGCGGATGTCGGTATTGCCGCTGACTATACGAAGTAAGCTACCAAAATTGGAGGCGTAGGATTTGTGTTATTAACAAGATTCAGGAGGCGATATACCATCCGTATTCGAGCAGAGACAGACCAGTTTCTCCTATGCTGTATCGAGCTGAGTACATTCAACAAATGGCTCGAAGGTCTGTTCGCAGCTATCGATATTGCTCTGCCTCTGGAAGACCGAGATTTCCCGCGTGATATGTCTATTCCCCGAATACAACGAATCCGTTGGTTCCATGGCCAAACGCCAACGGCTACAGCTATTGACTTGTCAGAACTGGGCATTGAAGGAGGATCTGAAGAAGTCTCTGCGACAACAAATGAGGCTCGTCCATCAGCGCCACCCTTGCGACTAGCTCCAGAATCTCAAACCAGGCTAGAACCTGAAATTGAGGTTGAAGGAGATGAAGAAGTGGTTGAACCCCCTCCGCGAATAGACCTTGCCCGTCGTCTCAGCACAACGTCATACAACAATATGGGTATTGACCCTGTCGATGGAAAATGGATACCAGAACATCAGTGGTCGAGTGCCCATGACTTGCTGTATGCCAAGCTCTGTTACAGCAACCTACTCTTTAGAAGTCCCCGCAAAACACCATACATCATCAGCAAGGGCAAGAAGTTCTATGTTGATTGGACGACAGGCCGAATGGTCAGGGTCCTCCCGCCTGCCTATGGTGAGATCGACTACTTTGGGGCTTGGCAAACGGTTCATACCGAAAATAGACTTATCTGAGTTCTTGGCCAAACGGACACACCCTCCCTCCTGCCAGCACTATATCACCTATGATCTATCTCATCATTACTACATACACATACTCACTAGAGTCGACAACTATTCTCTTTCGACAGACACCACCGCGACCAGTCATATCCCCTTCAAGATGACACACATTTAACCTATCATGGGTTCATTCTACGACACATACAACTAGATCATCTATCATATTTTGTCACATACGGAGCTAGATATTCTTCTCCTCATCTCTTACTTTCTTAGCAGTACATATTTTCTCTGCATATCTGGCGCATGGAAGGCTGCGGATGCATCAGCCGATGATGACAGGGGCTTACGATCATGGAACGGAGTTTGCATTTCATTTATTGTTTGCTTAGATCCTCGTGCTTTCTACATTTGAGGACGCTACACGGCATGGGTTGTGATGAGTCGCGCCCTCGGCCATTTGGTTTTCAGCATGAGTGGCCATGGCTGCTTTTCCATATCAGCAATTCATACACGTTTGCATGGATTGCGATGCCTGTACATAGAAGACATTGAAAGAAACATTTTGAAAGATGTCATTGCAACTAAGTGCTTGATTAACTGTGAACGTTGCTTCGTAAATGCTGTTATACAAGACAAAACATTGGTATAATAACGCCCATTACTCCCGGATCCATTGGATGACCACAACATACGTTCAGCTTTTATGCTATCTATATGCATCTTTTTCGTCGTTCATACTCATGATGACGCTCCTTGTTCCCCACCACCATCGGCAGCGTCAACGGCTGCTATGCCCTGTCTCGTCTCAGTAGCAACATCGTCGATAACCGGGCGCAGCGCGTCATTTGCGCCCTGGACATCGGCGACGACAGCTTCGAGGGCATCAAGAAGTGTACGAATTTCTTCTCTTTGACGACGAACTTCATCGTACAACAGAGCGTTTTGCGATTGTGTCGTTTGTAGGCGAGCATTGAGCTGCGACTGGTGCGCTGTGAGGGCGGGTGTGAGATGCGCGGCGAGGATTGCTGATGGGGGCAGAAGATGAGGACTGTATATCTGTTAGTGGATGGCGATTATAGTAGTGAGAAGGGAACTTACGGTGTTGGTTCTTCTGTTGTTGACTCGGCGCGTCGGCGGGAGGCATCGCTAATAAGGCTCTCTAGGTCATTGAGCTTAGGAACGACCTGTCTCGACACCATAATATTATCAAACTCTTTCTGTCCATCTCCTATTAGCATTGTCCTTATTTACCGCTTCGTTGTGTCATACCTCGCACTTCTCGCCAAGCTTATCAACCATTTGTCCCTGAACCTGCCTCAACACACCCTCCGCCCTCTTCGCAACCGTAGGGTAGCAGCCGGCGACATTGTCCCATCCAATCTTCCCCAGCGTCTTCTTTAGCGATCGCGCGTAGAGTTCTTGTAGACGCGCGGCGCGGGGACCAGGCGTAACGGCTGTGTGTCGCTGAGGGAGGGGTGGTGATGCGGGAGGGTCTTGTTCTGATTCTGGTTGTTGTTCTGGTTCTTGTGATTGAGATTGAGCTGTTTCTTGGGCTGCTTCGGCTTGCGCGGATTGTTCGGGTTGCGGATCGGGCGCCATGACGATAAATATGGTACTGATGTTGGAGATGTTTGGTCTTGGTGGTTAGGAGACGCGACTGATAAGGCGGCGCGTGGGGTAAAGTGCTATACATACCTCTTATCGCACGTGGTCAATCATGATCACTATAATTCCAGAACGTAACCAATTACACATAAAGGAAATACAGAGTCAATCTGGTCTTGAATATTCAGAATGTCTATATACGTCTATGAAAACAAGCTTGTCAAAGCCAATTGTATGTCGTGTTTGTATGTACGATGTGTATCCATCCATGCCTAGCCCATCATAACCAAGGCTCATCAGCTCATGAAACTTACACAAGTCCTCATGACGCAGCCTTTTGTCTGTTACAACACCGTGTTGTAGTTCCAAGTAGAAAATCTATAGGGTATCGATTAAAAATCCCAAGGGAAAAGTGTTCGTTCGTCTGTATGTTGTTGATGTTGTCCCCCTCCTCCTCCTCTTCGAATGTCTATCCCGTGCTTAGTTGGCAGCCAGAATTGCAATTGCATCAGCATCCGTAGCGCGATCCTGCTTTCCGCCGTTTCTTCGCTTCTCTTCCTCTTCTTTCTTGATACGATCTGCTTCTCTTTGTCGTTCATGGCTAACATATGTGGCATATCGAAGTGTACCAAGCGTCAAAACAGCCATGAACAGTATTCCTAGAACAGAACGACGGATAAGAATCCATCTAACTGCCTCGATTTCTGATTTAGCATCGCTACTGAGAACAATGCTGATCTTGTAATTTATTTGTTGAATCTGTGATACTGTCAGTCACCAAATCTTGCCGATATCGGAAAGGATCCTTACAGAGCTCTCGACGCTTTTCTGTTCTTCTCTGACAGCCATTTTGCGATCGTTAAATGAACCTCGAACATTGTCATTGAGTGTATGAACCTCCTGGTTGAGTGATTGCGTCAAGATGTCGACCTCGTGCTGTAGGTGTGTTCGCTGTTGTCGTAGCTGCTCTTCTTCAAGCCGTCGGTTATTCTTAATCTCAGTGCTCAACTCTGAACAAGCCGCTGTGAAAAGGTATGTTTCCTGAGGAAGCTGTTAGCCAATGTTGCTTAGGCCTCCATCGACCAAGACCTCACATTTTCCACATCGCTCTTGCTGACAAGAGTTGACTGCGCTATGTCGAGATTCTCTGCAAGCAACGTTCGAATCGCCTTCATTGATGTTGTGGCTTGCTCCTGTGTATAGCCCCCTTCTTGTAATTGCTTCACGAGCGAGTAGGTATCGAAATGGTGGACGTAGGGCGGTGGGCACATGGCCGGCCCTGGTCTTGTCGTCGTCGTCTTCTTGGTTGTTTCTGGTGGTTCTATATGCAGTACTGCTTCAAGGGGACCGCTCTGTTTTGCCTCTTCCCGGGCTGTTCTGGCTTGTTGTTCCTCCTTCGATGTCTCGTTCTCCTTAGGTTGTTGCTTACTGCTCGTCGATGCAGCAGCCTCGTTCGTCGACACTGACTTATCTGGCGTCGCCTGTACCGACTCTTGTGTCGTGCTGCTCTCGGGCTCGGGACGAGTAGGAGTTTCGCTAGTGAGTGGGTGCGAGGCATTAAGCTTGGCGGTCGTATCTGCCCTTAGGGGTTGAGGCTCAACAGCTTTTCCTCTCCTGCGCGCGAAAGTACCTCTATGTCGAGCAAAGCCAGCGGCAGATCGGGGCGTCGCACGTAGGCCTCGCAGAACCTGCGGGCTTAAGAAGGTCAACCGAGCAGCAGCCGCCATGGTGGGCAAAAGATGACCCCGCGGATAGAAAAGGAGTGAGTAGGGATAGATTTGGGGCGTGGAATTAGCGATGGCTAACGAGTTCCAAGTAATTCGATCATGGAAATAAGGGTCTCTCTAGAATAATATCGTCGTGTTAAGGAAGTGTTTGTTGAGTTTTGATATGGTGCGGTCTAAGAGATGTAGCATGTTGAGGAAGTATGGTACTAAAGATACAGAGGGTCCTGTCGGAGAGGAACCGGCAATCGGCGTGCGTACCTGCTTAAATGACTTGGCCTCCAATGGATCTCGCCCTCATATGTCATTTCTCCAGAACTGGTTTAGTGCTCAGTAGCTTGTTTGCGAATTGCCGTTCATAGCCGCAGGGGTCCAATAGATATGTACTTATTAGACTTATTTTCTAATTAAATAATCAATCTACAGAAATAACTAAGGTACCTTAGCTATGGCCCTGTCTTGGCTTCGCTAGGGGTAATATGAGACACACGATCTGTTCATAAATCCAGGGTACTTCGACAACGCCTCATAAGAATCGTCTCCTTTTCCCCTTTTCATTCCAACCCACCTCCTCTTCATCAAGGGAGACCGTCAGTAAGATTGTAACGCTGTCATGTTCTTTCGTTTACTATCCCAGAAACCAAACAAGCTGCAAGACATGAATAAACCCAGTAACAAATACAAAACACCCATCATCCTACCAAACTCCAAGCGGCACCTCATTGTTATTAAGTGCACTGTCTGTACCTCGTGATGGCATAATTCCTATGATCAAGTGCCTGCCTTGTTCTTTTGTCCGTATGTTCACCTCTACGGAGGGCTTTCCGCGGTGAGGTTTGTCTCTTATTAGCCAAGACATCCAAATCTATGTGTAATACAAGGTATGAAGTAAGATTCTCTGCTTGCTTGCATGCATGCATGTGGGTGAGTCCGCTGCCGCTGCCAATCGTTGATTGGCTGTTTACGCCTCATCGTTATGGACGTGAACAGCCACCTCCGGGTTCTTGATGCCGGCAGATGGGACTCCAATGGCACTGCCGTTGGCACTTGGTAGCCCATCGCTTTGAGGGCTATTTGTTTCATTGGTCAACATTGGAGTTGGTTCAGCCGAGTCAACTTCGATTTTGAGATTGATGGCCATATTGTCGACAATCAAGATCTTCTCCACTACTTGGCTCAAACTGTGTGATGGCTTTGGGAGAGGTGCGCTCTTCTTCATCGTTTCAAGGTGCGTATGGATCTTTTGTGCCAGCTGCTGCTGTCCAGGACCCTTGGTGTTGTGAACTAGGCTTTCTACCTTGTGTCAGCCATCTTCGCATGGATAAACAGAGAGACCACTTACTAATAACATAGTTTGCAAACTGGTCGTTGATCAGCTCAAACAAAGTGTCCTTCCCGCTCGCACTGACAGTACAAAGTTGTTCGCGGATTTGTGTTCGTTGTTCATCCGAGCCAAAGGCGATGCACTTCTCGACTACATTGGACGAAATCTTGTTCTTGGAGAAGTATAACAGTTTGTTGATAACCATCTCAACAATTCGATCCCTATCATTGCCGGGTCGGTGCTCGATGATAGCCTGAACGACATAGTTGCCGAATTGGTTTGTGGCAAGCATCTCCATCGATGGGTAAAGCGGATCCAAGACCTTTCTGATGTCCTCCTCCTGGCACACCTCCAGGAGTCGTTGAATAACCCGGCATCCATGCGAATCCTGGCTGAGTTCCAGGGCGTGTTCTTCAGCAATCCCAACAAAGGAGTTGAGATGTGCTGAAGGAAGCTCTTGGACGAACTTCTGGATAACATGGTTTCCAGTCTCGTGCTTCATCAAATCAAGTAGATGTGGTCGGATCTCCTGGACAAGTTCGAGATTTTGCTCGACAAGGAAGTGCTCTATGGCCTGCTTAAATTAGAAGTCTGAAGATCAACACGAAATGATAGTGCGTACCTTCTGGACCACACGGCAACCGTGTTTGTTCCGTGCTAGATCGTTGACATGGCCCTTCATTTGCTGAAGAATGTGATATTTCTCTCCCTGCCCTGTATATTCGATCAAATTCTGCATTACGTAGTTGCCAAAAGAGCAGATCATCACGGTGCGAGCATCATCTGCTATCTCTAGCAAGATTCGAGTCTTCTCTTCATTGGTTGCAACGGCCAGCTTCGTTTGAAGCCACCGTGACGACTCCTGTTCTCCACTGGCATCGACCATGTGGCCATAGGCTTCACAAAGCTCTGGTTGAGGACCAGACCTCTTCGTTAACCGCCCACAGAAGTCTTTCACCCATTGGTTTTTGTAGATCTTGGGCCCAGGGCCATTGTTCTGGCTATGATAGGGGTATGGTGCTCCATACCCAGAATTGTTGTGCGCCAGCTGGTGATAGCGCTGAGGGTACTGGTCAAGTCCGAGGGCGTACGGAGCGTTGGGTTCAGAGAACATCGCCAGCTGGTGACCATAGTAGGGCATAGACTGTGCTGCCAGTTGGTTGACTTGGTTCGTTATGCGGAGCCCTTGATCCACTGGTCGAGCAGAATACACTTGACTCCAAATTTGCGGGTTCGCTCTGGGGTTGGGTCCTTGCTCTGTGAGGTTCGAGAGGCGGTCGATGGAACCTCGGTGCATCGTGGAGGCTTGTGCATTCATCATTTCAGAACTCAGATCCAGGTTGTTGCCGTTGACACGTTGTCCGCTAGCGTCGTTGTTCCAGGGCTGGCAATTAGGGTCGAAAGCAAATCCACCGGGCATGTTTCGCAGAAGGTCGAAGGATGTTGCATCCAGACTCTGGCTGTTATTATGATTAAATGCTTTTTGATTGAGAGCCTGGTGGTTGCTGCCTTGACTCATGTGGTTGGGAAATTGTTGCTGGGACTGTGTCGATTTGCTTGCAGTATGGGTAGCACGGTAGGAGGGTGAAGATTGAGAATGTCGTGAGGAGTTGGAGCGGCGGTCCTGTGCCCGGCCGAAGCCATTGAAAGGATCTGAATCGTAGCGAAATGCGCTGCCGTACATAGCAGTGCTCCTTTCTTTCGAAATGCCCATTTGGGAGAAGTGTCCCGCTAAGCTTTGGTCATTCCCTAGGTCGCTGTTGGGGATGTGGTCTTGTGCCATCCTACTCGGCGATGTACTGGGCGATCGTGTTGCGAGAGGTGTTGTTCCCCAGAAGGCGGAGGTGGTGGGTACGTTGAATGCATTGGATCCGCGTCGCTCGCCATTCTCTTCGATAAGTGTGAGTATACGCACAATGGAATAGATTGGGTGGGAAAGGCAATATTCACATACCGTTTGCGAACAAGCTACGGGTGTGCAAAGTATCCCATGCCGTGGCATTTGTGCTGTTGTTGGTCTGGGAATGCATGGGCTGCCGTTGCGATTGATCAAAGGCTCCCGTGGCCATGGTGTTGGAATTGATAGGCCTGGCGGGTTGACGTCGCTATTGAGATGATAGATATATAAGCATGAATCGAGAAAAGAATAAATCGATTGGGTCTGGATATGGAAGTTGATGTTGATGTTAAAAGAATGTGTGTTTTGTCCGGGCAGGGCTTGGTCGGTTTGGTATCGAATGCATGGGGTAGGTTAAGGCAAGGTAGACGAGACGAGACAAGACAAGACAGATTATGGGGGATCAATTTTTTGTGTTGCGGATGTTATAAGGCACCTAATGGTAGGCAAGGCAAGGTGCAAGGTGCCAGCGGCAGCGAATCCCGACGTGCGCTAGCTATTCGTAGTTTGAATCTGACGCATTTGGGACAAGTCGAGACACACGAGCATCCATCTCTGACGTCGCACTCCCTGGAACGTGGGCCATGGGGGCAAGCACCTTAAAAAAAAACAAGGGCCCTGAATGTTTTGGGGGCAGACCAAGAAAGGTGTAGAGGGATTGGTGGTCGAAGATAAGATAGCAATAGAAATCAGTCAACTTACCGAGCCAGTCTGGTGGTTGGTCATTATGTCTCAATGTAATGATAGTAACAGATATTCAAATATAATACTATTTGTTGTTGTTGTTGAACTTATGCCCAGGCCGTATGAAGGCTGTTGATTGTTTGTGTGGAATATGTTTAGGAATGTTCCAGGATCCTAGAAAGCGAGGAATAGGTATGGAGGGTTGATTATGTAGACTAATGGGGCCAGGGGCGACAATGGATGATCTTTGTAGGGGTCCTTGGTACGTGAAAGTGACAGCCGTGGCAATCGTAGGTATGGATGGGTATTGATATGTGACGGTTCGTCTTGGATGTGACTAGGTATTGTCGTCGAGGTGAATATTTAATAAGAAAAAATAGACGGCCCAGAGAGCTGATTGTTGTTGAGAAAAGTCCAAGGAAATATAGACAAGGTAGTGAGTAGATATAAATGAGATCCCTCCCACTCCCGGATTAATTGTTTTTGTTGGTGATATTTGCGAGCATGTCCCGCGTATAACAAGGGGTAGGCAAAAAAAGTTTTGACAGGAGAATGGTAAATTAAAGTATTAGAAAATGTGTTGGTCCAGGATTTGCTGAAGAAACCCCAAGCAAGGTTAGACAGTGAGTAATGTAGGTAGGTACCTATAGGTTCGAGCTCAAGTCGGTTTGGACAAAGAAGATGTGGCAAGCGACAGCTCGAAGCAAGCGGGTGTAGAGCGGTTTTACATGAAATGCAGTCTCCCGTGAACCAGTGAAAGGAAACAAGGGCAAACTAAATCAATGTGAGGTTGCACGCCGGCGTCGGAATGTGCGGGCCCCAAACAGAGTAAAGTTGGTAGGACTTTTGGCCTTTTTGGTGCTCCTATTCAGGGCTCCTTGCAAAGGGAGGGAGGGGGATGAGTTGCTTGTGCTGCCTGACTGTCTTGTCTTGTCTTGTCTTGTCTTGCCTTGCTTTGCCTTCCGGGCAGAGGAATGATGTGCGTGTCTGGCTCTGGCTCTGGCTGGCTCTCCGCCTTTTGCTGTATCAGAAAGAGGGGAGGACGGATATGCTTAATGAGGGCTGTTGACAAGGGTCTTCCTTGGTGCAGGGAGGGATCGTATTGCTCGAGGTGGATCAGGGAGGTTGATGAAATTCAGAACCCCTCGATAGGTACCGATAGTCGATTCAGGAGATAGAAATAGTTTGTCAAAACAGGGGAAATGAAGGGCTCTTTATTGTTGCCGGTTGACAGCCTGGATATCTGCTTCCCAATTGTCGGCGTATGAAATTGTCACCACCCAGTCCCATAACGCCATTCTTTCTGTAGTCGGTGTATCTTGTGTAAGCCAAATCATGATTGCACAGCTAAGACATCAAGTTTTTTGCCTCCAGTAACCCACGCACTGATGCCTCTCAGTCTATCTATTACTCCGCCGACCAACTCACCGTTGTGACAGCCTCCTTTGTTCATTGTTGAACCAGAGGCCGGGCTGCAACCCACAGGGACTGCTCCAGAGTTTTTCTGGCTGTTCTCATATCTCTGTATTACCTCGCTACATGGCACAATGAGGAGGCCTCGCATCTCCCGACGGTCGCACGAACTGTGCTTTTGCACGCGAGTGACATCAAGATGGATCGTGACTTGCGACTCAGAGCTGAGATACTTTTGTTGAAAGGTGGGGTCCAACGGCGAAACTTTTCCTCATCCAACAAGTCCCGTATTTCAGTTGGTCAACCTCCTCGATGGGCTTTTCCTTTCGTGTGTTGACTGGCTAACAAGATGACCATATGATCATCACGAAAATGTCGCTATTTACCTCGATATCTTCAACTTTCGAGATTACTGTCCCATGGCTTAAAGCCTCACAAGGAAAGCCAAGACGGGCGCTCGGGCGGCCCCTGAGGGCTAGACCAAGATCGTCCCTCAACCCGTTATACTAACCCCGATGTAGTTTAGCTCGCAAATCACCCGCATAATCAAATCCTAATCAGGGAGGAAGCTCTGAGAGTTTGACTTTGCTGAGGCTTCTGTGTCAACAGGAGAGTTCATATTCGTAACTCCTTCTTGATTTGTGGCCTCTTGCTTTTCGGCGCGTGTCACTCAACCATGTGGTTTCACAAGTCATCTCAAGTTTCGACAACAACGCACCTTTTGTATGACGCATAGACTCACCAAGGGCCTGAGCATGCGTAGGGTATGTGTTCTCAAGATAGATGCAAGTACACGAATAAGAACGATAGTTGGTTCTATCAAAATTGGCATCCAATAGCCATGGAGCCGAAATGCCCTTTACATCATTTTCGGTTCAAATACGTTCAAAGGGAGTATCATAGTCTCCGGCGAGTCGGCGTCTGGCTGGGTCCGTTTTGCTGATACTCCTCTCAACCACGGCAAGTGACTGGTGACTCAAGCTCTGTGACTGTACCTGTGCTTCCTACTTTCACTCATCCAGAGGTTCAGCATCACGTTGTCTGGTGAAATCCACTGGTACTGGTCGAACATTGCTGTCTCGCCCTCCAGCACAATCGAGCAAACGCCTCAGGTTAGATACCAAGCGAAACGCGAGCGTAGTATCCTGGCAACAAGCACTTTTATAGTCGATTCGATTCCGTGAACTTGAGAAAGCTCATCGTGCATATGCATCTGATAGTATTCCAAGATTCCCAGAATGAAACTTCCCAAGCTGGGAATGACCTAGAAACTGCACAAACTCCGCTTAACAATGATGATTCCGACCATTAACTATGCTATATTGAGATTATAAGTCTTTAGAGCTTCGCATAGTCACTAATACTGTCTAAAACTTCTGGGATGATTACTTCGCCCATGGCACATATTGCATAGACTCTTAGCAACTCTTCAACGGGCAAAAATTCCCACCACGAAAAATACCGGCTCACAGGCTATCCCTCTCAGTAGCTAAATGAGCTCATGTGGAATCTAGTAAAGACATTTTGTGCTATTCTTGGCCTGACATCGTGAATCGTGACCAGTCCCTTTGTTTGTTGTGGTGCAGAAATGTTTCACCCTGTGCTTAGAGGATCTCGATATTGCATTCCATGAACCCGATAATAGCGGCTCAGAGTATGCTGCTCTTCTGACCCAGCAACGATCACTCTCGCATGAGGCTGTTGAAAACACAATGTTCACAAGCTTCGGACATAGTCGAGGTGTTCATGCGTCAAAGCGTTGTTGTCAGATCTGAAGACTAAATTTCCGGTTACCATGGCCAAGGGGCCATCATTCGATGCACAGAGACACCTGTTTTGGTATCACTGGACAACGGTGTGCTTGAAGGAGATAATTGTAGAGTTTGTCCATCTGTATTTCATGTACTTGACCCTGGCAACTGTATTGTAGCATGCAACTCTCTGTACCCTGGAGCACCATTATATGTTGTGCATGGTGTTGTCTGCCGGAGAAATAACACTGGCGAGGTGACTAATCAAGCGAGATAAACAAATGATATTTACTTCCCTACCTTAGGTTGGCGGTTGTTGGACGAAATAGAAAGATAAAGCCGAGGGAGCTACATCTCCGAAACTTCGGGAAAATCCAATCTCAAGACAACTATAGTAAACATGCTAATAGTGCAAGAGATGAGGCTATTTGATCGATTGACCGCGCGTCCTTATGATTGTGCTTGTGTTTGTTAAATGTCTTGTCGCAAGACTGCAAATGAACTACAACGAGCCTACACCTTTACGTGAGGGATATACGTAGTATGTCACGCAACCGTTTTCTGTGACAGTTTCCCCTTGGCAAACAAACATCTGGTATGGTGTGTTGAAAACATTGAGAGACACCAGGGTATGTTTCTGTCTACCAGCCTGGCAGGTCACTCGAACGGAGCCAAAGTCATTGCAACTATCCTTAACCCCAAACCCCAGTCGAAGCTCAAGGTAAATGACAAGTGCACGAGAAGGAGAAAGGAGAGCTATAATATGTCTCCTGATCAAATCAGGTATCGCTGCTAAAAGCACAGATACCGGTGCCACTTCAGAGGGCCTACCAAAATGAAGGCGGACAAGCGGCCAGAAGAAACGAAATGCAAGGAACAATCGATTGCGTGCCCGGCCGTTTCCCCCGAGCATGGATATGGCTTGCAAATGGATGCAGAGCTCGGCCGATTGCCTTTTGCGATCGTCTTACTGTAAATAGAAGCATGAACGCGTGTGCTGTGTTGCTTATATGCCCGTATTCATTGAAGGAAGACTACGAAAGAAGAGTGGCTATGCGTTGTTCCAACAAACTCATCACGCGCATTCGGTTGAGGCGTCTCGCTCCATCATTGCAAGCGTCGTGGCACTGGGTTAGCTTAGGATTGGGGGCTTGGGCTTGTCCCTTTTGTGCGTGATAACCGTTCGTACCTTGCATTGGCGTCCAAAACGATGGATCCATCGCTTGCCACACTCGCGTGAAATTCTAGGCTCTTTTCAGCATCGTTTAGATGAGCACAAAGAGTCCAGTCCAATCCAGGAGCAGAAGAGGCATTCGGCTCCTTGCTTCTCTTTATCGATAAGGTCACCAGACAGAGCCAGTTCTTTGTTGTCGTCTGCCCTTCATTGAGGAAAAGAACTTCCAGGCCTGGCTTGGCAGGGGGAGGACAACGGCCTCGACCAATGAACCGGGCGGCTACAGGGAACATGTGGGTGCCGAGTACAGCGAATCCCAGCGAGTATCCAGTCACTAGAAGAGCCAAGTTGAAGAATTTCAAGGGCCCGCTGGTCATGGTCAGCATCACCGAGGAGCAAGAGGATGAACCTGGAGCCAACAGGTCACATCTCCTGTTAAAGAAGCCGAATTAAATGCTGGAAGCGGGGCCTTAGCAGAGTTCTTATTGGATGGTCTAACCAACCAAACTGCGGTGACCGCACGTCCTTTGGAAAGGAAGGTGGCCCAGCACACCACGACAGGTGGTTTAGCGGCCAATTGCAGTGACTGTGCCCCTGAGAGGACCAAGGAAACAGTGGTCCCTAGTGGCTGTCTAGCTTCTCTGAGCGCCTAGCGGCCCCTACCATGGACAGCACCTGGCCCCAAGTCTCATTTCCGGGGCAGGGGCCCCTGTCGTGATCAAGTGTAGCTCAGGACAGGCTCCGAGCCAAAAACCCTCTCCCTCTGCTGTTGTGGTTGTTTCTTTCTCTTTCCCAACCCAATCCTCGCGGGCCAAGTTTGTGAATATCGTCGACGGCATCGTTTTTTCGCTCCCAGTACATCTTGTTCTCAATCGCTTTTTGGATCTTCAGCTTCACTCTTTCAGCTGATTTCCGTCCGGTCTTTCCAACCCCCCTCTCTCCCTTCGTTCTACCCACTATCTTAGGCCCATCACCAACCACCTCGGTTTTCGGTACTCGCCAGGCATTCATTGACGAACTATTGGCGATATCTTCTCCCTGGCGTACGTTATCCTGTCCCACCTGACCCCCTCCACCTGCCACCTCTATTTTATCGAGTCGTCTGTTTGGGTTGTCATTCTGCAACACGTTATGGCATGCATTGAATTGGTGGGATCGCTATGGCTTCGAATTGGCCAATCCTCCAACACAAGTCTACTTTGGAGTCTAGATGGGCTCTTCCGGCCTTGATGCGGAATGGCAGTTGGCTGCGAATATTGGAGGCTGCGTTGCAGATGACTATGCACTTGACAACCGCCACAGACAGGCTCGATCGCTCTCGCCGGGTGGCATTTCGGTCATGACCATGAGATGATGACTTGCTAACATGATGATGAATAGACGTTGCTGGCTTTACATTCGTTCTCTCTACTCGGAGCACCCATCGTTATTACGAACTCAAAATCCGTTGCTACACCTACGTAACATTCAACCACACAAACTCTATTTCACGATGCCTTCTATTTTGAACCTCGTTACCCGATCTGACATGCCTGCCGATTCTGATGGCTCAAACGACAACATGATCAACCTCATGCTTGGCCTCCTCGGCCTTGTCTTTCTCGGCCTCATTCTGGTCGCCATCCTTTTCCTGTTCCGCCGCGCTCGTCGTCAGAAGCAGCAAACCATCCAGTCCGAGGAGGATGGTCTGCCTTCTTACTACGACAGCAACAGCAAGCGATTCACCAACCACCGCGGCCTCACCATCGAGACAACACATAACGGCCGCTCCAGCGTCTTCGTCGTCAACCAGGACGGCCGTCCTATGCTTGCCAACCCCAACTCTCCTCCTTACTCCCCCGATAACGTTCCCGAGATTCACATCACCTTCCCCGATGAGAAGGATGAGCAAGGCCGACAGCAGAGCGGTCGTGTGCTCGTCGTCCGCGTTGGTGATAACTCGACCGTCGGTCTGGAGCCCATGAACGAGGAGCAACTGCCCGCCTACGAGAAGGAGGCAAAGGGCCAGTTCTACTCCATCGACATGGACCAAATTGGCGGCCTCAAGGAGAAGGACCGTACTCAATTCCAATAAAGAGATGCCTCTCCTTGACGCTTCCCTTTCCTTTCGTTCGTCGCCGGCGATGCATCTTAAGAGCCGTCTGGACGACTTTGTCACGACAAAGCTTTGAATACGATTCTTCATTTTGGGACTTTTCTTCCCACCAAAAATTAGCGAACTAACCCGCCTACCATGGCTCGACCTTGCCATTGCAATCGGAGAGTCAACGGCACTATTCATGACCCGTTACTATATATATACCCGTTTACGCTGCGGTCTAATTTTCGCATTGCTACCCATCAAGTGGTCGCCCCTCCCCCATCATACTTTTGCATATAGATCCCTCGCTATTCCCGTCAACCGACTTGAACAGTCAAAAACAAGCTGCCATGGTCCAAGGTCCTAGGAAAAAGAGGGTTTAATGAATGGATTAAAAACATGAGGCGGAGAGGGGTGGCAGTGATGCACCCCGTGGAGAGGCCTTGGATCACTCTGGCAGTTGATGGGTAACATGGGCCGAAGCAAAACACTTTTACTTAGAGTAAAACAATTTCTTATTTTCCGTGGGGTTGAGTCTTGGGATACGACACGGAGCACTTTGGAGTAGCAACTAACTATATCTATCTGTAGTCGATAGTGTATAATTTCTTATCCTAACAATTTTGAGTAACTATAGTGACCCACGAATAAGTCTTTGTGATGTTTTGTAGACTGGCTCAGAGGCTGATTGAAGGGAGGTTGGCAAGGCATATGACCGGATCGTAATCCTGTAGATCCGCATTCCTTTGATTACCTCTTACATCGAATGTCTTTGGTGTGTAGAGCTTCTGATTGGCCGTCCGTCTCGCCGGCTTACACTACTCCTTGACGTTGAGTTGAACGGCTGCTAAGTCAGAGAACATTGGGCTAATGATTTAGCTAAGATAGTTCTTTAGGCTTAACTATCTTTTGTTCAGTCTGGGTCAAAGAGAGTGTCAGGATTTCTTTACAGCATTGATCCGGGAGCACCGGACAGCATCACGATTCGAGACCTCTTTCAATTGGAGACAAAGAAGCATGCTATTGATTGATAATGTTCAGTTATCTTGCAGGATTCTCTCGGGATACTCATACTTGATCCATTCTGGTGCTCCTCCATGCTTTGCTATGTCAACTGAAATCAAAACCGAAACCCTAGGGATGTACATCAAGAAGCGAAGAGTTGAACAACAAGTTGCAGCTTCAAGTGAAGAACAACATCTTTTCAAGTGTATTCCTTATTTGCCCGTCTCCTTGGGAGCCGAATAAACAGTCAAGGTCGATGCATCAGCGGGACACATCACCATAGGACAAATACACGAGTTATCCTCTCCTTCGGCACGCACGGTACACACGATGGCATTCTTTGACGGGTCGCAGCAACAGCAAGGAGGTCCAGCAGGAGCGGGTGTCTTTTCCTCGCGCTTAACGGGAGCGGCTGTGGTGGTAGTTGCAGGAGAAGTAGTAGAGGTGGCCCAGATAGTGGGGGCACCGGCGGGACACACGACGGCGGCGCAGAAGCAGTCTTCGGGCTTGACGTCCTTCTTACAGACTGTGGCGGGCTTGGAGATATCGCAGCAGCAGCATGTGCCGTCGGCCTTGTCGTAGGCTGGCGCAGCGAGGGCGACGCTCAGGAGAGCTGCGACGGCGAAGAAACGCATGTTGAGTTGTCCTTGGTTTTGATAGGGGTAGATGGATTTGGTGGAGGAGTTGTAGGCAAGGCGAAGAGGATATATGTTGAGGCTGTGAGTGAACAAGTGTGCTTGTTCGTGAATCACTTGGAAGAGAAGAATAGAAAATAGAGGCACTGAACAGGAGGACAAGGCAGGACACGAGGCATAAATAGATACCTAAATAAGGCAAGGCAAAGCATTGAATTGAATTACACGAGGAACAAGGGATCCGGCTCCTTAAAATATACTTCAACAGCAACAGACCAGACAGAACAAACAAAAAATGGGTAAGCGTCACCGGCTGATGAAACGGTCCCCGTCCCTTCCTCTTCTTTTTCCCTGGTCGAAGATCAACTAAGGATCCATTTACTACCATTTGCCGTTATTTTATGTAGCTTATGTAGCTTCTGTATGTATGTGTGACAATCACAATTAACCTTCTGATCCTCCCGGATCCTCCACCAACAGAATCAGCCTCAAAGAGGAGTATACGCCAAATCCTGTAAGACCTAGGGAACTTACGAGAAACTGGTATACACGCTTCGTTACGTCGACCAAGGCTCTATTCGGTCATGACTTCATCTAGATGAGACCAACCGGCGCATCCTAGCTTTCGTGGTCTAATTCTTCGTCTTGGTGTATTTTCTCTTCCTGTGCATGCAAGTGCCGTCATTCATTTCCCAACGTGTTTCAGGACCTGGGCTGACGTTGAAGCCTCGCGTTTGACAAAGTCAAAGCGGGAAAAACATGTCGATTTAGGCTGCTTCTGGAGTCGGTAAGTAGATTTAACTTTGAAAAGCTGTTTGATCGATGAGTTAAGGTATGTATGTGTTGCGTTGACTTGGACTGAGAGGGTATACTTTATCTTACATGCTAAATGCTATCTTATACGCTAAATGTTATGAATCCTTAGATGCAACCCTCTTCGCATGCTAATCGCTTTATATGCTAAATGACTTATATGCTAAATACTATACATGCTAAATGCAAGACCAATATCGTTCCAACTCATCCGCATGCAGTAAACACTATCATGCATCATAACCACCTTATATCCATGAAACAACAAACACCACACGCAAACAAGAATATGTTCATCTATCGTAAACTAGCTCTTCTTAATCACAAATCTTACATAGTGACGTTTGTCCTCTCACAGCCTCACAGTGATCGACACAGCACGGCCATCCTTGGCTATATCCTGCGACGGGGATCGCTGCTTCAGCCTCGGGGTCAGCACGGGACTCGCTACAGGGATCGACTTTTTCGCTGGAATGGAGGCGACGACGTATCGGAGAATACTTGTCCTACATTGTTTCTACTTTGATCGTGGAGTGCATGTGTCCTTGCATTAGGTACTTTGTGCGTAATCTGTGTGTAGCTTGTCGGTCATATTCGGAGATCATGACGATGCTTCGTATTGATTGAGTAACATGTCGTATACAATACAAACCAATGACATCAGGCATGATGTATCAGAGAGTCAATATGGTCTTGGAAGATTGTTCAGCACTTTTTGATATTGTTCTTGTTGATAGTACTCGATAACTCAAATCCCAGCTATCTCATCTCAAAAACCGAGCCACCTTTTTGCCTATATCATTCATAATCCGTCATTGATTGACCACAAGATTGTCAAGCAGTAGCTGACAAAAGAAAAACGAAAAAGAAACCCCGACTTAAGGTCCATTGAATTACATCTGTCCTTATATTTCACCAACTAAACAGTAGGCCCTTCCCAGCCGCTAATTGTGGGAGGCTCAATTCAGAGCGTCCCAGAACCAAATGGTTCAGACTTCATATCAACATTGAGACCGCGTGAACATAACATTCCGCATTGCTTTGATGCAGAGAAAAGGATAGACGATAATAGTACACGTACAGCCAAACCAGCAGCTGACTCAAGGACTGACCTAAGCGCCAGGCATGCGAAGGATAGGGTACAGAGAGGATCCCTCACGGGGGGTACCCAGTTCTCTGGGGGGAGCTTGAGGGCTCTTTGGGTCAACATCCATAGCGTCAGAGTGGCTAGATCGTGGCGACTCGTTGTCGTCCACAAACTCCTTGCGCTCCAGACGTCCACGAACGTACTCGCGAAGAGTCTCAATGACCCGCATGTTCTCGAGCCAGCGGTCATACTGCTCCTCACGCTCACGGGTAGCATCACTGACATCAGACTCTGAAGAGGGAGAGCCAACAGACAGAGCAGACTCGCTAGCCTTGGGAGTGGAAGCACCACTGGTGTCCTCATGAGGCAGAGGCAGAGGACCAGCACGAGCTCGCTGGAGCATACCACCAGAGTAGCGGCGACGCTCACTGCCGTCAAAGCTAGGGCCAAGAGTGGTTGTAGCAGAGTGGCCGAAGCCCTGGCTAACAGCAGGGAGGCTTGTGGGGAGAGTGGGGTACATGACTGAGGCAGTTGAGCCGTGGCGGGACTGAGGAGACATGGCAGAGGATGATGGGCTTGGTGAGTGACCAGATGTGTATGACATGGAGCTGGAGGGCGGTGTAACAGCAGGAGTGCCGGTAGATGAGATGGCCGTCAGAGGCGAGGCCATGCTGGCGGCAGACACAGGCTGGTAGCCGTCAGCTCCGACATGCATGCCGGTAGGAGACCTGTGAGAGGTAGGAGGCGAAGGGGTGTTGCGGTAACCGTTGAAGCCGTTTTCAGCGTGATGAATGTGGACACCAGCAGTAGCGTGGTTAGCATTCTCGTAGATGGTGTCTTGCATCTGGCCAAGAATGGTGTCGATGTGAATGAGATCCTTCTGAGTTCGCGCGCTGGGCATGGGCAGGTAGTATTGCTGAGCCAAGGGGTTTTGGCTAGGAGTAGGACCAGCGTGGACCGGTGCGGGAGCAGGCTGAGGCATGTACTGCTCGGTAGCAGTCATAGGACCGTTGGGAACGGAGAGGTTGCCATGGAGGGGCATCAAGGAACGACCAATCTGGGCATAAGACGAAGGATCGATCTGTCGACGCTTGGCGCTGCCGAAGAAGTCGTCAACCATGTCGTAGGTGCGCTTTCGATCATAACCGCCGGCAGCAGCGCTGTATCCAAGGTGCTCGGTACGGGCATTGTTGATAGGAGGCTGGTTGAAGTAGAGGCCATAGTTGGTAGAGGGCTGGGGAGCATAGTAACCGCCACTAGGATGGCCTGCCTGATGAGCAAAGGCTGCTGCGTTAGTTCGCATCTGACCAGTGTGATCATAGTAGCTAGAGGGGCCTGGAGGCGGATTAGCCTCGAGGGAAGGAAAACCGGAGGACCACAGCCGTGGACTAGAGTCGAGATGAGACATACCCTTTGGAGGCTGTGGCCTGTAGTTGAGTCCACCTTGAGGATCCTGGGATGGGCGAACAAGTACAGAGTCATCGGCATGGGTCTGGTTTGCGTGTGAGCTTGATGTAATTTTCAGACATGGGTTGTGGTTGTGATTCTTACCTTGACATGCTTCTTCAAGTCCTGAGGACGCTTGAAAGACTTGCCGCAGAACTCACACTTGTGAGGCTTGAGAGGAACATGGACACGGATGTGCGAGGTGATGTGGTCTCGCTTGACCGTGGTAGTTCGGCAAGAGTTCCACTGGCAAGTCAAGTTGAGGTTGTTTGTGCTCTTGCGACCAACATGGCGCTCGCAAATATGCTCCTATAAGAGGTCAATTTTTATTGCTCTTTGGTGATGTTTCAGTATCTTACGTAGAGAGCCTCGGGAGCAGGGAACTTTTGGTTGCAAGCATTCCATCGGCAGATAAGGTTATCGTCGCTTGATGTTGAGGGAGCAGTGCTGCTCTGGGATGTATTAGATGTGGCGCTAGGAGCAGGCGTCACAGACTTTGAGTCATTGGCACTGCCAGAAGATGAATCTCCTGATGATGAGCCCTGCTGTTGTTGTTGAAGCTGAGGCTTCTGCTCTGGAGCGGGAGGAGACATGGCGGGAATAGAAAAGAATGCAATAATGGGATATCTGATCAAGCCTGCTCAGTGGCGATGCTGTATAACTAACTGACTGAGACTAGTCAGAGTGTAGAGGGTCTTGCTTTAGTTCAACAAGGGTTCGATGGGTGTCTCTCAGGGTAAAATCAATCAAAACTTGTTGAAAGGAAACAAGTTAGAGATTGATTGATAGAGAGGGATGATTACAGTTGAATGAGATGTTCAAAAGAGAGTTCGTTCTTGATAAATGAGTGACGGGGGAGTGAGCTCCCTTTACATTCACCCAAAACTCTTGGACAAGAGAATGAAGACGGCGGGATTCTTGGCGACTCTTGGCAAAAGTCTTGGCAAGGACAAGAGGTACTGACAAGCGACGGGTACATGGTCAGCTATACCGGTATGGTTACGTTGGAGAGTAGCTCTTGGCATGAGCTACACCTGGTTTGATGGCAGATTGGGAATGCCAAGAGCGCCAAGGCTTGGCATTCTGGGCACTGCCCCTCATGTGTGTCCTTCTATTGGTCTTGTCCATATTGGCCTCACACAAAGCTGGCCACCTACTGCGTCAAGCGTTTTGTCGTTCCGTCACCTGAGCCATTGGGATTTCGGCCCTGACCTGACACCCTTTCACTCTCACTCACCTTGTGCTCTTCACCTCAGGGAGTCTTTCGGCGGGGGCCAACTCCGAACGAGAAGAGAGAAATGTTGTACGAGAATTGAAATGCTGGGGTTGCACGAATGTGCACAGGATGCGCTGCATGCGGAGTTAAGCAGGGGACAAGCAGTGATTGAGTAAGCCCAGTAAAAATTATAAATGGAGAGTTCCGGGTCTATCGGGGAACTGTTATCCCCCGTAGTCTAACGTTAATGTCAACTAAATTTGACAAAATCTGCCGGAAGAGTAGTGGGTTCTGGCTCTGTTATTCCCAGGGCGGGCAGGTTATGGTATCGGATAGTGGGAGATTGGCCTCTTCCGATGGATGAGTCAAAAGCACCAGACAAAGCACGCAACTCTGATAATACATAATGCTAACAATAGGGAGCGAGGCGTCCAAAACATACCAGACTCTAGCAAACACATAAGTTGACCAACAACTGACCTGACTCAGGGAACCCTTCTCTCACCCGGTACAGTTCCTAGGTAACCTCATGCCATCAGCCAAGCCAGACTCCCACACAACCAAGCTTTCCGCCCATCTGCCCAGGCCCGGCGTCTCTCCCATTTCACTCTTGTTTGTCCTTATTTTCTTCGCCGAGACATTTAGCCAAGACAATATTCTCCATTTCTTGTCAAGCTTGGCCCCAGACTGCCAAGACCCTCTTGGCGTCTCCTTCTCCTCTTTTCATGTAGACACGCCAAGAAATGTAGAGCCAAGCACACGTTTTCCCCTTGTTAGAATGTGATTATGCTTCTTTTCACTGCCGTTTACTGCCTGCCTGTCTGGGCTCAGATTAAGTCGATCGCACTAAACTTTGATATGATGCTTCGGTTAGGAATAAGGAGGGAATGTTCTCTGCATGCATGGTGGCTAACAAGTTACAGTGTAAGACTGTTCAAAATCAACTCCAATTCGTTAAACAGAACAACGTGTTATCACGTGTTTTTTTTTTTTTTTACCTGAGCATCTGACCGGTTTGCGTGTCGGGTCGCATAGTCAATGCTTCCCCATATTGATTCTCCATATTGACATGCATTATTGACAAGATGTCACGTCTCAAACCATCCGAGATCTCTTAATCTGTCCAGTTGCAGCACTGTATAGTAACATAGTAAACAACGGAGTTGATAACGCTCAGCAGCATCTCCATCATTTGCCGTTGAAATAACCTGTTTTCGTTCCTCTAGGCTCGCCGAGGAAAATAAGAACGCCGAGGATCTAAAACCATCGTTGCCGCAATGGGGAATCGGAGATGAAGATACGTCCGTGAAATGCCCAGGGAAATATGATGCAGCCTCGTAGACTTGCACGTTTTGCCGTTCTTTCATCGTCATCCAATGAACTCAATATCGTTCAATCTTCCAAGCGCTCTTACACAGTCCTCTCCACCGAGTATCAAGATTACATCAACAATCATCCAACAAATCCCGCACTGAAGATTATATTCTCCTCCTTCCTCCGCAGGAACGCTTCCCTTCTCCCCGAACTACTACCCCAGGCCAAGCACCACTATCAGGCCAAGCAAAAGCCAAGGGAGCGCCCAGAGAATGCCCAGAACTTGAGCATCCCAATCCTTTTGATGCCAAGGTCTTGGTGATGACGACAAACGGTGGCAGTGCAGGCCAAGAAATGTCCGAGGTCTTCTCGTTCTTGTCCTGTGAACATAAGCCTGCTCAAGCTTTGTAGCCAAGATCAGAAGTGCTTTGATAATCACCCCATCGCATGTCAAAGCCAAGATGCCAGCGACGGGATAGAGTAAGATAATCGTCTATTTTCCTATTGCCGGCTGTTAACGCTTGTTGTTTCCTTGGCGTGATGATACTGCTTTGTGACTGAGGGAAAGAGTCCGACTGGTGAGCGGTCTTGGTGTTGTTCGGTGCATTAAGCTGATATCAACTCCACCGAATTCGAGAATCAAATTGGCTCATAATATTTCAACTGTATGCACTGAATAAGTGCATACCATACATAGCGACGAATGCAAGAGGCCTCCAGAACGAATTGTTTAGTCGTGATGCAGATGATGAAATTCTTTAGGCAACAGCAATGTTGATTGTATCGAACCCCTGTCTCGTTATCCATGGCGTCGGCATAGATTGTTGGGTTGTTTCTTCTACTGGTGTATGTCTGATAGGCTTGGGTAGTAGTTGACTCTATTATCATTGTGCTTTGAGAATTAAGGATCTGTGTTCTATTCTACAAACCCATACATTACCGATCTGGAGTAAACACCACTTACACGAGATACCATTCATCATACTGCACACTTCGTCTTGCTCAGTCATAGTAGGTCAATAAGAGAAAAGCTTGAGAACACAGAGAAGACATGTTACAGCTTGCTGCTTCATTGTGAATCAACATACCATACTCATAAAAAGATGATTACACTACCAGTATTGCGATTACGAAATATACTCAAAAACATGACCATTCACGTGACTGCAGATTATGACTGTCTCCATCGATCGAATGACTTCACTTCTCTCCGCCGCAAAACTCTTTCGTTATAGTTTCCTTCAACCTTTCCAACATGGAACATTATTGATAAACGCAATGGCTGAACACGAGTTTCTTATCTATAAACTCTGATCTCGCCATTCTATGAGGGTATCATCACATGCTTTGTTTCTTCAATTTCTCAACACCACAATACAATTTCCCAACCGATTTCGAGATTGACGCCACACTCCCCATCGGCATTGACCGACCAAACCCCTCATCTTCATAACGTCAACTTCAACACTCACACGTGCAATACTACAGACACTCCATGTGGAAAGGAAAGATCAGAACTTCCATTGGTAAGCTCAAGAGGCTTTAGATACTAACGATCAGGAAGCTACCTAATCCATCGCTCCAATATGATTTTACTCCTTTTTTCAGTCTTTGTGCCCTCGGCAAACAAAAGACGCGAGGGCGAGCGTGTAGCGTTCGAGCCCAACTGGTTCCAGCCATGATATCATATCCCTATATGTTGTGTTAAGGGTCCATCCAGGATGCCCCTTTCTGTCCCTTTCCTCCTCTATCTGTTGTTGATGATGATGCGTTCCCCACATCAAATGCCCATAAAAGTTGATTAAACAAAGATTCGAGAAAGTTGCAAAACGAGGCCCAAAAAACTGGCTGCAACTGCCCACTAATGGTATAAGATAATCGTCGTCATAATCCTCCACATGGTGTTGAAGTGGTAGGATCTGGTAATGATGCAAAGCCAAAACTAGGGTGACCGGGTATTGTAAAACAAATACCCCAAGGAGACGACTCAACATCGGAGACCAGCCCTTCCCGTCAAGGGTGTTGTCGTGTCGCTCAGAAGCCAAAGCTCCCGGCATAAGTATGCGCCTCGGGGCTAGAATCGAACAGCCCCCATGGAGCGACAGGAATATCAAGTGACGGAAGCAACGCCTCGACAACTTGTGTCCCCTCAATAATAAGAAATAAGACCCGGGTATTAGAATATTCCATCTCTGGGCACCGAAAAGTTTCGGGAGACACCCAATCATTGGAATATTGCCCGTATGCTGACCTTCCACAGCCGACGATGATTCACCTGTCATGTAGACAGATGCCGCCGAGTACCAAGACGCCAAAAACCGAGCCCATATTAAGAAAGAGAATAGCCCGAAGAAAAACGTTAAGAGAACCGTGTCATCGTGATAACAATAGTGATCCAGAGGTCGCCGCCTCGGTCATTGGTGTGGGCCGACACGGCCTCTCCTTAAGCCAACCAGCCCCTGCCCCGAATCGATCGCCTTCAGAAATCTCGAAAGCCCAAAAAACGCCGTGCATGCAGAGAGGTATTATACAGAACCGAGCTGCAGGAGCGCCTCGACGGCCTCCCGCTCCTGTGCGTCAGAGGTGCCCGCCAACGCCGAGAAGTCGATGTTGAGTGTTTGAGGTGGGCGAGCCATGCCGGAGCTGGCAGAGAACGAACGAAGTCCACCTGGTGCATATGCAGAAGAGGATCGGAAGCCATGGTCTGTCTGAGCTGCCGCCTGGTTAGGGTAAGACTCGGCTCGAAGAGCAGCAGCCCCCATGGTAGCCCAATCCTCGTCATCCGTCGCATCCTCAGGATCATCGTTCATAACAACATCATCATCCGGAGCCTCGGAGCACGAAGCGGATCCAGATCCATCCATGGACATCTTGTCGGCCTCATGCTCCATCATGTAAATGTCGTTATCATCATGAGAATACTGCACCGAATCCCCGTTGCTTGACGCAATGCTGAGTCTGGGCCGGTCCTGACCCCTACCGCCGTTGTTGCCGATGGGGATGCCCGCGCCGTAGGATGAAGGAGGAGTTCCTTGTCGGTGTCGAGAAGGCTGTCCTCGCTTACGAGCATCCCATCGGCCCCATCCCACCTTTTCAAATTCCACCTCTCCATCCAGTCCGCCTCCTTCTCCTCCTCGTCCCTCCAAAGCTCCCACGACTAGTCTCCGCGCCTTTGTTGGGGGGATTCCAGAGAATCCGGGTACCGAAGTGGTCAGGTACCCCATGATGTGTCTGATAGCCAAGGGACCATGGTTGAGCAGGATCTCTGGCAGGTGGTATTTGGCGAGGAGAGAGCCAGTGATAGCACCCGAAGCCTCAAGGCCAGGCGAGATCGAACGTCGTCGATCCGACGGCTCGTGAAGGTCCAGGTCTGAGTCAATAGGCTCAAGCTTGGCCTTTTGGAGCTGCGCCTTGAGGCCATGAGGCGGCAGGTTGGGAGAGATGGAGTTGGGGGGAGTAGGAAGGGGTTGTTGAGATCGTGTCACAGTCGCAGGGACACTCCGAGCCGCTACAGCAGTTAAGTTGTCTCGGCTCAAGGAGGCCTGGGAGATATCACGAGCAGCCGCTGCCATTGTAGCCATGTTTACCGAGTTTCGGTCTTGATTGTATGCGCTTCCGAACGAGCAAGTCTGAAAATGGGAAACTTTGGTCAGCGATTTTGATCTTGAGAAAGAGATAAAATTTGCGACGCGATCTCTGTGAAGAGAACGAGAGCGAGAACCAGGTACTGCTGCCCTATGGGAGCGGTAAAGAGTTGCGGTCATGAGAAATGGAGCCCGGCTCGCTCTCGAGTCACCGCGGTCGGTCGGTGCACTGCGTCAGACTAAGGTGAACAAGGTACGTACCTATTCAGAAGCCTGGTGTATGGAGAGCTTGCAAGACGTTGTTGCTGAATGGCTGGTATATGGCTATGTAGGGCAGAGCTGGCGCGATAATCTGGACTGTGACAAGAGACTCTTGTACGAATCTTGTGGTTCTTCTGGTAGTGTTGTTGTGTTTGATGAAAAGAACATCCAGGGAAGGGGAGGGAGATAAGTAGGTTATGTATATGAGTGTGTGACTGACTGACTGACTGTGACTCTGAGCATGAGCAACCGTGTGCCCTGCCCAGCGAGCGTGAGGTAGGTACGTACTTGCACTTACACCTCACCCAGGTCTAGTAGGTTGGGTGCATTCAGCACCTATCGCGAGGTCAATGTGCCCTGTCTCTCTGCCTGTTGGAAGGCAATTCTCACCTCAAAACAAGCACCCAATTCATTCGGGGTCGGGTTGGTGGGTGCCATTTTTGTGGCACTGTACGTGCTAGAAGCACGCCACCCTATACCGACAAATCACAGCGCAATCGCAGGCCACAGCCCCCAAACGGGTTAAAACCTTGAATCCATTCGTCTTCACCCCCATGTTTGGCCAACTTGTTGGAGGTGCCTTTATTTTTAGGGGGCGTGTGCATTCAGCGTTGGATGATAAGGTTGATTGGGAGGATAAGGTCCCTTAGATAGGCACTCACAATCACAATCAATCATCCATACATTTGCTAGCAATCTTGCACTGGCTCGTGGTTGAGACATGCAACCCAAAGCAATAGAAGAAGCCTGGAACCCAACAAACTTTCCCCTTTCTCTCTGATTCTATCACGCTTCTTTTCTTCATTCCCTGCCAAAAGTGGCACTCTCCTTTCTTTCTGCTGGTCCATGTGAAATTGTTTTTTTCTGTTTTTCATTTGCTTCTAATTCCCAAGCACCTGGTAGTCTAGGGAAACGAGAGGATCCAGGCCACAGCGCAAACGGGGAAGCGATCCGGCCCAGCCAAACGAAATAAATTGCCCGTTTCATGCCCTAGTGAGCTCCAGCTTGGTTCAGCGCAGAGCCCACGATATGGCTCGCGCTTTTTTCGCTATTGACTCCCTTTTTCCAGTCTCGTGGGTTCTGTAAGGATGTTTAGTAGGGCATGGCTGCCATGGCACAACACCAAATGTCGGCTCAGCTTCCGGATGACAAAGATGAATCCTCATCATGAAAGAAAAGTAACAGGGACAAATAATACAGTCACAATTAGGACGGCTCCGGCTCCGGCGCCCTGCTCTAGTTCCGGACCTCGGGGCTTTACGGCGCACGGAGACGAGGGCATAATTCACTCCACCATTATATATCATCATGTGCGACATGTTGAGAGGTTACTGGAGACTTGAGACGGAGGGAGTCGGGCGTTTGGCATCTCTTCTCAGATTTCCGAGGCTGCGCGTCTAACTAAGCGGCACCGGTATCGATCGTCATACTGCTTTTCCAGCTTGAAGCAGGGCCCAGCAATGAACCCCGTGTTTGCGACGGCTGGCTCTGGTCTCTCGGCAGGATGGGGCTAGCTTCTCTCTAGGTATCTGTCATGTCAAGTTATGCTACTGTCTCCAATTTTTGCAGAGTCTGGGGATTCATTAATTAGTCGCAGCTCTATTACTGAGCCGGTGTTAGTCTTAGCGTGTAAGAGAAACCACAGTGCTCCCTTTTGGCCAACGCCTTAGGCCACGGGGCCCAGGAGATTGGGGTAAGGTTGTTGGAGTTTATTGATGTTAGTCAGTCGTCTAAGGTTGTGGCTGTTCGCGATTCAACATCAGCCACCAGATTATAGTCGCCAACATTCCATCCCTCCATCGCCGCCGACGCGACTTGGCTGGATCGACTCGAATGTGAGGTTGATTCATCGAAATGGTGACTCAACTGAAAGGGAAAGTCATCGGCGTCATGGCTTTCTATTCTTGCTTGTGGAAACGTGGTCGTCATGACATGCATCGCAGGGACACCCATGGAAGAAATGTTGATCGTAGAAAATACCTGCATCCATCCGGCTCATGCAAGAATAATGCAGGCACCTTTTAGTATAATTCTGCAACAAAGGCATGTCAGTCTTTTGTGTCCAACTCACTCTCTCTCTGTATGAGTTTCTTTGGCCCTTTCACGGAATCAGCGGGCCCTGTTAGCATGCATCGACAGGGGTAAGGGGTCCCTCCTTTTACTGGGAACATCAAGTCATGACAAGCACCAGCAATGGACCAAATTTCCATCGTCATGCCCTAATTTCGTCCGGCTGCTGTTAGTGAGCCCTTGGTGCTTTGAAAAGGAGGACTGAGACAGGGCATCAAACTTGAATTTCTGGAATATTGTTGTGTGCCTAATTTGACACGTACCTGCGTGATCCAAACTCTTTGTTCGTAAGTGTGTAGGGCTAGAAGCATGAGAGAGGCACGCTCCCGGCGAACCCAAAGCCACCCGTGTTCCAGCTGTGGAATCCCGTGTGTATCGCGATGGGGGCGTGTTCCTAAAACCGTATCCAGGGCGTGGGCACACCTGCGACTGTTCCCGTGGTACTGTTTTTGAGATATTGCTCATACGGTCCTCTCTTCGGCTTGGCCATTTGTGCAATCGCTTCATATCAAGACTCGTCTCCCTTGTGACCGCGCGGGCGCCTGGTGCTGGCGTTATTTGTGGTGAATAACCAACCCTAATCATCAATTCCAAAGATACGACACCACCATCGAGTTTACCGGCTTGACCGAAGTACTCATGTATTCACTGGAAAGCCATATCCCACTATGTCTGCATTCGCAAGTTGTTCCTTGGCCAATCCCACGTAATCATAGCCATTCTCGGAGCCTTCGTATTGATGTCGATGGCTGTGTCCAAGTTCGTACATAGATGCATTCGCGTACTTTCTCCTTTTGCAAATCAAGGCAATTTGTTGTGTCAGATGTACTGGAATTCAAGTACTAACCATCATCTAAGGAAGCCATCCTTGATGTGTTACTGTCACGTTGCCAAGGTCCTTCTCTGTGATTGGACTCACGATGCCGTCAGTATTACCGACTCAAGTTCGTCACCTTTCTAGATGCCGGTATCGTCGTCCAACAGCGAGTCTGCTTCACATGGTGGAGGCACCGACCAGCCGATGGATCATGGCGACAAAGCCTCCCCCTCTTGATGTTTCATCAAACCAAGGAAAATCATCCTTGGGCGCCAGTGTGACCCGTCATCCATTGATAAAACCCCACGTTGGACAATGCTGCGCCGTGGGCACCTCATAAAAAAGCCTCTTCCCCGCGCATCGATAGGGAAGAACGGAAGGGATGCGGACTCAATCCATCAATCCCGTTGCCCCGCGCTCTTGAAGCCCGAGGCTACGATATCGCGTCGTGCGGGGGCCGGTGGCTCCTGTGCCGTTGGCGATCCCGTTCTATCCCGCTCCGAAGACCTCCACATTGAGTGACCTCGTCCATTCGTTCCCAACCAGGTGGTTGACGCACAAAGCTTCCCTGTCTCGCCTGTCTATTACCGAGTTCAGCAGACTCGTCACTGCCATGCTTACACCACTGTGACTCTTTGGGACATGGTTACAGCTGCAGCTGAGCCAACCCCGCCGCCGCCGCCAAGTACATCTCAACTGAGGGGTGGTTTGATATATATGCCGCCGCCATGTTTCGAGGCCATCGTTGACGATACCCAAATCACATCATTCAGATCGTACGTGTGCATGATCCACCAGCTGATAGGCTCCAAGTCGGATTTGAATCTCACAACTTCACAAGTCTAGCGACCCACAAATGAGACAATGGGGGTGCAGGTAAGCTCGTAATGTCGTCAACTTCCAAGGTTGGCAACTCAACCCCAGATATCCTCGAAGATTGCCCGAGTTCTAAATTGTGAGTGTGGCATCAACTAAGGGTTAACATGCCCTGAATACCGAGGGCATGAATCTCATGAGCCAAAGACAAACTCGCGGCATGCCTAATTGATCAGGTCAGTGATACGATGAACCGAGTTTGTGTAGCATATGGGACATACCGTTCGTAGGACTCCTAGTTTCTGTTGGGACTGCTCAAACACATGCTTGTACTGAGCGAGGCTTTCCCGTAAGACGACTTCCTTGTTGGTACGACCTTCGCAGATAGCCTTCATCTTGATTTCCATTTCCTTCCGGAGAAATGGTTTACCAAGGCTGGTTTCGAAGTTCATTCGATCAAATCCTAAGATTAGAGCCACTCCAAGCTGCGTAGGGACAAAGACTTTCAAGCCGCCTCGGCCGCCTGATGATGATGAACCACCGCGTCCACCTCTGGCACCTCGACCGCCACGTCCACGTCCACGACCTCTTGTGGACGTACTTGTGTCCGCATCCTCATCATCTGCCGATGTTTGACCTGATCGGCTGATCGTAGCGACATATTCCCTGTCCTGGATCTTCTGGATATGCTCGGCCATGGTAGCATCTGTGCCGATCCCATTGGCATCCATGAGAGCGATCAAATCGGCTTCCGTCAGGTAACCAGGCGCTGTGGTCTTCCCTTCTGTCATCATAGCCTCCGTTGGCTGAAAGCGCTCACCTTCTGTGAACTTCGGAAGTTCCACTGTGTTATTCCATTTTTCGTAAATGAACACGTCAAGGTAGTTTCTCTCTAGCACAATGACTCCATGAGCATTGAAACGCTCCTCTCCAAATTCAAGCTCAACATCAGTGGCCATACCGTGGGCATCATCTGAGCAGCATGCAAGAAATCTGCGCGCAACATACTCGTATAAACGAGCCTCGTCGCGACTCAAGATGGAAGGCGAGGCATATGTGATAGGGTGAATAGGAGGATGTGCCTTATCGTCATGTCTTCCCTCTCTTGGTTGTTTGAAAGCACCACTGGCAAGATTCTGTGCAAATGAGCCCCATCTCTGGTCGCTGGTTTGCTTCTCAACCAGAGCACGGAGATTCATCCCTTTATCGAACCGGTCTGTCTCCGTTCGGGGGTAACTGATGAACCCCTTGTTATATAGACCTTCAGCAATGGTCATGGCCTGCTGTCCGCTCATCTGGAGTAACCTCGTCGCAGCCTTTTGTAATTCAACGGTTGTCAGAGGCAATGGTTTGAACTTTCGAGTGGGTTTCTGCTGAACTTTTGTCACTGTTGCTGTTTTGGCTGCGAGGCATCTCTCATAGAGAATCACTGTGGACATTCGATCGAACAGCCTATTCCGTAGCCAGAAGAAATCGACCTTTTTACCATCTCGGGTGTGCATCAGTTTTATGCTCCAGAACGGCTCAGGAACGAAATTTTTCACACGAAAGTAACGATCCACGACAAACCCAAGGGTTGGGAACTGGCAAGACCCTGAAAAATCAGCAAGATGTAAACGAGGTGATGACCAGGGTACAAACCATAACTCAGAGTCAGCTTCTCCATAGGTCCTCCGAGAGGCCGTAAGTTGTTTGTGAGAAAACGGGTGAATGCATATCCAATACGAAGATCCAGCTCGATTCTTGCAGATACAGCATGGACCTGCCTCTCATCCAAAGTTGCAAGGTTCTTGGCTGCTGAGATAACATGACTGTTATTGTTAGTAGGTACCCCGTAGAATAAGAGGACATGACAACGTACGCTCGCTCGACATTGCTGAACCTTGCTCGTAAAACCTGGATACCAGGTTTACCCTTTCGAGCGGCTTCGACAATTTCATTGCCGATGTGTTCTCCTTCACGATCACAATCTGTCCAGATTACTAGAGCTTGGGCATATCTTGCTTGCGATTCTAAATTCTGGGCAATTGTCTTCTTGTCCTTTGAAAGATTAATACTGATTGCTTCCGGATCAGGATATGAACTCTTACTTCGCTGACACTCGTGACAATAGGGGCGGTGAACAATGACTCTGGAGGTGGTTGATACCAGTTTTTGTGAGCTGGAGTAAAGTCGACGTTGGTTAAGTGTCCAGTGACACATGTCATGGTAACAGAGCAATTGCCCAATTGACGGCCAAAGTCGAAATCGAATGAGTAGTTCTTGATGTACTTGTTTCTTGTATTGTTCTATGAATTCGTTAGCCATGTGTTCTTGTTGTTGCGCGCTGAGTGGTTTCTACCGTTTCGATACGGCCTCCAGAGAGATGTGTAGCCACAGCTTTGGATATGGAGGGCTTCTCAGCCACACAGAGGACTCTCATTCTGGAGGAATGCAAGTCTTTGTGACTGTTTTATAGCTCTGATGCAATTTTCAACAGTCCCGTCGTAGTGATTACGGTACAAAAAGCGAGTGGAGAGTTGCCTCGGGCTGCCCGGGACTGCAGACGAAGTTTTGCGTTAAGGCAAGCACGATGTGCATAACAAACACGGTCAACTAGGCGCGTTTGTAGCAAAAATAGTTTGCTGCCATAGTCTCTCAACAACAAGACTTGAGCAGTTATTGGAATTGTTTGCCAGTTACCATGATAAACTGTTTGCTGAAACACTTGTAGCCTCAATATTTACGCCAACGCTCTGAAGCTCATTTCTGATATTCACGGTGAGGAGGGAAACTTGAGGCAAGGCCAAGGTTTGACGTTGAAAATTAAGTTCTCCGGGATTAAGCCTCTTCAGTGGCTACACGGGCGGATTACCACTAGCCACAGCGGCTGAATCCGTTTAATCTAGGGGAGTGTCACCTAAAAGCTTAGTGGTCCCACAGACAAGGCGGGAACCAGGCAACAGAGGTGTCCTTCCATGGTCTAAAGTGGTTTCCACCTCGAATTGACATCTATGACGCTATTGAAGCTGTGCATCGCTATACGTGGGTATTAAACCAGCTGTGCTGCATTCACATCAGAGGCCCAAAATCTGATATCAACCATTGCCTTGCCAAGATCAAGCATTATGTCTCTCCCATTCGTCAAATCCATTGAGGATTGCGGCGAGTACGCCAAAACAGTCCAACCCTACATTCCGCAGCTCTATGCTCTTCCTCGACACATTCTTGACAACATTGCCAGTCCTGATGGGCTGAGGCAGATTTATGTTGATACAAACCCTCTCATATCAGGCTTTGCCATTTCTATTGCTCTTGGCTTTGTCTTCCTCGTTGTCTCCGAGATCAACCGAAACTACTCTCAAGTTGATCGAATGTGGTCGATTCTCCCAAACTTATACGTTATCCATCTCTCAGTCTGGGCGCGTCTTGCTGGTGTTCCTTCTTCGCGAGTTGATCTTATTGCTGCTGCTACAACCCTTTGGAGTGTATGTGTCCTTACATCTCATTCGTTCAGTTGTCGCTAATGCTGTGTAACAGTGCCGCCTGACATATAATTACTGGCGTAAGGGTGGTTACAATAAAGGATCTGAAGATTATCGATGGTAAGTTGATCGCCCACTCATATCTCTTCAGTCAGCTCATATCATGCAGGGCCATTCTCCAGCAATATGTACCCCGATTTGTCTGGTTCCTCTTTAACGTCACCTTCATTTCTTTCTACCAGAGCGCTCTGCTCTTCAGCTTCTCATGCGTTCCTGCGTATGCCATTCTCTGCTCTACCAAGTTTGAGCAGGATGTGACCACTGCCGATATTGTTTTTGCTCTCATCATGGTCGGCCTAGTCTACAGCGAGTGGGTTAGCGATGGTCAGCAGTGGGGTGAGTAATTCGTATGCTTTGATGTTTAGTGGCCTAACCATTGTATAGACTACCATGCGGCCAAGCATCAGTACCAGGCCGAGGCCAAGGTCCCCAAGAAGTTCAAGTATTCCCAAGCCGATCTTGACCGTGGCTTCAACACTTCTGGTCTCTGGGCTTACAGCAGACATCCCAACTTTGCTGCAGAGCAAATGATCTGGTTTGTGCTATACCAGTGGAGTTGCTTCGCAACCAAGAACATTTACAGCTACACTTTTACCGGCGCTGCTGCCTTGATCCTCCTCTTCCAGGGTTCAACTTGGCTCACAGAGCTCATCACAGCTGGCAAGTATACTGAATACCCCATGTACCAGGAACAGGTTGGAATGTTTTTACCAAAGTCCCTTACCCCCTACAAGACTCCTGGGCCAAAGGTCATTCGGACTAGCGATATTGCTAAGAGGATGGAGAACAAGAAGCAAGCTTAAGTTTGCGTCTAAATACATTGCCTATTAACCCTTAATCAAGAGCACTAACTGCTTTGTTTTGGTCAGCATAAGGCAGTATCCAATTTCATCATAGTCTAGATAGAGGAGTTAGTTGCATAGTTAGTCTATAATCTATATCATGGTCTATCGTCTATTGCTTCTCTGCCAGTCTAAGATCGCTGAACTTGTCAGCGTAGTGAGAGGGCACAGCAATGGCGTCGGCCTTCTCCCAGTCCTCCTTCTTGTTCACGCCGGTCAGAACATGTAGTGTTCCACCCAGTCGGCCCTCGATACCAAACTTGATATCAGTGTTGAGTCGGTCACCAACCATGCAAGTTCGAGAACGATCGAGCTGGAACTTGCCCTCAACAGCGTCCATCATAGCTTGACTGGGCTTACCGAGAGCCAAGGGCTGTTTTCCTGTGGCGTGAACAACAGGGATGTGACAAGATCCAGCTCCGAGGAAGAAGTCGTGGTGCATCGGCAGTGTTGAATCAACGTTGGTAGCAAGGAAAATAGCTCCCCGCTTGATGTAGTGCATGGCATGGGCATACTTGAGGTAGTTCACGTGGTAATCAAGACCGCAGAGAACTACTCCGACCTCGGGGTCAAGTAGTGAGCCATCAGCGATACCCTTGAAGTCGTCATTTGTGATATCTCGTCGGAACGCCTCATCTGTGCCTCCAATATGAGGAACACCTTCAGATTCAAGTTCGTGCTCGATTCCAGCTTCTCCAATAATGAAGACCTTGCGCTTGTTCTCGGGTAGCTTCAAGATGCGTGAGATGTAGATCGCAGCAGAGTAGCTTGAACCGAACACATCATCCTTCTCACTAGGGATACCAAGATTGGTGAGTTTCTTTAGGTATTCATCGCGAGACTTTGTTGAGTTATTCGTCACGAAAACGGTTCTCTTTCCTGTGCCGATGTAAGCATCGTTTCAGATCGTGAGGATAGTAAGCTAACCCTTTGATCTTAGATATTTGATGGTCTCAGGGACTCCCTCATACACATGATCGCCAGACCATAGGACACCTGAATGAGTCAGTTTCTTGTTCAGCTACAAATCATGGTTATCTACCATCGCAATCAAGCAGGAAGACCTATTCATGAGTGTCAGTTGAGGCTCGAATTGCACACAAGTAAATGACTCACGTCGAATTTGTCGATGAACTCGCTAACAGCGGCAGCATCTCCGCTGATGTACTTTGGTGACGATGCCATATTATCTGTGAAATGACCAAATGAGGAGAATGATTAAATGATCGACAATAGGTTCAGTTGGTTGATTCAAGATAGGTCATCAATCATTATCAACAGTCTGACTGACTCGGCCAATTGCTTAGTCATGTCCACTTAGTCGTGGAGTTTCTTGTGATGTAATTCCTCTGGACGTGGAAAAACGTGCGGGTCTACCAATAAAGAAGATTATCACGGTCGATCATGACGATGAATCCATTTTCTGAATTTAGTTAATCTCTGGAGTCTTCTTCATGGGAATCAATGTCGAACAACTGATATAGGGTAGTATGCCATGAGAATACCATCCTCTTTGCAGCCTCCCGGGCTCACTGTTTATCTTCTTGCTACATCGCTAGGGGAGGCAAGAAAACCTAGGATATCAATACTAATTGATAAGAGACTTAGGTAAATTATTATAAGCTTAAAGTGCTTCTTCAATATACATATATATTTTGATATTCTTTCTCAAGGTCTGAAGTCTTTGCTCTTTGAGGATACCGACGTCAGGTATGCAAACTTGAGGCTTATTCATGCAAAGACAACAACCCTGCATTCTCTGCATCTCCGACCTCACTTCCGAAAATACCAAAACCGATTGATTGGTCCGAAGCTACTAAGAGCCGCGAGCCTGTTCCGTGTGGCGACCGAATCTCCAAAATCGAAATCTTTCCAGCAACCATTTCAGTGACCAGAGCCGATCTATTATTGGCTCGTCAACTCCGCCCTGAGTAATGGACCACCCTAATCGTCATCGGTGGGTTTTCTAGAATTCCACGTTTATTAACGGAGGCTTTTTTTCTGTCCTGGAGATAACGGGCTACATCCGTCTTCGGTCTACCTTACCTTGTGATTTTTTCTCACTCGCTTGCTCCGAGGCGGCGAGATTAGAGTCTCCTTACTCGTCAGCTGGACTTACAGACCGACAAACGTAACCGAATCCGTGGAGTGCAACATCCATTCACCGCTCTGCCCTGGCCTGGTTGCTTCCGTATCAGAGAGTGGCGCCCGTGGACCCTGAAGCTAGGAGTCTAAGGGCCCCACACCATTTCTGATCGACGACAGGAGTTTCCACTTGGTTAAGAAAGAGAAAGAATTGATAGCAGACCCAGATGGATACCAGCGTAATTATAAATATCTACAAAACCGTGTCGAGCTGCCTTTATCTTGACTCTTGATTTAAAACTTTCATCATCTCGTACAATCTGTGCCGTTATTTTGAGCAAACACGCGCAAAGCATACTCCGAAACCAGTCACAAGACCTCGTCACGATATCACAGCTATCAGGATATCTATCCCCTGAAAACCTATATAAAGACTGTCTCACACATACATTTTCTTGACCGTACTCATCACACAAAAATCATCAACGCTTCGAGACCCAAACCAATTCACATCTCACTCAAACACCTGACAAAATGAATCCCACTGCGCCAACAACCGCAGCCCCTACCTCTGGCAACGCCAACAGCTATTTTAGCATTCACAAGACACAATCCACAGAGACAACCCCTGTGTCAACCCCTGGATTCAAGGGCGAGGAGTTCGACCAAGCTGGACACAAGCTTCCTGCCCTCAACCGCGAGTTCCCCAAGCCTACAGAGGAACTCGACATCCAAAGCATGCTTGATCGTCAACCTGGCCGATGGACCACCAAGGGACAAATCGAGGCCAACCAGCGCCGAGCCCAACATGCTCGCAACGAGGAAGAGATCAAGGCTCAGCGCATGCGAGACTTCGAGAAAGCCAAGGAAGAGCTCCGTTCTTCATGGCGGTTCTAGGCCACCTGCCCCAAACTTCACCTATGGAGGACTTTAAAGCTGTATCGGTTTACACGTGATGAAAAACCAACTGGCGCATTGTTTTCAGGGCTATACCAAGAGTTCAACGATTTACGACACTACGAATAGACATTAGAGATCTGGCTTGTACGATTGAGAATACAGGATAGATAGATTGGGCAGAGAATAGTATTTGCATTTCTAGCAATTTAGAGGTTCAACACGAATTCACTTTTGAATAGTGCATTGTTTAAGCAAGGTCTGCAACGGACAGAACACGACCACCAAGAGTGAAGCCGTAACCAACAGCAGCTGCAAAAGTGATGAGGTTGAACAAGGATGAGATACCGTGGAGCATGCCAAACTTCTTGTTCAGAGCCTTCATTTGATCACTTTGAGGTCCCTCAGCATACCACTCCTTGCCATCTCGCTTGACTAGAGATTGTTAGCACTGTCTCAAATCGACTCCATGAAGATTGACGCACCTTGGCCACGTCGCTGCTTCATAACTTCGACTGTCAAAGGCAGGAAGACGAGCAGATTGACAGCCCCAGTCAAAGCCATGATGCTAATAGGTAGCAGGGAGTGCCAGCGGGCAAACTCCGACACCAAGCCAGCAGGGCCATTTGACAGACCAATTAGTGTGTTTCCGGGATATGTCAAAGCTAGGACACCGGGCAAGACAGTCTGGAGGCCGAAGTAGATGGGGAAGAGCTTCTGCTGGATGGCAGAGAAGCTAGGGCGGTCGACCGTCCTGAACATCACGATACCATTGATGAAGGTCTGTTGAGCTGTTAGCATTGAAAGAGTTCGTAACTTGGTGAGATACATACATGGAAGAAAGTCGTTCCAAGTAGAGTTCCATAGCTGCCGTAGAGTTAGCGATGCTTTTTCTTACCGGGATTGACTTCATAAACTCATATAAACTTACGTGATGATATGGTAAGGAGCCGGCGAGAAGGCCACTGCCTTTGCTGTGCTTGCCATTGTTGCAATTCTTCACTTGTGAGTGTTTGATGAATTGTATCAGATCCAACTTGCCGAGGCACTGAGGTGTTTCGATAGTCATGATATCACATATAGTCACGTGATCCACAAGCTCCATACCGAGTTGTAGTCTCCATGATGAGTTGATATTCACGATTCAAAAGATACAGATGTTGCTACTGAAATTTGCTTTTTACTGGCTGGTATTTGTTCTTCTCTTACCTTTCTGGTGGCTTAATAGACTCATCCAATAAACGGAGTTTTGTCAGGCATCAGTTGCACGTGACCTCGCGCGTCTGGTCGTGAGAAGGTCGGCAGAAGCTTTGACCCATCAGACGCGATGGGTCACCAGCCTTGGTACATATTGGGGTGGTTCTGCCTAGCGATTACAAGGATTCATTGTGAGACGTTTCTTTTGGTTGCCATTCATTTAAAAGCGCGAATGGCCTTATGAAAGTATCTCTCACTCTTTTATAATCCCTTTCATCATAGCGAGATTTGATTGACTTCAGAACTCTTGACCCCGTCTCCCGTCTTCTGACATTCTTTCCATATCACCGGGTTTCATACAAACCATCTCCACCATGGCTGAGAAGGAAGCGACCGTTTTCATATTGGACCTTGGGTCGACTATGGCCCAAACTCAGAGTGGAAGATCAGAGTCTGATCTGGAATACAGTATGCAATACGTATGGGACAAAATCATAGACATCGTGGCAGCAAACAGGAAAACGCTATGCGTTGGCGTATTGGGTCTGAGAACAGATGAGACTGACAACAAGCTACAAGACGATGATGGGTATGAGAACATCGCAGTGTTGCAGGAGCTGGGACCGATGACCATGTCATCTCTGAGGAATCTTCAATCACTTGTCAAGCCGAGCAATACATGGTCTGGAGATGCTGTTTCAGCCATTGTGTTGGCTGTTGATATGATTGATACATTCACAAAGAAGCTCAAGTGGAACAGAAAAATCTTCTTGGTCACGGACGGCCAAGGTCCAATGGATGCGGATGACTTGGGTGACATTTCTAAGAAGATGAATGACTCCAACATCCAGCTCACTGTCCTGTAAGTTGAATGGATATTTCAACGACACTTTTAACATGATACAGGGGAGTAGACTTTGATGACCCGGAATACGGCTTTAAGGAAGAGGATAAGCCGAGCACAAAGGTTAGTATGATGGGAGACAGCGAGGACCATAGCTAAAAGTTCACAGAAAGAGAATGAGCAAGCCTTGAGATCGCTTGTCAATGACTGTCAAGATGGAGTTATTGCAAACATTACAGAGGCCATCGACGAGTTAGATACCCCACGAATCAAGGCAGTGAAGCCTTACAAGACTTATGATGGTCCTCTTACCCTCGGAGACCCCAACACATTTCCTGCTGCGTTGAATATCAATGTGGAAAGATATTTCAAGACCAAGCTGGCGCGACCTTTGACTGCAAGCACAGTCGTTGTCAAGTCAGAAGGTGCACCGGATTCTGAACCTACGCAAGCTGACGCTGACGATATGGAGGGAATTGAGTTCTCTGCTGTGAAGCAAGCTCGTTCTTACAAAGTCAATGACCCAGATGCACCAGGAGGAAAACGAGACGTTGAGTTTGATGATCTTGCCAAGGGTTATGAATATGGCCGAACTGCAGTGCATATCAGCGAGTCGGAATACAATATCACCAAGATTGATACACAAAAGAGCTTCTCAATCGTTGGCTTCATTCCATGCTCAAAGGTATGCCTATCACCGGATACCCCGTCCTTTATAGTGCTGATAATTTCCAGTACGAGCCTTTCCTTAACCTCGGCGAGACTTGCGTGACAGTAGCTCGCAAGTTCGATGCCAAATCTGCTCTTGCCCTTTCGTCCCTTGTATGGGCCCTCTCGGAGCTTGAGTCTTATGCAATCGCCCGAATTGTGACCAAAGATGGCAAAGATCCATTGTTGGTGTTGCTCGCACCCAGTGTGGAGCCAGACATGGAATGCCTGTACGATATCCCACTGCCATTTGCAGAGGACATCCGAAGCTACCAGTTTCCTCCTTTGGACAAGGTGATCACGGTTACTGGCCAGACCCTTACAACGCACAGGCTATTGCCCACGGATGAGCTGAGTGATGCGATGAGCGACTATGTCGACGCAATGGACCTGTCGACATACGGACTAGATGACAAGGGGTATGTTCCATGCTATCTTGGACCTTTCGGCAACTGACTCCCGCAGCGACCCAGATGAATACGTCTCCATTGACGAGACTTTCAACCCTACGGTTCACAGGGTGAACCATGCCGTGAAATCACGAGCACTGCACCCAGAAAGACCAGTTCCAGATGTTCCTTCCATCTTGCTGCGATTTTCTCACCCAACTCAAGATCTGATTGAAACAGTTCAGAGGAAGGTGGATGCTCTTGTTGAAGCTGCAGATGTGAAGAAAGGTTTGTTCCAGTCCTTTTAGTGATTGCGTACCATGGCTAACAAAAAGTATCAGTTCCGCCCAAGGCCAAAGGAAAGCGTGGCCGAGAAACCGTCAAACCCATTTCTGGTCTTGATGTGGATGCTCTGCTGGGCGAAGAGGAGAAGGGCGACATTAGCCCTGATAACGCAGTACCTGAGTTCAAGCAGATGCTTGCTGCAACCGAGGAGCTTTCTCAAATCGAGGAGGCAGCAAAGCAGATGGGCGCAATCATCTCTACGTTTGTCATGGAGAGCTTTGGGGATGCCAAGTATCAACGTGCTCTGGAATGTCTTGGCGTCATGAGGGAGGAACTCATCAACCTCGAAGAACCAGGCCTATACAATACTTTCATGCAAGACATGAAGAAGCAGCTCATCTCCGGGGCACTTGGAGGCGACAGACGAGACTTCTGGTTTAAGGTCCGATGGGGTCGTCTTGGTCTCATTGATAAACAGCAGTCAGAGGTGTCTGATGTATCACCAGAAGATGCAGACGAGGTAAGTTCTTCAAATCTGACGATCTAACATGTACTGACATTGAACAGTTCTACAAATTAAAGTAGTCTTGTAATGGCAAATGTATCTGTTGTTTGTAAAAAGGAGTGGGCGTTTGTGTACCAATATATTGATTGGCTGGTGTGAAGTTTATCCTTCTCATGTAACGGGCCGTCTGCAAGCAGTGGCATTTCATCTACCACCTGCCAAACGAGTTTCTGTTTGACTCAATAAAACCTTGTTTGATGCCCTTTCGCAGTGAATCATAGGGCACTGGGCGTTATTCTATTCGCCAAAATCGAGACGGTGCTTTTCGCTGCCTTTCTTGTTTATCCCTTCGTGTCTCCTTCCTTCTAACGCCGCCATCTTTCAACCTTCACCACATCCGTCTTTCGCCTCAACTCAGCACCACTATTTTCATTTCATTTCCATTTCACAACAATACTCTTCAACACTGCTCCTCCAGTTGAACTCTCACTAGCACTTCTTTGAATTTTGATTTCATTCCTTCAATTTTCATCTGACATGTCGGCCCTCGATGCCCAGCTGGCCAAACTGCAGCAACTTCTAGGCAACGGTGTGAAGTTGGAGGACAGACCCAAAGACGAAGAAGACGACAACGAAAATTCAGACAACCCAGTCGGCGACGGAGCTGACAACAACTACGTTGGGATGATGGAGCGTCAGAGACAAGCCACAAGAGAACAGATTTCTCAAACTGTTCAGCAACAAGAGGCCAATACTTATGCTGCCAGACGGCGCGAACTTGCAGAGAAAAAGGCAAAGGCATTTGATAACTCCAAGTTTCGCATCTGCCAGACGGTCTCCAACGATTTCACTTTCTGTCCATTCAAAGTTGTGATCTCATATCCTGAACGCTTCGTGGGCAAGGCCAACAAGCCTCGTGTACGTATTACAGTTTTAACAACTCTCCGCTGGCTCACCAATCTACAGACAAAGCCGTTCTTCGCCAGAATCCTCTTCGAGAAAACCTGGGACTTGTAGGTCAATCCGATCAATATTATCTATAGTGCTAACTTTACAAGCTTCTATCTTCATGATCCAGAGGAGCCGGCTAGAGACCCCTACCTTTTGATTCCAACTGCTCAGTTCGAAGTCTTCCTTGAAGAAATTAACTTCGAGCTTGACACTTCCCTCAAGATCCCTCCCGGTGTGAACATGGAAAAGTTCTACCTCAAATTCGGCGAACGTGGTACCCCACGCCCTCGATACTTGAAACGATCGGAGGAAGAGACATCCCTTGATGCTCGGCCATGGCCCGCTATCGACCAAGATGACATCAAAGGCTTCAAGGTGGCAACCCCAAAACAGCAACTGGCATGGAAAGCAAAGTTTCGAATTGTCAAGTCCGGGTTTCCACCCAGAAACAGGGCAGATCCCGACAAGGCTGCAAGAAAGAAGAGTCACCGAGAACGAATGCTTCGCAACACTCAGAGATGTCTTGGTCTTCTGGGAGATCCCGATGGCTTTGACGTTGTTTTCATCTGCGTCGATGTTGAGGCCCTTGAAAGAAAGCCCAACCCCGTCTCTGAAATTGGTATCGCTATCCTTGACACACGAGACACCAAAGGCGTCGATCCTAACATTGTCGGCCGTGGCTGGTGGCCTCTAATCAAGACTCACCATCTCCGAGTCTATGAGTTTGCTGGTTTGCGAAACTATCAGTTCGTCAAGGGATGCCCTGACGCATTCGACTTTGGGTAAGGACGCCGTCCCCAAACTCCAAACAGCGACTAACTGTAACATAGGACGAGCACATTCCCAACAAATGCAACGGTTGCAGACTCCATCATGGAAATTTTCAACCCGTGGCTTAATGATCAGCGGAACATCGTCGTCGTCGGACATGATGTGAAACAGGACATCGCCTACTTCACCGAACTGGGCTTGGACCTACGATTCCTTGGAGGGCTGGCAGAACCGGTGGACACTCAGGACATTCACCAAGCCTGGCGTGGTTCAACCAATGGTCGAAATCTCAGTACCGTACTGAACGATCTTGATATTGCCCATAGGCACCTGCACAATGCAGGAAACGACGCGCACTACACACTCTGTGCCATGCTTGGTATTGCACTGGAAGACATTCGGAAGGAAGAGGAGTTGAGCAATCAGATGCTCAGCAAGGTGGACTGAAGGATATTTTCGGAGCTAGGAGAGATGGAAGACATGCAGCCAGAAAATGCTCCAGATGATCAACTTGGCAATTCCCAGAACGAAATAGGACCTGAAAGGGGGTAGATGACATTTCGAGACTTATGTCAAGTACCACTAGAACAAAACTGGAGTGAGAAGAGAACGGGTCTTTAGGACCCTTTATTCATACAGCGTCGAGCCTTGATAGCTTTTAACAACGGCATATACCTTCACCTGGCTCTAAAGAGCTTCCTCTAAACCCAACAAACGCCATCGCTATGGAAACAAGTAGTGTACAATATACACACGCGGCCAGACACCCACGCTTAGACCCAGTCATTGATGATTCTGATAACGTCTTTGGTAACTGGTTCGTGACCCGAATACTGGACTTGGGGGAGTAGTTTTCATGATCGTAATCAACTGTTTTTGTCCAAGAACTCTTTGGCCTCGTTTACTTTGGTCGCAAGGTAGGGGCTGCCGCCTCGATCGGGATGGTTAAGAAGCATGAGAGTTCGGTGAGCCTTTCGGACCTTATCCTTGGTAACAGCTCGCTCGCTGGAAGATATTAGTGGGCTGGGAATGAGAAGAGTGGGATCAAGACATACTTGAGAGACAGGATGAGAGTAGCCTCCTTCTTGGTCATCTTGGGCTCGAAACCGCCCTTGTAGAAAGCCTTGCCCATGGCTCCAACGCCGCCTCGGGATCGCCTCCATGCGACAAGACCAGCTCGGCCCTGTAAGAGATATTAGCACCCGGAATCACTGCCTGGAATCACTGCAAGCATACCAAAAAGGCCGCGACGGCAGCGCCAGCACCTATAGCCATAACAGAAGCCATTTTGTAGAGTGATTGCGGTGTCGACAATAAGTTTAGTGACGCAGAGTGATTCGGAAGTCGAGATCGGGGCCACTTGATTTTTCCAGCCGGCGCGGACCGGAGGTAGAGGGGCGCTGGGACAAAAGTTTGTCCGGGGTGCAAATCTGTTATCGATAAGACAGTTTGAGCAAAAAGTTTTTTGATTGACCGCGGAAAAGAGAAGGCTGTTCAAACCAGTGGGGTGGACGTTGAATTGAAGTTGTTTTGGTCTTTCAGACCACCACCCAGGCAAAATGAGGTACGTCTTTGCTGCTGAAGAGTTCTATATCGGATGTTGGTCCTTGCTGAGGTAGAATGTTTGGAGTTCGTCCTCTGCGAGAGCGAGCATCAGTGATATAGCGACTCAGGCTCTACCTTGAACTACAACTAACAAAATGCTTCAGAATCGAAACCTGTTACTTTTGCAGTCGCCCTGCTTATCCCAGCAAAGGTATCACCTTTGTGCGAAACGATGCCAGAGTCTTTCGCTTCTGCCGTAGCAAATGCCACAAGAACGTACGTCTACAATACTCAACTTACCAAAGACCTCGCCGCTGATACACTTTTGCAGTTTAAGATGAAGCGTAACCCTCGCAAGCTGAAGTGGACCAAGGCTTTCCGCAAGGCCGCCGGCAAGGAGATGACTGTCGACTCAACACTGCAGTTCGCCGCTCGCCGCAACGTCCCCGTTCGCTACGACCGAGACCTCATGGCCAAGACCCTCAAGGCCATGGAGCGTGTGTCCGAGATCCGCCAACGTCGCGAGCGCGTCTTCTACAAGAAGCGCATGGCTGGCAAGCGTGAGCGTGAGCTTACCCTCGCACGCAAGCTGGTCGCCGAGAACGAGCATCTCCTGCCCCGCATGCGCGGCAGCGAGAAGAAGCGCCTGCGCGACCTGGGCATGACTGAGGAGGAGATCGAGGAGATGGAGCCTGACCGCGAGAAGACCAAGGCCTTCGGTGGCGAGAAGAAGAAGGTCGCCATTGCGCTTGAGGTTGACGAGGATGACGATGAGGATGAAGAGGGCGACAGCGGCATGTTCGACGATGAAGACGATGAGGACGAGGACGGTGACGAGGATGACGAGATGGACGATATCGACATGGATGCCGATTGAGTGGGCAAAGTCATGGGGGAAAGAATCTGAAAGAGAAAAGTTTTACATGGCAGAGACAGCGAGAGGTCTACGAGACAGGGCGTTATGGGTGTTTTTGATTCGAAGGCATACCACGGCGTTGGGATACTATAGAAAAGCCATTTTTCTTCGTCATGAGTTACACACCGACACCAATTTATTTGCGAGTTGGTTTCTTTGCGATGTGACTTTGGCGGGAATGATTGATGTTCCAGTATCCCAAGCCCAAGAAGCCCAAGTTTGTTCTTATCGTTGCCGCTCTACACACTTTTGACCAAACACTGCTGTTTCCGGAGCCTTTTCAGATGGGAATAAAATAATTGGATGGTTATTTTGTCAAGACCAACAGTTGAGGTGAAAACAGCTGTTCAGCCGGAATATGCGGGGAACTAGTTTAGGAAGACATTGAAGATCAAAATGAGATCTCATGACCCATGCCAGATTAGGTGATTGGAATAAACTGCCGTGTGATAGGACGACGTAAGCAGAACTCTGAGCGTCGCAGTTGCAAGGAGAAGCCTAGCAGAGGCCCTAGACAGACTCTCATGGCGGGCTGAAAGGCCATGTTTTACTCTGCTGGGTTAGTTGCCTGCTTGCCGGCTGACGATCTCTTATCGAGCCGCTGCATGTCTTAGGCAAAAGGCTTTAATTCGTAACTGGGAGGTGTCCGACCGACTCCAGGGTCCAATTCTTTCTGCCCTTTCTGTTCTCCTTGGTTTTGTCTCTACATCTTTTCTCTTTTGTGATTTTGCGTTTGCGAGTAGTGTCTTGTATTCTTGATTTGCTTGAAGCGAGTAACCTTGATCTGACCGTGCTCTGCTGGCTTGTTACTATGAGTGAAAAGGCGACTGTAGAGGCAACGCCTCTTCTACGACGACGACTTCAACAACGACCACGGAAGTCACATTATTCCACCGTGTTAGGCCTTTTGGCGGCTGTCTGTCTTATCACCTTCTTCCATCACCGACCTTATCCTTATCCAGTGAACATCGAGGATCCAGCGGACAAGCCATGGACTTGGAGCGATGTAAGCATACATACACCATGGATAAGGAATCCAAAAGGTAGGCTAATAGAGAAATTAGGTCAAGCCAAGCCGAAAACTCAATTGGGAACCGTGTTATGAAAAGTTCGAGTGTGCAAGACTTGACGTTAGTAATTCACCATATCCTGCTGTTGCATATGCTAACTTGGACATAGGTCCCAATGGACTGGCTTGAGCCCTCGGATGATAAGAGAGTTGTCCTTGGTGTTATCAAGCTACCGGCCAAGACAAATCACAACCATGTTTCTCCGCTCTTTGTGAATCCTGGAGTATGATCTCTTTGTGCCTGAAGCTTCAGGAGCTGACTTATGGACGTAGGGACCTGGCGGATCGGGAGTTTCCTTTGTAAGAAAAGAGGGACATATCCTACAAGCGGCTGTCGGTGACAACCATGTAAGTTGAAAAGTCGGAAACTCTGGCCAAGCTTTATACTTATAATTCCAGGACGTTATCAGCTTCGATCCCCGTGGAGGTGAGTTATACCAGTCCTTATCAAGCACTACCAGCTATCTAACACTTCACAGTCGGCGTCTCTACACCTCGAGTTGAATGCTGGGGCTCTTCTCAAAAGAGAAAGCTATGGAGTCTCCAAGACACACCCGTTGCCGACGAACACCCAGGTCTTATCTACGATGCCTATGCCCGAGCATCTGCCTACTCCGGAACTTGTGAGCAGGCCATGGAGGAAACTGGTCTTATGCAGTTCCTCGGTAGTGCATCCATTGCTCGAGACATGCTAGAAATTCTTGACAAGACAGGTCATGAGAAGCTACGGTACTGGGGATTCAGCTATGGCACTGTTCTAGGTGGCGTTTTTGCTGGACTATACCCTGAGCGTGTTGAGAGACTGGTCAGCGACGGTGAGTTTACGATATATGTAGCATTGTAGTTCTGACTGACTCGAGCCAGGAAATGTTGACTATCACGACTGGTTCAACTTGGATCACGGCAACTTTGTCTCTGACACAGACATGATCTTCGACGGCTTCGATAAAGCCTGCCATAAATCCGGGCCCCTCAAATGTGCTTTTTATGCAGACTCGCCAAAAGCCATTGAGGAACGTCGAAGCAATCTCCTCGCCCATCTCAAAAAGTCGCCTGTTCTCGTTCCAGCTTGGACTCACGATTCCGGCCCTGAACTACCTCTCCTCATCACCTATTCCCATCTCCAACGCCTTATCCAAACTTCCATTTATGCTCCGCTGAAGAAGTTCCCTCAACTTGCTCGTGTGTTCGCTTCTTTAGAAAAGGGCGATGGAATCCCCTATTATGAGATGGTGATGGAAGGTAAAAACAAGAGCCTCAACGGAGATATGTGCGAACTGGGAGAAACTCCTGCAACTATGCCCCTTGAGACCCCTATGGAGCTCGACGCTTTCCCTGCTATTATGTGTCTGGACTCAAAGCCTGTGACGGAAACGCCACATGAGATTGCAGACTACTTTGACAGAATCACACACAAGAGTCGTTGGGCGGGAGCAGTCAACTCCAATTTCCGTGTGTCTTGCGTCGGAAGAAAGACGAGGCCAAAGTGGAAGTTTACAGATGGTGAGTCACCCCTAATACCCATGATACGAGATACAAGACTAATTTTGAGAAGCCGACTTTAGGGGTGATACTGCCCATCCAATTCTATACATTGGCAATATGGCAGATAATGTGACGCCTTTGCAGAGTGCGTTTAACAACTCTGCCAAGTTCCCCAGCTCAGTTGTTCTCAAGCAGAACTCCTACGGTGTAAGTCTCCTCCTATTTCTGCGTCACTCTGTCTAACTTGAGCCAAAGCATTGTTCGTTGGCGGCGCCCTCAGCATGCTCCCTTACTTATATACGAGAATACTTCCAGAAGGGCACATTGCCCCCTGCTGGTGCCGAGTGTGATTCCGATTATGATCTTTTCGAGATGCCTGGGTTGGAAGAAGATGTGGCTGGTTTGGATGAGCTCAGCTCGATTGCGTTCAAGTTATCAAGAGAGGTTGAGCTTCCCAAGGCCTTCTGAGAAGGTTGAGGTTCCCTTGTCCTCAGGCTTACGAACCTCGGGAAGGTTCAGTGAGACGAGATGAAGCATTAGTTCTATCTAGCGGAGAGTTGTGGACATGACTAGAACGATATGAAAGACACAAGATATGAATCAAGAATTTAACTAGTAAAATGAACCCTTGTGGCTCTAAGCATTCTAACCCGAGTCCCGGCCGTCCCGCTGCCATTAGCAAGCCTCATTGTTCGTTATGCTTAACATGATGTCCGTGATGTGCCTTTTCAGGCATTCTTAGACCCTGATCAACCTCCTCCTTCACCTTCTTGGCCAATTGCTCACCTCTCAATCTTTCTTCTTCTCTCATCCTTTCCTCCTCTTCAAACGAAATAGCATGCTTCCAGTTTCCAGCTCCACCTCTCCCACCAAGTCCTCCCCTCGCAACGTGATTCTTCTTGAGACTTGCATTCACAGCAGCCGCTGTCTTCTGAGCCATCTCGTCTTGCTCTTTGGCGTCTGGTAGTTCCTCTGGATTGACGTAATTGCCGAAGCCACCACGGCCAGCCCGTGATGGGCCGTTGGCGGACGGCTGGACTTCTTCTGTTGCTAGGTTCTGTGCTTCAAGATCGGCCTGAGAGTGTGAGATGCTGAAGAGATGATTGTGCAAGGTCAGCTTACGTTGGCGGCATCTTCAGGTTTGCTTGATACAAAATTCCCGGCGCCGCCTCGGCCGACTTTGCGGTATACGTCCTGATCAGGCATGTTGTGATGTTGGTTGTATTGTGTGAAGTTTAGATACACGTGTTGACTACTCGTAAACTATGTCGTCGCAGTAACAACAGATTTGACTTTTACTCTCCAAAAGAAAATAAAAAAGCAAAGAGAAAAAAATATTTCCCTCGCTCTTTAAGTCTCACAAATTATTAAAATACAGTCGTCACTACGCCACTGACCAGCGTGGGGGGTGGTCTTCTGGTCTGCTTGCTACAAGAAGTGTTTCGCATCGCTATCTTGACTCTATTTTCCGTGTGTCAACGGATTTGGACATGGGAAAGGCTCCAGCGCCCGCCGGAAATCGAAACTAACGTTGTTTTAATTAATCTGGGGTACATGAGCTAGGCTGTAGATCTTGCGGCGCGGCTATGTTCCGTCTCCTGTGGGTGACTTTGCTTTACATACAGGCAGCAAACAAGATATAATTATTATTTGTTTTCAGGATAATGGTTATCTTTGCTGACACGAGATGTCTTTGAAAAAGCCTCTGATTTCGTTGCTGTGGCTTGTGAGTGAATTGATGTCATGATCGGCGTCTCTTCAGGAACACGGCAGATACCAGGTATGAAGGCTTCTGCCACAGAAGATGAAGCTTCGCTGTTGCCGACTAGAAATTCAAAATAATCAAAGAGTAAACTCCTCTATAGGTTATTCACTGAAACAACCGATAGTACGGAAGCTTCTTACAATACCCTCACGCCCTCACAAGACAAAAATATGCTCTTACGATTCGCAGCTAGTGCTCCGACATCGGCAGTGACTGTTCGTCACCAATTTATGACTACACTTGCGTAACTACAGGCCATAGACCTTTTTTGTTGACGAAACTTACGGTGAATTGCAAATAATAACCTTTTTGAGCTCATATCCTCAGATTAGCACGCCATGACTTACTCGGATTTGCATTTCAGGGCAATATGTGGTCTCCATGGAATCCAGTCAAGCCTCATCAACAACTTAACTTACAGCCAACAATCGTCAAGCCACAGAGCTTGAAAAAGGTTATCAAGCTTCTGGAATAAGAATCAAGGAACCAAGGAATTCGGGCACCCGTCGTAGGGCTCGTCGTAGGGCTCGTCGCCGAGGCAGGGTCCCCTCCCAACATTCCTTCGTCCCATGTTCTAAACTGGCCGAGCCCGATAAGCATTGCTGATCTACGGGAGCTGGCAGACTAGACCATGGCATTGGGAACGTCTGTAGCAGTTAATGGTTGATCACAGTGATGGGAATCCTTGTCATGTCTTCGCGTTGGGCCGGATGCGAGGAGATTCCAAAACACAATGATATGATACCACGTGGACGGAGCTTCCATGTCATGCAGGAACAGCTCAGGAACATAACAAGAGGTCGACAACACCCAACATGCTTACGTTGCTCTTGATTCTTGTAACATGTCAAGTAGCATCGTCTAGGCATCCTTCAAACACTCATTGTCAGTGTTCCAGTAGACTGAGGCATGAATTTCCCCATTCTTATCAAGACGGATACTGAGAGGAATATCCACATTCTCATTAGAATCCCTGCTGTGATGCAAGTGTAAAGCACGCACACCCCTGTGTGTATTGTCGACGCTATATGTGCGAGTCCCGCTCAACCATATCCATATCAGCGGCCGCGTCGTGATAGAGGGGTAACAGTAGGTAATCCAGTGAAGGCGGGGAAAGCCTCGGCGACAGTACAGGACAGCAAATAGGTTCTCACGGAGACGGAGCTTCGGGCTTCACTGCCGCTCTGAACCGACAGCAGTAGGCGGCATCTTAATCTAAGTGCCGGTGGTACGAGTTAAGCCGCGGTACGGTATGTGCTGTACAAACCGGCTGTCTGTAGTCCGTGACCGCCGTACCGTACAGCACTGAGTACGCTGAGTTCCCTTACATAGGAGTGGATTCAAAGGTCCGAATAGGTTGATATTCTGGGTCGTTGCAGCTCATATTACACCATCCATGAATAACTCGGTATCATCCACTTCCACCACGCTCATTGTTGCCCTGTAGACCAAGGGTCGTGACCGAACATTCCATTTGCATCGAACCCTTTTGGATTAGTGTTAGGTCTTCTGCCCCCGGGGAAGAGGTTATTGTTGGGTTGGTGAACTGGACTGAACTGCGTGTTTCTGGCGTATCACAAATCCACCCGGCCCCAGCTGTCATGAAGCCGGCTAAGCCTCTTGAGTAGAACCATACTCCAATAGGGAAAAGCCTGTGAACCGGGCAGCGGGTCTTTGCGAGAGCCGGTCTTTGTTTGGTGCTGGTGCTTGTGCCTTATCAAGCACCCCGGATCGCCATAGTGCAGGCGGCTGGCCAGTGATTTGCATTGCAGAACAGACATCCAGGACGAGAGGGAGCACTGGACTCAGGCCATTGTTGCGCTACAATGCGCTCAGATGCAATGCACTGTAGGCACTCTCGACGCCCTCGTGCCAATGTCTCAGAGTTAGCCAATAACCGGCATACTCGCACGGCAGTGAGGGAGTTTTTCTGTTCAATCCTTTGCTAGCCAAGACAGGATCGAGGATCGAGATTGGTAAACTGTGGAGGAATGTTTGCTGAGTCTGATTGGCTTCGTCAAGGTAAGATCAGAAGCTCCCAATGCGTCCCAGGATTCCACTCTGAGGCTCTGATGGAGTCTTTGCTTTAAGGAATCCATCTTTTTTCCCACAACAATTTGAGCATGTTTGTATTTTCTTTGTTGTTCACTCTCATGTCAGAGTTACATCATATGTCAGAAAAAAAAAAATAAGTCAATGAGCAATCGACATGAGAAGAAAATGTCAAAAATCCACGGCATGATGCCTTTCGACAAGGGTTCCATGGCCAGGGGAGACCATTTGATGGCGTCATTGTATCACCAACTTGAAATAAATAAAAAAAAGGTTGAAATCTTGTTACCAATTCTCAAAGCTAATTCGGCATTGTTTGTGTAAGAAAGATACAAAGTCACCAAGGAATAATGTAACCATTCCAACCGATGGTCCAGATCATTAGCTCCATGTGTCAAAGCCCAATCGTTGCATAAAATTGGCATTGGAGGGCATAGCTTCATTGGCAGTTTTTTTTCCGACGTGAGCTGGGGATCAAATTGATCGTCGAAGCCCTATCTCAAGACAGTAGTGGTTTCGGAGGATAGTCAGGAACATGTTGTAAATCTTGACTGCTAAAAATTGACTCTGTGCCTTGGTTTGCTTTTGATCGAGTCAACATACCATTCATGTCTTGCAAAATCAACAATAACAGAAACAAGAGGGATCTCGATAGACTGGACTAAGAAACCCGGCAGTCCACCATTTGATGTTACACCTTCCACAACTATCATCAGTACTTCGTATGTGCACAACAGGAATAGACATGTCAAGGTTTCTTCCCCACGATGCGATGCCTCCTCTTGATGGTCCTTGTGACCAGCAATCGGTAGGCTTGTCAGGTGAGACCGGTCAATCATCCAGGACAGGTTTAGAACATAGACGGGATGATCTTAGCCATTTGAGGGGTAACAAAGTGTACAGTATCTCTACAATCCTGGCTGAATATCACGAACCTATCGAACTGCGAATGTGAATGCAACTGCGACTAGAGAGAGCTCTAGGATTCGACAATACATGCAGCTAATTGCCGCAAAAGATGCGCATCAACACTTTGACATTGGCCACTGGGACACTTCAACCGCTTCTCCTCTGAGGTATCATCATCCATCGCTCGGGTTGTTTGTTACGTTGGCATATACACACCCGCATCCCTTTTGCCTCTGTTCCCTTATTACGTGAGAATCTGGTTAATCTGGCTTCTTTCTTCAAGAGGCACAGTGCATTGCGTGTCGTCAAAGAGACCATCTTGCAATTGAGCAATAAGCCGACGGACTTCTCTTACCCTGCTGAGCACGGTTCCCTTTTCAGCTCTCCTCTCTATTAGTGATGCCTGGAGCCTCCGCGCTGCGCCTTAGTTGCGCTCTAGAGGCTAAAGATTGCGGTGGCAGCTAAATTCAGGGCATCTCCTTTTACTGTTCCCAAAGAGTTCAGACTCGAGATGACGGCGCCACAGTGTAATGGGCGTAGCTGACGAGAGGCCCATGAAAAGATATGCAGCTAAACCTTCTGGGCGTCTTGTTATATACACGCCCCATGTCCATTTCGGGGAAATGCAATCCAGTGACTGATGATGAAGATAGAGACGGTATCTCGTACTCGAAATGCGAGAATGTTCTCTGCGAGGTTTTAATATAATTAACAGTAATACGTTCTTACGCATTCAATGAAATAACTTTTGAGGTTACATGGAATTTGTGGTTCCAGCAAACAGCTGTCATTGCTTTCAGACAAAAACAAAAAAAAAAAAAAAAAAAAAAAAGTTGGAAAAGAAGGGGTCCTAAACTTTTTTCTTGGATCGCCCTGGAATCAGCCATTGCCGAATAAGAACTCCTGTCCAACTAACTTTTGCCCGACAACAAGAGACATAAAAACCATGCCCGGGCCGGGTTATAAAACATCAGCCCAGCCCAGCCCAGCGATCAGTTGACCGAAGAAACAGCGTTATCTGATCAGATCAGGGCTCCTCACCTTGGCTTGAGTTGGGACGTTAAACCAAAAAGGAGTAGGGTCAAGGGTTAGGTCAAGGGTTTAGGTCTGAAGCGACGGGGATCTTCACCACGTGTAAGTGGTACGCCGCAGTACGGATACTGATAGAGGATTCATTCCATGTCAGGTCAGGACGTTAATGCAATGAGACGAATTGGTACAGTCTCCTATTGGCATTTGAAATGATTTTACAAGTCATTCATGAATGACTGGTTGTGAATGCTCAATTTACCGCTGGATTTTAATCTCTCGTACCTGGATACGGCTGATGTGAGCCGCTCGCGTTTAAACTCCACGTAACATCCAGTCCATTCAGGTACGCAATTCTAACTGCACAATTAAACTCAAAACATAAAAACTTCATGCGGCCCATGGGAAAGGATTACGCGTGAAAGGTCACTGAAACAGGTTTTCCAAACCTCCACACAACAGGGCTCGAAACAAACCCATCGCTCCTTGGTCTGACGAGTTATTAGACGCGTCCCAAGCTGGCACAGCTAGCGAGAGACACGAGAGCCTCGTTACGCTCTCTCATCCTTGACCTGAAGGGCTACTGTCTCTCTTATCTGTTTACTTCAAGCCCTCTCCCAGAAACGGAACCGAGGCTTCATTGTATCGTGGGGGACCTCAAGCCACAAGAAGACGGAAAAGCTTATTCCATGAGGCAGTACAAGTTTCGATGTAGGGCAAATCGATCCCTAAGATTCTCGGTTAAGATTCTCGGCTCGCTTCTAAAATATCCGATGCAAGATGAGTCGGTCACTGGGTCGAGATGAAGAAAAGCTAAACAATCCTCGAATCAAATCGAGGGCCGAGAAGGACACCTGGACCTGGAAGCAGAATCTGAGACAGGTTCGCTATCACCGCATATAAACGTACTGTCATTTCCAGGTATGTTATCGACATGCATCGAACTATTGCTTTCGATGGTGAAAGTGGCTCGCGCATCGAGACACATCGAGCAGCCCTCTCCTACACGACCTTGGGTGTCTGAAAACTTAAGACCATGAATCAGGGAAAAAACATTCTATGCAAACAGTCGATTAGGTTTATTAAATCTCCCTAAGATAATCCTAAGATATTCTAAATATTTTTGTCACATAAGTCTTGGGATTGAAGTCTGAAGTTTTCTGCCATCGCCTTCTAGCCAGGCTCCAGCGAAGTGAATGAGAGTGAGCGCGCACCTTGGCAGTACAGTACGGAGACACACCGTACAAGTGTACAGCCCCTCTTTCGATTCCCCAGGCTTCAACACCACCCCACTCCATCTCCATCTCCAAATCAGTCCTCCCTTGTTCATTTCATCAACACCCTCTCCGCCCAGTGCGAGCTTTCATTGTCCATCTGGATTAGGCCTGGAGCGGACGTCGGATGGCCTCGCCAAGCTAGGCCACGGGGCCACTGTCCACTCTACCCGTCTCGGAAGTTGGGGAAATGGAGAGCGAACGACCAGAGCAGGCAGAAAATGCAGTGCAGTGAGTGAACTGTACAAAATCGTGTACTGTATTATGTACGACGAGAGGATGAGAACATGGACGCGTCGGGTGACGAATCAGCCCAGAATCGTCCATGACAGAGACGATTTGACTGCTGATGATTCCCAACAAGAAAAACGGACGATGAGAACCCGACCCGACACGGCTCTCTTGCCATCGCACTTGGTCGAGATGCTCCCGCTGAACTCTTATTCCATCTCGACTGGCAACGTTTGTCCAGACGGGACCTGATGAGTTGAGATACAGCTGCTCCAGGGAAACGGTTAGTTTCATCCCCTGGCTACAACGTTGTGCAGCGGACAAGAGGACCCTGGCACGACTGCACTTCTTTTTTATGATGGTGCACAAAGAGAACCATCACCCATTTCATACCTTATCGAGAAAAGCCTATCCAAGGATCCAATCATGGGCACAGCGCAAAGCACAGCGCCTCATGCACCACGAGGAGGGGAATGAGGGGATACGTACCTCGGATTTCCGCCCATAGTCCATCTCCCTCACCCGCCGCTGTTTCTCGCTGGTAAATGGTACCTGATTGTCAACAATGAAGTTTATGCCTTTGCAACTTCCTCTTCATAAAAGGAGTCAGGCACTATCGTGTCGTATCTCCTTCTCACATATCTATCTATTCAGGTCGACAACAAGGGGAAGATGGCTCAGCCCCTGTTTGCCGTCCGATTGCGACGTTCTCTCTGGCCAGTTCCTTAATAGGGCGCATCGTACGCCCACTGTTTACAAAGGACACGCCCCAGGTCAGGCGCTCTTCCACTCCTCTTCCTTGCTGCAACTCAGTTCGGGCAACGGAGCCAACCAATTGGCTCGCGTTACACTCTCCACCTGTCGCCATTGAATGGATGGATACCCCTGGGCCTGGGGGAGAAGGCGTTGGAACCGGTGGCCGCTCCAGGCTTGTTTGGCTACTTGGTTCATTCAGGTAGAGCCACAGAGGGAGGCCCCTCTCAGACTTCCAAGGCCAAGGTCATGTTCAGTGATTCCTCAATGGGTACTAGCGAGGTGATAAAATCACACAGCCATGTATTCAGAGCCAAGATACACTCCCCCGCACCTTCTGCCACACACCTTGGCTGGTCTCCCAAAATATTATTTCTCGTTTGTCTCTGGGACTTTACTTCTCCTTCTTCAACACTTGACACTTGACAACCTCACTTTACAAACTTCAAGCCCAAGAGTAACTAACAACACCAATCCAAACACATAGTTCGAGATCGACACGACTGAAGTCGGTCGAATCCTGAACATCCATCCCAAGTCGCCGGCAATGGCCTCATCCAAAGTACGCTGCCCTCAATCCTCGGAGGGAAACCGACCCGAGCCCTGCCTCATACCCCGATCTTGCCCTGTCATGATCTCTCTGTGCACGACCTGCCAGATGGCAGAACAACCTTCCAAGGCCCAGATTTGCTGATCTCCTTCATCCGTTTCAGGAAATGCAGCAGTCCTCGAGGCCATTGACTCAGAATCGTTCTCCGATGTCGTCCACATCGTCGGCCCTGCCCGGCCGTCAGTCCCACGCTCGGACGAGCTCGCACTCGCTGCTAACAGGTGCTCTCAACGCCAACCACCGAGTGACTCGACGCAAGTCGGTCACCAACCCGAATACCAATGTGACCGCGATCGCCGCCGCTCTTCGGGAAAGTGAGCGTTCTTCCGCCTTGCCCATCGGCAACGGTGGACGCCGGATGTCCAAGAGCGCTGCTGCCCGTGCTGCCCTCGTCGGCAGCCTTCCCTCCCCCCCCGCTAGTCTCCCGAACCACAAGTCGATACCCGAAACGAAGCAAGAACTCAATGGTAGCGCCATTGAGGACGATGTGAATGAGGGCTCGGCTGATGAGGGAACTACCAAGTTCCAGAAGGCTCGTCAACGCCGTGCCAGTGATGGCCAGACTCTCAAGGAGAGCAAGAAGAGCAACAGGGTTGAGGTTCGCTGTGACAAGTGCGGTAAAGGCTACAAGCATAGCAGTTGCTTGACTAAGCACTTGTTGGTCCCCCTCCTCCCAATGACTTGCCCCAGCACAGCAGCTCTTATCTTGAGATGAGAGCTGTTTTTGGCGTGTAACGTTTCGTATCCATGATCGGTGTCACTGACTGTGTCTAGGTGGGAACATACACCTGAGTGGGCTTTGACCTCAAAGCTGCTCATTTCCAAGCACCAGCAGGTTCAACTGCTTGAGGCTGCTTCTGTTCTGGTTACCATGAACGGCGTTGAAAACAGCGCTGATACTCCTCCTGAGTCTACCAAGGACTTCCAGAGTGAAGCTGGTTCATCCTCGCCTGCTGCGTCCGGGTACTCCGATCCCGCTGAGCGACAAAGCTCTGCCGACACTACCCCACCTCCGTTTGCCGAAGGTGTCAATGTTGACGGCACTTCGTACCGAAACAAGCGCTTCAGCAGCAATGGCGGATACGCGACAAGCTTCCAGTCTGCTTCGGCTGCTTCCTTCGGAGCAGGAAGTGTGCCGTACGGTTCAGGATTTGGTCACTACCGCCAGCCAAGCCATGACCACCGCCCAGGATCTTCCGGGCGTAACGCTACAGGCGAGGACGATCGGGACCTGGCTGCTGCAGTTGAGCTTCTGAGCTGCAGTTTTGGTAGCAACAACGGATCCCGACCTGCCATGGTTCCTGCTGATGCCCCTCCCGTTCCTCCGCTGCCAGCTCAATACCTGGATCAGGCAGCGTCTCTGTCTGCAAGCTTCATCAACAGCTTTCCAAGTCGACAGCCTGAGAGCTTCACTCGTGGTGAGATGAGACGCCCCAGCGACGACGTCAGAATGGACGGTAGCGGTGATTCGGTCATGGATGACGACGACTTCGAGATGCGTTCGCGCGGTCGTAGTGAAGATGATGACGATGGTGTTTTTGGTCGCATGGAGGAATGAAAGATTTTGTATGCATCACTAATGGGTTAACGATTGGGACGGAGTATATCTCTTGGGTCGGGCATGTTGGCTCTGGAGTTGGATTATATATCGGATGACGTCGATGGACATACACGTTATTCCTTCTTATTTATATGTACACATACCTATACAGCGTGTTGGTTGAGGTGGACCAAGCTCCGCCACGGATCTTTAGCACCGATGAGTTGGAAAGGCCCTTCTTTGCTTCGCCCAGGTTATCTGGGGATTGAGGAGCTAGATGAGATTGCATCGCCACGAGGTTAAAGTGAGGATCCGGACAGGCGTCGAGTTGGCACCTAAATAAATACCTATCTATCAAATGGAAATCAAATATCGAGAATCACATTGCCGTGTTCTAACATTGAATCACCATGAGATATGAATAGGAATGAAGAAGCATCAATTGACAAGAATGAGAGAGGTGATGAGACATCACGCAGTTCAAAGTCACAACGGAGCAGAAGAAGATGCAGCCTCTTCTGTGACAGGACTGTTGATGGAGATAGTAAGATGGGAGAAAGCGATGAGCTTCCTTCTCTTGGCCACACTTGATTGAAGCGCGAATGATAGATCTTAAGTTGAAAAAGAAGAAGAAGAAGAAGAAGAAGAAGCTCATCATCTTGAGGAGGAAGAAAATTCATCTTAGTCGGCTGGTGAAGCGACCCCCAGGGAGCAAGAAAACTTCTGACGTTAAGCCACGGTGCCAAAATTAACTGGTCTAATGGCCTGCGAAGATATACTAAATTTACCTAAGTCTTTTTTCTCACTTGGGATAAAGGTCCAAAGTTTTCTTGCCGCCCCTAGGCGACTAACCCAATGTCATCTTAGTTTTGAGTGTGGAGAAAATGAAGTCAGTTACCCTTGACGACGACGGGAACGACGTCAACGTCACATCTATTGGATCACCCCCACTCTATCGCTCCAGCTGTCACTATATTCCCTGACGCACAAGAAATACCTACCTACCTACCTCGGATACATAAACATCACCAACTATCAGCGCCCTGCTGTCTCTCCATCGCGACGCTCTCATACCTAGTATATATTTGTCCTAGACAAGTGGCGTGTCTCAACTCCTAAACCATGACTTCGCGACGAAGCGCCGCGGCTGGCGATGATGACACAGCCTTGACGACAATTCCATCATCGCCAAGGGAGGTCCAACAACCTCCGCGCACCTTTCGCGACGTGGTCCCCCGCCAGGCGCAGTTCCCTCTCGCTGTTGCGACAAGCTTTGCGATGGCTTCGCTTGGATATAGCTTGCTGGGCGAGCTTACCAACGGCGAGCTTGCTGCCCTGAGCCGAAGCCAGGATACTTGGGCAGAGGTTTCGCTTCTTGCCGGATGGAGAGTGTGAGTCAGATAAACTTGGGAAGCGGAAGAAATACTGATGGTGATGCTAGGATTGAGTTGACATTGGGATGGTATGGCAAGCTGGACAGCCTGGATGTTGCGATGCTGAATCTTCTCGCCCACGGCCCTCACGTCAGTTGACTCCACCCGTCGCAAAATATGGGCCAGCAAAAAACTGACTGATGAACAGTACTACCTCCTCTCAACCTTCTATGAGCTCAACTGGACTATTTCGGCTTCGGCTCTTGCTATTGACGTTCTCTCGATCGCTGTGCCTTTCTTCCTGCTTCGCCCGCTCTCTACTATCCATACACCTTCGGCTGCCGCTGCTGCAGGTCTGCCCAACCGCGAGCTTCTCGATCTTCCCCTCCAGACGTACACGGCCGCTCTGTCAACAGGCATCTACACCGTTGTCCTCGTCCTGTCGCTACGATTCATTCTGCCTCGTATTCTGGTTGTCAACTACTCAGGAGTGCCGACATTGGAGCCCGCCTACAATGCTTCATACGCTGCCATTCTCCCCGTGACGACCCTGTTCGGCATCGCCGCCAGCACTTTTATCTTTGCGCCTTTCGCCACGACAGCACGTGCCAAGGAGGACGACAAGCTTAACGAGTTTGATCCCGTGGCTGCATCTCTCGGGGAGACCGTTTGGTGGAATGTGTGGGGTTACACTGTCAAGACCAAGGTTGTTATTCGTCGAACAATTGTCGTCGCCCTTGTCACTGCAGTAAACACGTTCCTCGCCTCGTCCAAGACCTTGTATCGTGTCGATGCCTCTGGAGCTGCCGTGTATGCGGGCGTCTGGGCATTTGCTGCCATCTGCAGCGGTATTGGCCTGGGCTTCGTGGGCGGAGATTAAATGACTGAGACGTCATATTCTAGAAGGCTATAATCAGCCTTACAAAGACGAACTTGGTGGGGAGCAAGGAAAGGGTGTCGAGAATATCCTTGATTTGAGATGGAGGGATTAATACCCCGGTTTCATTTATCGATCGGAGTCAGAAGGATTCAGGGCGTGGTTACTTGACGATGTTGAATTCGTTGTCAAGTGACCATGATTTTTGATATTTATAGTGCTTTTTCTATGTAATTTTACTAGGTTTTTTTGTTACTCTGCTATCGTATGAATACCATTTTTAGGAGTTCGTCTCTAAAATAGTCTTGCCAGATCATATGAAGGGATATTTAGGCAGATATGAAACACCAAATTCATCGCAGCTGGGAATGTCGAGATATCGTCAAGGTGCCTTGACTGCTTATTAGGCAACGATGGGGCATCCTGGGCAATGGCTTGGCGTCTTCTAGAAGGAAA